AAGACAGTTTTCAGGTCTTGGCAAGAAGGGGAGGCCATAATGATCCAGTACTGGTAGATCCATGCTTTAGGGCAGCTAAAGCACCTCAGGGTTACTGAAGCCTAGTTGTAAACCTGGGTTCACAGCCACACTTTACTCAGAAGCAGGTCTGATTAATTTCCCACCCCTGGGTTAGGTTGGGAGGCAGTGAACAAACAACCTGAGATAAAGCTGGAAGATTTTAGCCTGGAATGCTTCAAGGACAGAAATCTCTAGCTACAGATAGGAAGTGAGAGATTCTGGAAATCAGGAGGAAGGGATGTGACTAAGGAGACAATCTGTTTGCCAAAGAAATAAAGCAGGGTGGTGTGGTGAAAAGAACACTGACTTTGGAAGAAAAGCACTAAAATATGAATCCTGGTTTTGCTACTTGGGCAAGTCACCTCCCCTCTATCATATCTGCCCCTCATCTTCCTCAACCGTAAAATAAAAGGGAAGGACTAACATGATTTTTAAAGTCATCCTTCCCCCCCTCCCACCAGCTCTGACTCCTGTGAATTTGTCAATACATTCTTTGTTAGGAGGAACATATAAACATTATGTATAAAACTAAGTCCAAGGTGCCATGCTACATTCTTTTTTAAAAGCCCAGGACTTTCTTGAAGTACATGAGGGGGAAAACAAACCCTGACACTTAGGGGAAAAGTGTCATTAAAAACTCGAAAATCAAGCCTCTCCTATGATTAATATGAATCTTTCGTAGTTTAAATTTTGAAATCCAAAGCTTGATATCATTAACAGCTAACAGGCATTACAGACATGGACTTAATAAAAACTACAAAATGTAGAGAACTATCTTCAAATACAAACAATAATACACTGTAGTTGGTTTAAAAAGTTTACATAAATCAATGTGGAGAATCATCTTCAAGTACACACCATAATATACTCTAGTTGGTCTTTCAAAGTTTACACAAATTATCTACCCTGAAACAATTTCGAAAAGGCCCAGGTGTTCCCTCCTAAATTTACATTTATTTAAAAGGATCATTTCAAACAAGTACAGGCCTGTATGTAGCAAATTCATTCTCAGTGAGAGGCAATAAAAACATAATAGTAATGTATATTATATTTACTTTAGGTGTGGCTGTAATTTATTTTAGTCAAGGAAATGTGGGCTAGTGCTAATTTTAATGACATGAGCACAGAAGAAGAACAAGGGTAGTTTCTAAAATTCTAAGTAGTTTCTGGTAGAGAACAGATAGTGATGTAAAGAACAGTCCTTCTTGTTTAACTATTTCAATAGGATAAAGAATTCCTAAAGTGTAAGACAATGAAATCAGGCTGTAAGGCAAGAGATTCTTTTAAAAGGGTTATATCTAAAGTCCTCACTTTAATCCAAACATTAGCCAAGGAAAGCAAACATGTAGACAATGGTTCAGGGCTAGTTTTATCAAATTTTCCCAAGATTAAATAACATACCAAATTAGAACTTGTGTTCAGGTCTCATAATTCCAAGTGTTTAAAACAAAATTTCTATGAAAAGTTTGTTTTCACTCCCCTTATACAATCAAGGACCGAAAACACTGTCAATATAAATAATACTTAAATACGTGACTAATAATTATGCTGATATACAATTTGATGCTACTATATATTAAGTAAAGCACTGATGAATAATGTTTATATTCTTTTTAAAATCAGTTTAAAATAATCAGTCCTAGTTTCTGGCATATAGAAGCAGCCTAGGTTAGCAGAGAGAGTGCCAGACTTGCATTGAGATGATCTGGATTGAAATTCTGCTTCTAATTTTCAATGATACCATAGACAACTTAACCTCTCTGAGCCTCAGTTTCCTCATCTGTAAAATACAGATAACCTGTAGTACCCATTTCACAGGATTATGAAGCTCAAGTGGGATAAACTATACTAAAAAGTCTCTTGTGTATTTTAAAACACTATATATAGTTACTTTTCCTAGACTTTTGAGATCTTATGCTCCTTTAAATCATACAGTGATGACATCAATGATTGGCTCTTTTGGTAACAGATTTTTAGGTAAATTAAAAACAAAATTCATTACAGTTTGGAAAGAATATAGCATTATTTTCAAAGGGGAATTTCTATTATTAACGACAGCACAAAATTCAAGTTAGCATCACCAAAAAGCAAGGATAAAGACAGATTATCTGTACCCCAGACAATTTTTCCTGGGAAAGCTATCTCCCCCCACAAACTTTTCATAACTTATCCCTCCTGTTTTCTGCACTTACTCCAAAAAATGCCAATGATCTATGATGTCATCAATTTGGACATTCACTTCAATGAAGTAAATCATAACTCACTCACTCATGCAGTCCCTCTTGCCCTGCCCTGGACTCTTGTGCTAGAGGTTTTCCTTGCTCCCTCCAGGCAAACTGTTATCCTTTGCCCTTTTCAGGAAACATACCCTTGTCTTTCAGTCATACGTTTTCTCGATGATATCCTTTACACCATTCTTCAAAGTTCCTTGTTACATAGTGTAGTCTGCTCACACTGACAGTGCCTTCTTTCTGTGTGGACCTCAACTGCAGTTCTTTGGAGACTGCTGTGTTCCACATCTGATAGTCACATATACTCATATGCTACTTTGATTTGGGAGCCCAATCTTTTTCTCATCCGCTTTCTCCCTAATTTATTACTCCTTATTCACTGGCTCCTTTCCCACTGCTTATGAATAGGTCCACACCTCCCCCATCCTTAAACTTTTTACTTGATTACATCCTTCCTGGGTGCTTTACTATTCTTCTCTTCTTCCTTTCACATCCAGACTCCTAGAAAAGGCTGCCCATATTCATTGCCTACACTTCTCACCTCATAGTCATTCCTCTCTCCGGAGTAATTACCAAATCTGATAGCCTTTTCTCAGTCCTCACTCTGTTTGATCTCTGCCTGACATCCCTGCTAGCCATCTTCTTCCTCCTTTGGTTTTCAGGCTCCTGCTCTCTTTTGGTTCTAGCTTATCCTTCTCAGTCTCTTTCGCAGGGTCATCATTCTTCTCCCACCTCCTAAGCCTCCATATACCCTCTTCTCTTCTTTCACTGTACTTTTGATAACCTCACTGGCTTCCATAAGTTTAATTATCACCTCTATCATATGACTTTTGCAAACATACACAACCCTATCTCCCCTTATCACCAATGGGTGTTCTACAGGCACCTTAAACTCATCATGTCCAAAACAAGCCTCGTTATCTTTCCCCATCACTGTCCTCTTTTTCTAATTTGCTCATTTCTGTTTCAGGGTAAAGCTATCCTTCTAGGCCAGGGATGGGGAACCTGGCCACATGTGGCCCTCTAGGTCCTCAAGGGCAGCCCTTTGATTGAATCCAAACTTCACAGCAGTCAAAGGGCCGCATCTGAGGACCTAGAGGGCCACATGTGGCCTCCACTGTCTCTGAGCCTTAGTAGGTCCTCACCTTCACAGAATCCCTGGCTTCCTTCAAAGCTCAGCTCAGCTTCATTCGCTAATGTCCTTTCCTAATTCTCACTCCTTAAATTATCTTACTTTGCCTCACCGCCTCAAGTCTGATCATTTCCTTCCTACCAGAGTTTAAACTCTGCCCCTGGGACTCTGAGCCAAACAGGGGAGCTTTCCAGGTGCCTCCTCCAGGCCATTTCCAAATCATGCAGCAATGACGCCTGACCATTTTTTATTCTTCCTTCAGAATATAAAGTCCTTCAGGTTAGATACTTTATTGTTTGCTTACTTCTCTATATCTAGCATTTAACATAGTGCCTGGTACATCTCCACAGTTCCCCCTTTCTCTGGTCAGGAAGACCTGAGTTCAAATCCAGCTTCCGACTTACAAGCTGTATGACTCTGGGCAAGCCTATTACCTCTCTTTGACTCAATTTTCCCACCTGCAAAATGAGGATAATAATAGCACCTACCTCCTAAAGTTGTTGTGAGATCAAATGAGATTACACTGGCAAAGCGTATGGCATATGGTAGATACTATGTAAATGCAAGCTGCTATTATTTTATTCCCAGCATTTAGCCAGTACAATGTCTGGCACCCAGTATGCACCATACAAATACTAGCCGTTACAATTTGTATCCCCAGCACTTGGCTAACAGTGCTGACACACAGTAGACGCCATAAAAATCATGGTGGTGGTTATTTGTATACTCAGCACTTAGCTTAGCCCAGTGCCTGGTACACAGTAGGCACCATATAAATGCTAGCCATTATAATCTGTATCCCAGCACTAACACAGTCCCTGCCACACAAGAAGCTAGCTGTTACAGTTTGTACCCTAGCACTTGAATAGCACAGTGCCTGACTCACAGTAGGAGCTTAAGGAATCCTCTCCGGACCTGCCCTGCCCTGCCCAGGGGCACGGGCTAGGAAGGAGACTTGAATCCACGTCTTCCTGACTCTAATCCACTATCCCACAAAGCAGAGAGTCTGTTCCTCGGGGGTCCAGCATCTAGGGGTGCGGGAAGTTAGGGAGGGAGGGACTGGAGTTGGCGGGGGGCAAGGGAGCTTTCTTCTCCCCTCCCCCCTCTCTTCTCCACCAGATGGCCCCATTTCCTCGCCCAGTTAGTTGAGGCAGGAGAAACTTTTCTCGCTCCGCCCAGACGGCAGTCAAAAAGGGCCCGGGACGTGGCGGAGGAGGAGAGGGGCGCTACACCCCCACAACTCCCCTCCGCCCCGCCCTCTGAGAAGGATGAAGGAGAGGAGGAGGAGGAGGAGGAGGCCGCGGCTGGGCACAGAGAAGAGGCGACCGCCCGGCCCTGCGCCCCCAAGCCCCGCGCTAGCCGCTCCTTACCTGTCCCCCGCAGAGGGGCTGAGGAGACGCGGAAAGCCCTCTCCAGACGCCGGTCCCGCTGGAACCTCCTCCAGCCCCGCGGCGAGCGAGTCCCGCCAAAGACGCGCCAGGAACGCTCCTCACACTCCTGAGACTCTTCAGACTCGGCGCACGGCACGCCGGGAACTGCCCAGCTCCGTGCGCTCGCTCAGGACTACATATCCCAGGATGCGCAGCGCATCCCCTCCGGGCTGCGGTGCACTCTGGGAATCGGAGTCCTCACTGCATCTCCTGTTCCCCTCCCTCCCCCATCAGCGGCGTTGAGGCCTCGCTTCGGGCTGGGGACGTAAAGCATCACTCTGCAGTCGTGAAATGTAGGCTCGTTCAGCAGCTCCGCATCCGGGACTCTGGGTCGATCCTGAGCTGGAGCGGGGGTGGCGCTGCTCAAGTCTATGAGACTGGGTGGGGACCATAGGGTCGCCTAGCAGCCGCTGCGCCGCCGGCGCTCTCCGTAGTAGACCCGCGGTGGAGGCGCGGCGCGGCCGCGGCGGCCCGGGTTGCGAGAGGACCGAGCCTCCTCCAGGAGGGCGGGGGCCCTGCGGGACATTCCCGCCGCCGCTTCCAGGCACCGGTCAGTGCAGTGCGCTGGCGAGCCCTGCCGACTCTCCCTCCCTTCCCCCTCCAGGTGTTGTACCCCGTGCGCCCGCCGGCGGATGCAGCTTCCCGAAGGCCGGATTAACGGTCAGCCTGAAGGGGTGGGAGGTGCGGAGGCATCCCCGGGTCTCAGTTTCCCCCTCTGTAAAACAACGGGAGCATCTCTGAGGATTCCTTCTAGCTCTAAATCCGTGATCTCCTTTTCTTCTGCCAGGCGCAGAGTGAAGCACAGCCTGGGCTAAGGGGCTCACCCTTAATTTAGCGAGTGACCCCCCCCCTCCCCCCCCACGCCAATCAGAGCTGGTAAGAACCGGACCCCGTGTGTTTTCACGGACTGTCCCCTAAGACCAGACCCCTCACTTGCCTCACCTCTGTCCCCTGGCTACCTCCAAGGTCTCGGCCAAGGGAAGCCTTTCCAGCTCCCTGAAGGGGTGGGGGTGGGGGATGGGGTGCCTTCCCTCCAAGGTTAGCTACAATGTATCCTGTGTGTGGTTTGGTGTGTAACATAGTTACTTTCTGCTGCTCCCCCTCCCTCCTCATTAGACTGAGATCCTTGAGGGTGTGGGCTGTTTTGGTTTTATTTGCCCAAAATTTAGCACCGTGACCTGGCACCTAATAGGTACTTAATGAATGCTTCAGGTCTTGGTTTGGTAAGGAATTCCCTTGATATCTTTCTTATAAGGGGAAGATCCCATTGAGGGGAAACTAACTGCCCCTTCGGGCAAGTTTTGGAGAGGGGCAATGTGTGGAAGTGAATGAAGCTAGGAAGATTTGGGTTCGAATTCTGCAAGTTAACACTCTCACCCTCGGTTTTTTCATCTGTAAAATGGGTTTGATAATAGCTTCTACCTGACAAGGTTGTTGTGAGACGTAATGATTACATGTAAAAACACTTTTCCAACCTTAAAGTGCTATAAACATATGAGTTGATATTATTGTGATTATTATCCTGTTTTCATCTTTTTAGTAGGTTGTGGTTTGGTTGTCCTGACCCCATTTGAGGTTTTCTTGGCACAGATACTGGAGTGATTTCTCATTTTCTTCTCCAGCTCATTTTACAGATGGGGAAACCAAGGCAAACAGGATTAAGTGACTTGCCCAGGGTCACATAGCTAGTGTCTGAGTCCAGGTTTAAACCCAGGTCTTCCTGACTCCAGGCTTGGTGCTCTATCCACTTGTATTTTATGAATAAGTTATATTTGGGATGTTATATAGACAGCAGTTTGATCTGTGATGACAATTCCTGTTTTGGTCTGTGGAGATCTCTAGGATATTTGGAGGTATGTATAATATGGAGATTTGTTGTCTGTTAATCCATGAAAGATAGTGGGTTTCTGATGCATAATTCTAGCTAGCTGGTTGCGTGTTGCTAGGTGTTCCTTGGGTACAGTGTTTTTACAGGCTATAATGTGTTTCACTGTTCTTGCATAATCCACACCGATCACTCAATCTGGCCTTATCATTATTATTATTGTTGTGGTTATCATTATTGTTGTTATAGTTTTCATTGTTAAGAAATTTCTCCTTAACATCAAGTTTGCCTCTTTGCTAATAATTTTCATTGCTCATAGTTTTTCCTTTTGGAGCTTAGGAGAATAAGTCTAATTTGCCTCTCTGTTCAAATCACTGTGATGTTAAGTACAGATCTGCAATAGAAGGTTATAAATTTAGAGCTAGAAAAGATCTTATCAGTCACTTAGTCCAATTCCTCATTTTATAGATGAGAAATTGAGGCCCAGCAGGTTAAATGACTTACCTAGGGTAACACAGGTGGTAAATGACAAAGACAGTATTTGAACCCAGGTCCTGTGACTTGAAATCCAGCACTCTTTCCACTGTGCCTGACTGTTTCTAACTCTAGCTGATCTCTTAATTTTGTTTTAGTGAATTTTGCCCAATTTCCTGTTTTATTTTGTTTGTGTGTAAGGTTACTGACATATCATGGAACTCCATCCCTTCAGGGGTGACTCTTAGGGAACCATGTTGTATATCAGTTCCTCTATTTACTGTGGACATGCTGATGCGTATATGTTGTTGTAGGTCAGTAGGCACAGTGAAAGAAGTCAAGATGCCTTTGGACTGGAAAATGATACAAAGAGTTAACCCAGATGATTTGCCTCGCCAAGAAGAATTGGCAGATGACTTGCTGGTTTCTCTCTCTAAGGTATTTTTTTTGTGTTCAAATATTCATGGCTAAAGTAAAATACATTAAAAAGTCATAAACTTCTGAATTGTTAGAACTAGAAGGACCCTTTTACTGTTATATTCGATTAACTTAAGTTTCATGCAGAAAGTAATTCCCATTCACTGATAATACAATGGTACCTTCTTCCTCAGGGAAAAAGTGAGGGACTGCTAGAACATAATACTACATACTCAGTCAAATACCATCATTCTATTGTGTATTTTTGTTTATTTGTTTTGTTTTTCTTTGTCTCAAGAGAGGGTTTGGTGGGGAGGAGTGAAATATGAAGGATAAAAGTATTCATGAAATTTTTAAAAAAAGGAATAATGAACAGTGGTTTCTACTTTGTTTACTTAGGTTGAAGTGAAAGACCTAAAAGATGAAAATCAAGAAAATGTGGTACATCTTTTCCGAATTACTCAGTCTTTAATGAAGGTTTGTTCAAGCAGAATAATCCTGACTGGACTTGAGGGGAGTTGTTAGACTATACCATTACCAAACATTGGTAAAACTTAACTCTGTTATCATTAATTAAATGCCTAATTTTGCAAGGCAATAGGAATAAAAAGAAAAAACAAGCAGACTCTGTCACATGTACACATATTACTGGAAAATAATTTGAAAGTGATAACGAAGATTTGAGGTGGGAGAGATCCACTTACGGTTGGAGGGCTCTGGGAAGCTTTGTGTAGGGACCCATTTGAATTGCCCTTTGCAGAAGAAAAGGGAGGGATTTCAATCAGCAGAAATAGGTTTGGGGAGAATCCTTTCTAGGCCTGGGGGACAATATGAATCTAGGCCGGGAGATGGGAATGGAAGCATATAATCTGGTCTACCTGGAATACAGAGGATATTAGGGGAGTAATAGAAGAAAAAGCCATTTAAATAGGTTGGAGCTTTATTATGGTGGGTTTTGAATAGCAGGATCAAGGATGCTTTATATGGGAGACAAGATGGAGCCACTGAAAGTCTTTTAAATAACAAGTGGACAATCGAAAAAATATATTAGGAAACTTGAGTGATATGAAACTGAAGAGGGAAGATAATGGAGGCAGGAAGATTCACAAAGGCTATTACTGTAGTATAGGAGAGGGTACGAGGACCTGAACTAGGACCTTTCAACAACAGTAGCAATGGAAAAAGGAATGGAAACACAACAGTGTGGAGATAGCATCAGCAGGGCTTGCAGTTGACCAAGTGTGGGGTGAAGGACCAACGAAAATGAAAGATAACTGGTGTTGAGCCTCAATGCCTCGGAGGCTGGTAGTATTCTCCACAGAAATGAAAAGGGCAGGAGATGGGCAGGGTTTTTTTGGGGAAGGTAATGAGCTTTCAAGTGCTACTAGATCATTCAGGACTGTAGTCAGTGGATAATCAAAATGGAACTGGAACTGTGGGGAGAAGTTGGTACTAGAGGTGAAGATCTGTATGTGATCTTTGGAGAAATGATCATTGGAGCCCTAGAATTGAATGAGATCTCCAAAGGAGGTGGGGGGGAGGGGAGAGAGACAGGGGGAGGGAGAGGGAGAGAGAGAGAAGGAGGGAGGGAGGGGAGAGAGAGGAAAGAGAGAGGAGAGATGGAGAGTTGGAGAGAGAGAGATGGAGATAGACAGGGCCAGAATAGAGACACGTGGAATACCCATGTTGAAGGTAGGAGAAGATAGAACCAGTCAACAAAGTAGTCAGAGAAGGAATGATCAGACAAAGAGACATACCGTACAAAAATTGTTTTGTAGATTGTAAAGCACGCTGTACTTAGTACTGTTTGGTACAAGACACTATGCTAAGACTCTGTGGATTCAGAGAGGTAATACTGTTGCCGTCAGGAAATTTACCTTCTAGCTGGAGAGAAACAACAGAGATAAAAGGATTAAGAATATAAAGTAGTCCATACCTAAGTGCCTAGAGAGCTGTGCAGGTGGTCGGGAGAGAAGGGAAGGGAGTAAGTATTTATAGAGTGCACGCTGTTCCGGGCACAGTTAAGTGCTTTTTTACAAATATTATCTGATTTGATCTGATAGTCATATCGACCATAGGCTGCGAGTGTTTAGAGTGGGGAGAGGTCACTGTGGTCTGGGGCACTTGAGAGGACTTGGGTTGGGTACAAGGCAGCTCATATGGCAGTACTAGGTACTGTGTACAAAAGTGAGAATAAACTCTTCCTTGCTTCTTCTGTTGGATGAGTAGGACTGAGGTAAGTGGGGAGGAGCGGAGAAGGTGAAGTTCAGAAGGTGCTCAGTGCTGTGCCCTAGAAGATAACTGTTGTGTTTGGGTATCAGTGTGTGGCTTAGTTGAGCTTGTGTAAGGGAACAGTTTCTAAGGTTTGAGAGACAGAATTGCAGGGGACCTTGAACCTCTATCTAGATTTTAGTCTGTTCATAATAAGGACAGAATTTTGTGGAGATTTTTGAACAGGGGAATAAAATAATAATATCATCATTAGATTCAGAGTTAGGAGGGCCTTTTGAAACTATTTATTCCAGTCTCTTCATTCATCTTATAGTTGAGGAAACATTCGCAGTGACCTATGCAAGGTCATACTGAGCTGAGATTCAGAACCAGGTCTTCTGGCTCTAGTAACTTTTCTGCCGTTCCCCATGGACTCTCTCTGATTTTCTGTATAAGTAGAAAATTTCCATCTAGAAGCTTATATTTAGGGCTATCCTACAGGGTTGTTGAGAGGATCAAATGAGATCATATTTGTAAAGTATGTTGTAAGACTTCAAATACTATATAAACGTCAGTTATTATTGTGGCACAATTACCTTAATTTACAAGATGGCTTTAATTAGGAAGTCATTACTATGTAATGTAATGGCTTATGTTGTCTTTCAGAGCTCTGCTTTAGGAGGATTAATCTGACTGTTGTGGGCTGGCTAGATTATAGGAACAAGACACTGGTGTGATGAACTGTTCTGGGGGAAGGGCTTTCAGTGTAATTTGACTCCTCTCTAAATAGTACATTTGGATCTTTGACTTATTTAGACTTGAGGTGGATTGGATCTCTCTCTCTCTCTCTCTCTCTCTCTCTCTCTCTCTCTCTCTCTCTCTCTCTCTCTCTCTCTCTCTCTCTCTCTCTCTCTCTCTCTCTCTCTCTCTCTGTCACACACACACATACACACACACATATCCTCAGTAGACAGGCATTTAATGAGGATTGTTTCTAGGATAATTTCCATTGCAGTACAGTTTGCTCACATAAACTAATAATAACTTTTGTGAATGGATAATTAATTTTTAATACAAATCCTAAAATACTGATAACCATTTCTACAAAAGGGAAAGAATTAAATTATAAATCCCTAACACCGAAGAGCCAAGTTTATACAATGGTCCATGATTTAACAACTCTGAGCTCCTAACAGGATGAAAAGAAAGGAGAAAGATTAATATTTTCTATTTGGCTTTAAAACACCTCCCATCCTGCCTCCTCTCTATCTTGCCAGTTTTCTTATACTCTACTTTCCTCCATATAACCTAAACCAGCAATACTGGTATTTTTATTATTCCCTGCATGTCTTTTTCACTGGCTGTTCTCCATACCTGGGAATACTTTCCCCCCCTCATTTCTGCCTGCTGGATTCCTTGGCTTTTGAGACCCAGATCAAATAGCATCTTCTGTAAGAGGCCTTTCCTGTAAAACCCCTGCCCCCATTGCTGGTGCCTTCACTCTGAGGTTACCTCCTCTTTACCCTGTATAGAGAGATTTATAGATCAACAATCTATGTATAGATCTATAGATCTTGTTTCTAATTAAGTTGTTTGCATGTCTCTTGCATTAACATGTAAGCTCCCTGAACACAGGGGCTGTTTTTTCTATTCTTTATATTCTTAGCAGTTAACACAATGCATTGTAAATAGTGCATGATAAACAGCTGTTTGTAGATTGATTGAGAGTGAGTGAGTGTGCAGAAGAGGGTAAAGGCATGTTTCATTGTATAGGAAGCTTAACTATAATCTTCTAACCACCTGCCAAAGAGAAAGCTGATGAAGCCTGCCCTGGCCCTTTGGCCCCAGGCCTGGCAAAAAGAACAAGATATTTAAATATAGCCTACCTATATAAGTCTTCTCTATAGTTTCATTACTTTCATTGTAGTAAGGTCTTAGGTGACAAAATATTTGACAAAATATTTGTCACTGACAAATATTAAAAAATTTGTCAAAATATTTGACAAAAATATTTGGTGCCTTTGTGAGAGTGCCTGTAAACTGTTTCTCAGCTTTCTCTGATATTTGGAGGCAAAATCATGCAAAATTTCAGGGGAAATTTGCTTACTGGGTGTCATCAGTTGCATTTACAGTGGTACAGGAAGCTTAGGAAAAGCCAGCGTGGTCCTTGAACAGTACATTATCTCCCCAACCTAATCACCCTGCTTCTTTCCCTTTTGCTCAGATCCATTTTTGTTGTGGGACCCCCTCAGATGTCAGGCAGGTAGAGAACAGCTGTGAGATATTAGCATATCCTGGCACATTTATCTAGATCAGGATGAGAGGATTCTAACAGGAGGCAGGTAGACCAGTTTGAAGACTCCTGCAGTGACCTGGCCAGAAGTGTTGAGGCCTGTAGGAGATGTAGAAGTTTGAATAGAAAAGATGGCCTGGTGGATTGGAGCAATATTAAAAAGGAACTATTTCTGCAGCTTGGTAGTAGCTTATCATTTATGGGAATTAGAGGAAAATGTCAAAGGGGGATTCCAAGCAGTCCCCCTAAAGTGGATAACAAATCATATTCCATCTCTTTTATCATGTTTAGATGAAAGCCCAAGAAGTGGAATTAGCTTTAGAAGAAGTAGAAAAAGCTGGAGAGGAGCAGGCCAAATTTGGTAAGTACCTGGCAAAAAAGTTTAAAATGAATAATGACGTTTTGAATAATGAGGAAGGAATTGATTTCCCAGACTCAACAAAGAATTGGCTTAATACGTGTTAGAAAATGTGCATATGCACTTTGTCAGAGCACTGTGGTTGAGTACCTACTATGTTGCTAACTCAAGTAGCAATCTTTTCTCTATTATCTGATCACCTTTATCTGATTAGAAAAAAAAAACCCATGTTTTTCTGGTGACAGGGAACTATATTTTAAAATGTATTTCTTAGTACATTCAATGAAGTGAAATATTTGTTCTGGTTTCTTTCAACAGAAAATCAGTTAAAAACTAAAGTAATGAAACTGGAAAATGAGCTCGAGGTATGTCTACCACGCATTATATGATAGTCACATCTTAATCATTAGCATCATTAACATGAAACCTGTTATTCTTGATTGACTGGGAAATCTCATGAATCTCATTGTGTTCATATTTAGCAAAGTCAGTTTCTTTTGAGGAAGAAATCTTCATTGTAAACAGATTGTGTTGGCATCTACATGGTCGGGTGAGCCAGACTGAGCATAAATATAACACCTGTTGTGATTGCTTCTGAACTACTGAGAATCACTCTTTGGGCCTCTTAATTGAGTTTGACCAATCTGGTGATTTTTTGTTTCTGTTTGAAGATGATTACTCAGACAAAAGATTTGCAGTATGTGCTCATCTGCCATTATGACTTCTTTTCTTCATGGAACTAGTTTGGATTGTTTTATAGAACAGTTTGGAGACTGGTGGCTTTTAAGCAAAGGCTTTATTTTGCCCTAAAAATTAATATGAGTTTAACTGTAGTCACTGAAATTGGTTAAATTTTTAAATTAACCTTTTTGTTATTCTCTATTATTATAGACTTTGAAGTTCTTTTGATTAATTAGCTAGATAAAATGTGCTTTGTCATTATATTTGGCTATTCATTCTCAGAAGTTGTATTCAGACAAATATATTTTTATTTTGTTTTAAGATGGCACAGCAGTCCGCAGGAGGTCGAGATACACGGTTTTTGCGAGATGAAATTCGCCAGCTAGAAAAACAACTGGAGCAGAAGGACAGAGAATTAGAGGATTTGGAAAAAGAGATGGAAAAAGAGAAAAAAGTCAATGAACACGTAAGGAGCCTTCCGTTTACGTTCTCTAAATTTCTCTGAAGTGTAGCTTTGCTTGGTGGTTAAGTGGGGTGTTTTGATGGTGTTTCCCTTGAGGGACAGGAATTTATGCAAAGAAGACTGATCTTAGAGTCAGAAGATCTGAGTTCGAATCCTGCCTCTGGCAGTAGCTCTCTAACCCAGGAGTAGTCACTCAATACTTCTGAAGCTTTCCTTATCTATTAAAATGGTATTAATAGATGTATATTATTATATAATATATGGATTAGCAAAATCATTATTTTAAAATTAAGCATATTGAGAATTATATAAAAATAAAAATTTATATAGGGCAACTAGAGAGATTTGGAGTTAGGAAGACCTGAGTTCAAATTCTGCCTCAGACACTTGCTAGCCATGGGACTCTAGGCAAGACACTTAAGGTCTTTGCCTCAGTTTCCTCACTGGTAAGATGGGGATCATAATACGTCCCAGGGATTTTATGAGGATAAAATGAGACAGTATTTGTAAAGTGCTTTGCAAACCTAAAAGTGCTATGTAAGTGAAGAGAGGGTATGTAGCTTTATTGATAGTTATTAACTACCCAATTTGCTATTCGTGAAGATTTACTCATTTCTAGTATTATATTGGCTTAAGGTGTTGTCAATCTCTGTGTTTCCTTCCCATACTGTAATTGATCTGGCTGCTTGACCAATCTATATTTCACCATTTATTTGGGGAGTTGAAATCACATGACTAGTCACAAAAAACTCCCCTTCCCCCACCTTGCCTATACCTTGGTCATGTCTTCATTTCATATAGTGTGACTCTTTCAGGTAGACACAACAAATACTTATGCATAAAGGCCAGCTTCTCTTGCAGTTATTGTAAACCCTGGTATGTTGCCTAAAGAAAGCAGAGTGGGTGACAGTGTTGTGGGGGCATCACTGATATATACCATTAACCCAGTGACTAATGACTTTTCCCCTTTCCAGAGGTTTCCACTCTTAAGAAGCTAGTTCATCGATTCCAGTTTGGCTAGCTGCACAGTGGCTTGAGCATCTGGAATCTTGTCTTTGGTCAGGGAGAAGGAAAAAAGGAATTGTTGAGTAGGAATAAAGGAAAGAATAGTGGAGGCTCTAGAGAATGAGAAAATAAGATTTCACTGCTATTATAATCATAACATTTTGCTTATTTAGTGGATATAAGCACTCCAAGTGAAGCCATGTCACCAAAAAAATAATACCCTTTTAGGGGATACTGTTTCCCTAGTTAGTGTTTATTGAGAGTAAAAAAGTATTTAAGGTTTATCAGATAACAGTAGTTCTTAAACTAAAAACTAATCATCATACCAGTTATTAGTTTTAATTTCTTCAGCAAAAAAAAAAGTATTCCCCCTCCCCCCAAATTTGTGGTGCTCGTGTTTGTTTACTTCATCTAATTCCTAAGTGGTTTCCCAAAGGTTCAGTTTAATATTCATATTTCAGGTAGAATTGAAGTGATGAGATAAGAATTGACTTCTTGAAGGGAGGATTTTATCTCAATTTCATAAAATTGACTACTACAATTTTCATAATAAAATTGCTTCTAGCTTTTAATTTTAGTTTGTTTTATGTATAACTTTCTTTTTATGTCATTCTAGTTGGCTCTTCGTAATGAAGAAGCAGAAAATGAGAACAGCAAATTAAGGAGAGAGGTTGGTAAAAAAAAACACATCATTCTGTATATTATTGGTGATTCTACGAAGTTAATAGTTAGGAGTACCTCAGTGAACTCAAATTGTTTTCAAAACATGTATTCTAAGCACCTGTTCTTTTCAAACTCACTAGTTTTTATGTGAACTTTTCTCAAAGACTTAGAAACAAGTTGAGAAGTGGAGATATTAAGTAATGCTGTAAACTCTCAGTAATAAATGGACACGTTTTGCTTACAAATTGATTATTGTATGGCAATTTTTATGACATATGACCAAACTTAAGTTATTATTTATCTAATTTTATCCAGTCAGTTAAAAAGTTTCAGTCATTAGAAATCTCCCAAATTTTGGAAATATTTTAATTATTATTTTTATTGTTTGTTCTGTCTGTCTTTAAGGTAGAGAATCACCTTTTACTTGTTTTCTTTAATAACTAATAATATTGCATTCTTTGGTTATCTAGAATAGCACATTTAATGTTTTATTTATATTTTTTTTCTTATTTCACTTTAAATATTGATCTTTTTATTTCTATTAACTTTTTACCATCCTTTTTTGGAGAACAAACATCTAAAAAAAAAGGTGAGATTTAAGGATTTAGAAAATATGGGCATTTAAAGACAAAAGTAATGGGGCTATTATTTAGAGAATAATTTTTATTGTAAGTATTTTAATAGTGTTTGGGGTGGGTTGGGGGCTTTGGTTTATATGCAGAATGAACAGCTTCGTCAAGACATAATTGACTATCAGAAACAAATAGATTCACAAAAGGAAACACTTATGTCCAGAAGAGGAGAAGATAGTGATTATCGATTACAGCTGTCTAAAAAAAATTTTGAACTTGTGCAGTATCTGGATGAAATTCAGGTAAAAATTTGTTCTTAAAGAGTAAATCAAAGAGTATTCCTTTAAAAATGATATTTTTTCCAAATGAATTTGATCTGGACTTTATGTTCTTGAGCTTTCAGTGATTTGAAACCTTCAGGTAAGAATTGTTTATAATTCGTTTTTTCTCCCACATAATGGAACCTATCAGATTAGCATTAATGCCAGAGTTAATATTTTTAAAATGCTCACTTTAAAAACAGGAAATAAATCAGTCCCTAAATGTTGTAGCTTCTTTACCTCCCTTGCCTAGCTTGTTTAGGTTTACCTTAGGATCAGCATTGTGAAGCTTATAGTAGGGCCTCTGTGCTCAATTTTTAACTTTTTCTTTCATTTAATCGGTAAATTCCATCTACATTTAAGTTAAAGACCTGTACAGAGAAGGTGTCTTTTCTCTAGTGATTATCCAGAAAGTCCCCCTTTCTTATTAATACGGTAATTAAGTAATTAATAATTACTAAACTATGTTTACAAAATGGTGTCAGTTGCTCTTTCTGTGGTTCTTATCTTTAAAAGAATTTAACAGAAGCAAATGAGAAAATTGAAATTCAGAATCAAGAAATGAGAAAGAACTTGGAAGAATCAGTGCAGGAAATGGAGAAGATGACTGATGAATATAATCGGATGAAAGTTATTGTTCAGCAAACTGATACTCTAATGGATCAGTTAAAAAAAGAAAGGGACCATAGTAGGCTTCAGGTAAGAATTATTTTTAACTTATTTTGTCTTTCCAAATAATGGTGTGGAGGAAGCTTTGTCATTTTGACACTAACAATAAAGTTAATTTTGGTAATTGCTATATGAAATGAGAAATTTTATTAATTTCACTTAATTGTGGGCATCACTGAAGTGGAACCGTCAGAGCACCATCAGAAAACAATCACTGGTCAAACTATTTAGAGGAAAGTGAATTAATTTAAAAAATAAATATATTGCATGTTCTTATAATCAAGGATAAATAGATATGTAGTTGTTTCAAAGGTATTATGCACAGGGATAGGGACTGGACCTTTGATTTTTTTTTGTATAGGAAAGTCCCAGGCGAGGAATCTCCCTCATAAATGCAGGTTGGCTCCTTCTCTGCAACTTAGAATCTTTTACAAGTTACCAAGTGCACTGAGAAGTTAACGCGACTCATGCAGCCAGTCTGTACCAGCACAGAGAAACAGTAGTACATCTAAATCTCCTCTTTTTAGTTTGTTTGTACATTTTTTTAAAAAAGGCATTATTTCAAAAAACTTGTCAACTTGGTCATTTTCAGGTACAGGAACTTACAGAACTTCTGAAAGCAAAAAATGAAGAAGATGATCCTGTCTTGGCTGCTGTTAATGCAAAGGTTGAGGAATGGAAGGTACTTCTTCAAAATCATTATGCAGATTCCTTGTGTCTAATTTTAGGCAGTGTTCTTCAAAATTTCCAGCTTTTATAAAAATGTTTATGCCGCCTACTTAATTGTATAAAAACATATGTACACACATATACATGTGCATAGAGGTGTGGGGTTATTTGTGTGTGTGTGTGTGTGTGTGTGTGTGTGTGTGTGTGTATGTGTGTGTGTGTGTATTTGTGGGTTTTATACTTCATGGAAACTCTTTTCTGATGCCTCTTAATGGCATGACCTTGATTCTGGGACCTCCATTCCAGTGGAGCTCTGGTAGGTTCTGACCCCCTAGAAAGCCTTCATGTTTAATTCTGTTGGAGAGCCAAGAATCCTAGAATGTAGCATCTTCATTTAAGATGAGGAACAGACCTCTCAGGTCATCTAGCCCTCATTTTACAGATAAAGAAGCTGGGATGTAGAAAGGTGAATTACTTAACTTCACATAGGTGGTAGAAAGTGGCAGAATTGGATTGGAACCCAGGGCTTCTGGCTAGGGCTAGGGCTCTTTTCACTACTTAGACTACTAAGAAGGCATCAGGAATTTTTTCTTCGAGAAGAGTCTGGAGGTGTTGAGCTCTGAACAACACAGAAATGAGAAACTGACTACATCTTAGCAGATGGAAAACTGAGCACAAATATCTGTCATTGCAGAATCAGCTATCTGTGGGCAAGGTGGTTATTGACTGGCTAGAGCAGAAGTTAAGATCAGTACTAAGTTATAAGAAAGGATCAACAGGAGAGGTTATTGTGTGTAATTGTGACTGGTTTGATTGGCAGCTGCGTGGTGCAGTAGAGTGCCGGCCTAGAGCCACAAAGACTTCCTGATTTCAGATCTGGCCTCAGACACTTAGTAGCTGTGTGACACTGGGCAAATCACTTAACTTTGCCTTAGTTTCCTCGTCTGTCAAATGAGAAGGAAATGGCCGACTACTGTAGTATCTTTGCCAAGAATACGCCAAATGAGGGCATGAAAAGTCAGACACGCTAAAAACAAAATATGGAAATGTTTAGGGGCAGCTAGAGGGCACAGTGGATAGAGAACTGTGCCTGAAGTCAGGAAGACTCATCTTACCAAGTTCAAATCTGGCCTCAGACATTTCCTAGCTGTGGACAAGTCATTTAACCCTGTTTGCCTCAGTTTCCTCATCTTTAAAACGATCTGGAGAAGGAAATGACTAGCCACTCTAGTATCTTTGCCAAGAAAACCCCAAATAGGGTCATGAAGATTTAGACAGAACAGAAACGAATGAACAACAACAGCAAACCGAACTATAAACTAGTGGGAATTAGATAAAGAAAAGGGGTTGGCTAATACTATTTCTTAAAGGTATAAAATTGCTGCATAATAAAGAGTAAAATAAGCAAGGATTTGTAAAATTCTACATTCTTTTTGCAGAGAATTTTGGCTTCTAAAGATGATGAAATAATCGAATATCAACAAATACTGTGTAATTTGAGAGAGAAACTTAGAAATGCCCAACTTGATGCTGACAAAAATAATGTTATTGCTCTACAACAGGTAGAAATCTTCACAGTTCCATTTTTTCCCAATATTTTCAGAAATTTGATGGTTATTTTGTTAGTGCTATGTTTTGACTTATTTTAATGGTTTCTCTTTTAGCCATAATGTAATCAAAATGTGTTATTTATTTATAAGTGGTCTGGTATAATCGCTAGCTTTCAAATTAGTAAAAACCTTTTACATCTTTTAAGATGTTTCAATTCCATGTTACCATGGGATTATGTTGTTAGCATTTTAACCATGGCTGATCTTGCCTTTTCATGAGAGGCTAACAGTTTGTACCCAGTCTAATTATGACATCCAAATAGAGTTTAGTTGTGTAGAAGTTAGTTCAGTTTTCATCATTTGTTTCATCTAAACCTTGTATAAGTGAAAGCAAAAGATTGTTAGTGTTTAAAAGGATAATACTAGAAAGAAATACCCCTTTTTTAAAAAGAGGGGTGAAATGTGGAAAAATGAATTCTTCAGGAAAGCGTAACAAAGAATCACAGGAAGGTGAAGTAATTTATGATCAAGATTAGACCTTGTAGGGAGAAAAATTCACTTTATTTTTTATTGACATAAAATTAATGAGGTATCAGTGAGAAAGAAAGACAACTTTAATTTTGTTTTGAGTAGATGAAAAAAGAGTTAAGGAATTAAAAGGAAGCCGACAAAAGTTAAGATGCTATAATCAAGGTATTTTCAAAACCTTAACTGATCAGTTAGCTCTTTAAATACTGAATGACATCTCTCACATTGTGCCAGGCAACTTTGGTTATACAAAGAAACGTCAGACTTCATCCCTGACCCCCAAAGAAAATATAATATATTTGAGCTTCTGATTTATTTATATTTGACAATGAGAGAGCAGAGCCATGTACAGATAGTATATACGTTTTTCAGGGCATACAAGAAAGAGATGGTCAAATCAAGATGCTTACTGAACAAGTAGAACAGTACACGAAAGAAATGGAAGCAGATACACTGGTTATTGAAAACTTGAGAAGTGAACTCAGGCGAAACAGAGGTAACTAATTGTTGCTATGATTTTTGATGGGCTGTGTTACATACATGTGGGAGTGTTCACAAAACCTCAGCAAATTCGTGATTTGCTCCTCCTCTATTTGACAGACATTTGAATTCTCTCTTCTTTTCCCAAATTATTTATTGCATAAATGTCATTAGTGAAACAAATGTATAGTTAACACTTTAAGGTGCTGTTTTGTTAATCTGTTCCTCTTTTACATGTTGTCTATCATCCTTTGGACCAGATCAATAGTAATAGACGAAATTGTTGATGTAACATATTGTGACCCTGGGCAAGTCATTTACCCTGTTTGCCTCAGTTTCTCATCTGTAAAATGAGGTGGAGAAGGAAATTGGCAAACCACTCCAGTTATCTGTGCCAAGAAAACCCCAAAATGGGGTCACAGAGAGTTGGATGTGACTGAAACAGCACAAAAATAAATGTGCCAGTGGTTGTGTTAAGGATACAAAGAAAGGCAAAAACCATTCCCTGCCCTCAAGGAGTTTACATTCTTTTTTTTTTTTTTTTTGGTGAGGCAGCTGGGGTTAAGTGCCTTGCCCAGAGTCCACCTATTAAGTGCTATGTGTCTGAGGCCACGTTTGAACTCAGGTCCTCTTGACTCCAGGGTCAGTGCTTTTCCCACTGTGCCACCTAGCTGCCCCAAGGAGCTTACATTCTAATGGGAGAGAAATCCGTAGAAGGTGTAAGAGGGCATATAACTAGTATAAATCATATAACATGCCAGTTAATGTCACACTTCCAACTAAGAGCGTAAATTCCTTGAGGACGAGGACTGTGTTCTATGCATTTCTTTGTATTGCTAGTCCCTTGCATGCAGTAAACACTTAGTTAGATATTTGTTTACGATATTGTAAAACTGAGAGGAGGAAAAAAGTCAGTTTAAATCAGTTTTAGGAAGTGTGAGCATGTGGCATTTTAGTTGAGTTATTATGTTCAGCTCTGTCATCTTTTAGTTCGTTGGTGATTTGGATTTTTATCCGCTAGGTTCTTCATCCGTGTCTCAGCTGAGTCATTTTGTAGAAATACAAACAAAGCTTCAAAACTTAGAAACAAGAAACAAAGATGCCGAGAGAGCGGCAGAGCTGGCGGAAGCTGACGCTAGAGAGAAGGATAAAGAGCTTGTCGAGGCTCTGAAGCGACTGAAAGATTATGAAGCGGTATGGATTTTATGTTAGAGAAGAAAGGGCTTAGACGTAGTCTTTATCGTTGGCTTTTTGTAATTATCTTTTTGTTATTATCTTTTATTCACATGATTTTTGTTGAAAGCTGACAGTTTAACATTTTAAAGACATTTTTAAAAATTCCTCTTTTCTTTCGTAGTATGTGGTATTGTGATTGCAGTCTTCTGGAAAACTTCCAAGGTGTCACCTTTTATGACCCATTGGATGTACCTACAGTTTGGGGAGTAACTCCTTCTCTCTGCAGTTTTAATTTCCAGCCATCAGCTGTATTTAGTCTAAAATCAGCATATGTAAAGCAATTTATATTTAGTTGAAGTCCTAGCCATTTTACCAGCGTGAACTAGACCATAACTGATGTACTATGCCTAAAGTTATGGTAAGAATGATTTTGGAAAAATTTGTTATTTAGTGCATAAACACAGCCTTTGTTTTTGCTTTTAATATTTTGGAGTTTAGGTATATCCTTGGCACCTCAGCAGTGTCTTTGTATCAGTGTATTCTCCTGAAATATTTCCTGACCCATCTCTTTCTTTTTACTTCTAATAAGTGTTTCATAAGTATTATCTCTGTATTGTTTTGCTGCTAAAATTCTCTTGTTATCAAAGCCACGGCATTTAAATCTTTTTCTTTCTTTCATCATTAGTAAGCACACAAAAGTACAATACAAAATTAGACAATTAATGCTATAAACCTCTGTTATGTTTTTGTAGACATTTTAGATTAAAAAATGAGTTACGTATTTTTAAATTAGATCAGAAATTCTCATTTTAAAACTAATTTTTTCTTCTTTTCATTCTAAAGGGACTGTATGGCCTAGAAGATGCTGTGGCTGAAATAAAGACTTATAAGTCTCAAGTTAAAATAAGGGACCGAGAAATTGAAGCATTAACTACAGAAATGAACAAACTTGAATTAAAGATTAATGATTTCCTTGATGAAAATGAAGACCTTCGGGAACGTTTGGGTAAGAAAAATTTCTAAAACTTTCTGTGGAGTGTAACTTTTTACTCAACATTTTGTAAATTAAAATGTTTTCATTGTAAAGCACCTAGCCCAGTGCCTGGCACATAGTAAGTGCTCATAAATGTTAGCTATTATTATTAATAATAATAATAAATTTCTACATTAGTAATTAGAAATTAGAAGTAAATTCATTTATTCACTAACTTTATTGGAGAATTTGGCAGTGTTTATACCATACCTCCCCATGGTTAAATTGATCAGCAAAGTGCTCTTGACTCACATCAATTTATGACATTAACAAATTTTCTTTAGAGATCTTTCAAAGAACTGTCCTTTTTATGTATTTGACCCATTATAAGCAAAACATTTTTTTGTTTATGTAGTCTTAAATAAATGATACAATTTTATCTTATTTATCTGGCATCAATGAGGAATTAGGTATTATACTTAAGTACTTTTCTAGAGAATTAGGAGGAAGAGTATTGCATTGTAAAAGTTCCTTACAAGCTGGATGGAACAAAAGTTAAATTCAAGAACAAATTAGAAGAATGGATAAAGGAGGGTACTGTATACCATTAAACATCTCCAACTTAACTTGTGGCTGGACTTGACCAAATATATACTGAGGAAGAGGGTCTGGAAGCAATACATCAGTCAGTCAATCAAGTGTTTAATTGGGACCAAAGGAATGAGAAAACACATTTCAAGACTTAGTCCTAAATAAATGCACACTTCTCCCTGATTTCTACCAGAGTAACCTGGCTAAATAATATTTGTGATTTCTACCTCTACAGTGAAGATAAATATCTTTCTCTAGAACCAAAATGAGTTGGATATAAGCTGTGGTATATATATCCTTGAGTTTGAAGTTTGTATCTGACTGCATCAGGAAGCTGTGGTTCATCTCTCCTTTGTATTCAGCTGCCTGCCCCCATGTTCTTCTGCCTTTCATTCCTCCCTTCCCCCAACCTTCCACCTCAGTCCAGGGAGAGGTCTGCTTTAGGATAAAGCAAGCTTCCCCAGTTCCCAAGAAGGTATCAATGTATAGTTTCCTCTGCATTTGATCCGTGATGTGAATTCTTTCCATAAAGTGATTCATCTGTCAAGGAGTGTCCATCTTCAAATGGTCAGTGATTCTTTCCTAGGACCCACTTCCTTGACTCTGTTTTCCTACTTGTCATGAGAGAGTCTTATGGGCAGCAGACAGTTGCAATGGATTGTCTTCATAGGACCCCAGCAGTGCTCTACAGCTATTTTGTAGCTTGAAAGATTACCCATTTCTTTAAACAGCCTTTCCTCAGTGGTATTCTACATGCAGTACTTTGGCGTAGCTCCATCTTCTACTATTCCCTCAATAGCAGGATGCCCCTGGAAAGCTAAACTTGGATCTCCAGGAGTCACACCTCTTTCTTTTGTCCCGTATCACTTCTTAGACATCTGTCAGCTCCACTTACTGCTAATTGGCCAAGGACAATTATTCCAGAATGTACTACTGGTTCAGTGTTTCAGCATTTATCAGTAGCATATACTGGTGAAGGGAAGTTCTAGATTCTTAGGTATGCTTTGTTGCATGAATGTCCCAGTGCCTTGAGTGTCATAGATGATCATCATTCCTTACATGGGATTTTCATGCATGGAGCCTATGGGATGGGACATCTGCATCGATGTTGGTATTTCCCAGACATTAATGCATTCTGAACTCAATAGTTAGTCAACATTGCTACATGTCTCTGGCTGGTGACATGCCCTGGCACGCTAGCTTGGAATTCGGCTATAAAAATTGTTTAAATTTTATCAGTTACAACCACGTGAAAGGGAAGAATTTCAGTTTGTGGGTATGATGAGTCTTACTGTCTGTGAGATTTCTGTTGGCAAATAAAATTGCTATCTGGTAGTCATCAGCACAAATCCTCTAGGTTGATATCAGTGGATCCAAAGAGCTTGCCTGGATCTGAAAAAAAAAAACCACACTAGCCCCTTAAGGGGCTGCCCATATTTCTTATGCCCCAAATATTTAAGCAGAGTGGAAGCAAAATCCATTTTAAAAGTGTACATGGATTGAATTTCTTCAAGATATCTCAGAGTGGTACAGGGTCCAAGCAAATGAAAGATGATACTTTTACCACAAAAGGGGGTGGAGGTGACTTAGTGGTCTCATATACCTACTTTAAGTTATAAAATATTTGTGAGAATGATGTCTGCATCTGTCAAGGGTATCCTTATTAAAAACATCAACAGAAAAGGCATTCTTTTTCAGTTTTCTAGACTAGAGCCCATTTTCATAGTCAATATATCCTTTTGTGTCTTAGTTAATTTTTAAAGAAGCATTCAGCTTAATAAAACTAAAAGGGGGGAGTCCTTAAAGATACCTCAGACAAGCTTCCTTTCACACATGTTAAAGTTACGACATTCTATGACAAATTCAACTAGAGATGTTTATTTAATGCTTCAGTACGTACAGTACTGACTCTTTTCGATGCATCACATTGCCTCCTTAAATAGAAGAAAGTTTCCATATTGGTGGCATTATTCTCCACATCTTGCCCTTCATAGAATACATTACGTTAATTAGATAGTGCCCTAGAAAGCTACAAAGCATCGTTAGTGAAATCCATAGTCATTTGAAAATGATTGATTTCACCATCCACACTGGAAAAAGCAAAATGGATGAAAAGCAAATACTGCTCTGATTGGGACATGCAGGTGAATGAATGTTGAGTTAGTTTGTCTTTGTGTATTTTTTTTTTTGGCGCTTTTTGGTGAGGCAGTTGGGGTTAAGTGACTTGCGCAGGGTCACACAGCTAGTAAGTGACATGTGTCTGAGACTGGATTTGAACTCACATACTCCTGACTCCAAGGCCTGAGCTCTATCCACTGCGCCACCTAGCTGCCCCCTAAAGAAGACTTTTTATTTTTTTGGCTAGGCAATGGGGTTAAGTAACTTGCCCAGGGTCACATAGCTAGCAGTGTTATGTGTCTGAGGCCGGATTTGAACTCAGGTCCTTCTGACTTCAGAGCCGGTACTCTATCCACTGGGCCACCTAGGTGACCCCTATCTTTGTGTATTTTGGACAAGCAATATAGTTAGACAAACAGTTGTACACAGAATTGAATGGGTCTCATCTGGGAAGCTGAATAGTGTTTTCCATTATTCCCAGTTTCTTGTTACCATAGAACTTTACCTGTTTAACACCAAAGTTCTTGCTCTAATAACCTAGTCCTGTGAATACTAGAATCTTGGAAGAAAAAAATAAAAATTTCTGATGACCTCGTAATAGAGAGATATTCAGTGGACATATTTAGCCTCAGCTCTTGAAAACTATGCTTAAATTGATCTGTGATCTCGTTGATTTGGATACTTTCTCCAAGGATGTATAGTTTAATATATCTGAGCCTTTCCATCCTACATAATTCTCGTCCCTATATTCCCATAAATTCATCATAGAGAGCCTATCTAACATTCCAGGGACTGCCCTTTCTCCTTACATCTTAGGCATACAACTAAAGCACTTTGTTATCTCTTATCTTGGGATCAGACCATTTTTATTTTCAATTAGATGCTCCCCTAATGACTTTCTTTACTTCAGTTGCTTGTTAAAGTTCCTGATTTGTTTTACTTTATAGCTGTCACACCCCCCCCCACCGTGATATTGCCTTTTGTATGACACTCATTTTTAATTCTTTGGAGACTGTTTTATTGCATATCTTATAGCCACATAGTAATAGTGGTAGAATATTAATATTGAAAAAATGGTAGCTTGTTTCTGAGAATAGCTTTGGGCCATTAATAAAGATTTGCGATTTCCTGAAGGTGATAACAGTCTACTTGTCTCCCATTTAATTCTGGATCTCTCTTGTACCTCCTGGTCCAGATGCATGCTGATAGATGACTTATGGCAGACACTGACAGCTACACTGGTAAATAAGATGGGATTCTTTTTCCCATGCGGAGCTTAGAATGTTGATACACAGTAATGTTTTCTTATTCAGAGGTAAATTCAACCCACCAGAGCACTGCAGTGAACATAGAAATAAGTAGAAAAGGGTTGTGAAGCTATTGAAATGTGTACACTTTCCTTGGTAGGAAAGGCTTACAGGTCTTGCATCTGCTCTTACCTGAGTTGGGTTATTTATTTTCAGGGAATACAGTAGATTTAAAATACAATGGAAAAGAGATATGGACGTCCTCTTGGAAGTGGCCACACTTCTAGTATAAAAGTTGAAAACTAGAACTAAGGAAGCGTCAGAAAAACTAGAACTCACAGAAAGCTCAGCAGATTGCAGCAGTTTGCTTTTTGGGGGTTAGCCATTAATTGAAATGTGCTTTGGCTATGTGAACTCAGGAAGATTTGGCATCTGTACCAATAGACGAGTGTCCATGCTGATGAAAACACAGATCTTTCATATGATTACAGCCGCTCAGGGTTGGTGTTCATTGTGATAACCCTGAATTCTTACCCTGGAACATCTGTCCACTATACTGGCCTCCTTCCATTGGTAGGTTCCTCTAGTGACCTCCATTTTGGGGAGAGGCCCAGGTCTGCCATCCTACCTTTCCCTCTCATCTATTGCTTCCGACTTCAATTACCATGTTAGACCTTTTCAGCAAAAGATATGTGAGCTGTCAACTTGATAAAAAAAAAAGTACATCATACAACTTAGAGCATAGATTTAGAGCTGCGAGGGATCTTAGTGGTCATCTAGTCCAGCCCCTATATGTTATAGAGAAAAAACACTGAGGCTCAGAATGATAAGTGACTTGCCCAGGGTCACGAAGATGGAAAATGATAAAGCCAGGATTGAAATCCAAAACTTTTTTGAAAAACTTTGGTTTTTTGATAACTTTTTTTTTTTGGTAGGGAATGGTGAGGGATAATGTTTGCTCAAAGATTTTTTGTAGCAGAAGCTTTTGAAATATAGGTAACTGGAAGAAAACCCAAATTTCTGCCAATAAGAGTTATGGCTAAATACATTTTATGTTGGTGTAATGGAATATTGTACAATTAAAATCAACACATATAATGAATATAAAGAAATATGTAAAGAATTGCTAAATACTGCAAAGCCAAAAAAAAAAGAATCAAAAGAGAGAATGCTAATTACACACCATGTAAGAAGATGAATAAATAGGAGTGAATAGACATACAGAGAATGTTAGTGCCTATTCAGAGGAAGTGACTCAAGAAGTTTTAGAGCACTTTACATGATAAAATTTATTTAAGTGTAAATATTTGCAATGCAAGTTTGGCTATGTTTATATTTAATATTAAATTTATGGTTGCTTTTAAAAATAAGGTTACATTGTGTTCACTTATGCACAGTTGAAGTAGGCAGTATTATGTACTTTAGGAGGATTTCCGTTAGATGTTAATATGACTTTAAACAATTTGGACACTTAAATAATTTTTTTCAGTTCCTGCAAAATTTCATTTCCTTATGATTCTAGGTATATGAGACATTATTATAACAATTAATTGTCTTGTTTATTTCTATGTCAATTCCTAATTTTTATTCTTTATTTTAGGTCTTGATCCAAAGACAATGATTGATTTAACCGAGTTTAGAAAGAGCAAAAATCTAAAACAGCAGCAGTATAAAGCTGAAAACCAGGTTCTTTTAAAAGAGGCAGGTATTATGTTCAGAAATTTCTTTTCTTGGTTGATATAAAGTACACTATTAATAGTTCATATTTTACAGATTGAAAGGCTGGAAGAAGAAAGACTTGAACTGAAACAGAAGATTCGAAAAATGGCTCAAGATAAAGCAAAGAAATCTGGAACTTTAGGTAGAGTCATTTCACTTTTATTAAAGCAGGGCAGTGTGTTGATATGGGGCTGCAAATTTCTTTATGTGAGAAATGCATTTTTTTTTCTTAATAGTTCGTTCAGAATTTATTAGAAGCAATAAAAATATGGTCCAATTAGCCAACATTTACATTGTTAGTGTAGCATAGTTCTGAAATGGAATTTGATCACAATAGTTTTCTCAGTTTCTTCATTTGTAAAATGGGAAGATTGAACTCAGTAACTTTTACAATCTTTTTAAGCTCTAAATCTATTATCCTGTTACCTTATGTAAAAAAGACCACCCTATCCCATACCACCTAAAGGCCGTGTGTTAAATTTGTCATTTCTAGGGGTTCCCTGGTACCTTTAAGGGGGTGGGTAGGTATCTAAGCTCTTTGCAAATGGCTCTGTGGTGGTTTTCCATCCAATGACCTTTTTTACCCCAAGTGTAGGGGTTGGATGGTCTCCTGTACCTGAATTCCTCTTAACCACTAACAGATTAGCTTTCATGTAGAAATCTTTACTTCAAAAGGCATAATCATCAATATACGGAATTATTCTACCAACCCATGGGAGACATAATCCTCCTTTCTCCATGAACCACTTCATTCTCTGGGGAGGAGAAGGGAGTTTGGGTCATAACTTACCTCATTTCTCACGGAAGTTAAAATAAAGGGCTGAAGCACAATCTGATACACTTCAGGTGAAGTTCAAAATACAGGATTAGCAATCCTGATCTCAGACAAAGCAGAAGCAGAAATAGACCTACTTAAAAGAGATGATCAGGGAAACTACACTTTGCTAAAAGGTGCCATAGACAATGAAGTACTATCAAAAATGTTTACAGCAGGTTACTCTGAGAAAGGACTCATTTCTCAAATATAGGGAACTAAGTCAAATTTATAAAAATAAGAGCCATTCCCCAATTGATAAATGGTCAAAGGATATGAATAGGCAGTTTTCAGAAAAAGCAATCAAAGCTGTCTATAGTCATATGAAAAAAATGCTCTAAATCACTACTTATTCTTAATTAATTCTTAATTCTGATTCTAAATGATGTGGGTCTGCAACCCACAGTTTAAGAAGCACTGAAGGGGGCGCGTGGAAAAAGTTTAAGAAGCCCTGGAGTAGAGAAATGCCAATTAAAACAATTCTAAGATAGCACCTCACACCTATTAGAATGACAAATGCTAGAAGGAATGAAGGAAAATAGTTACACTAATAAATTGTTGGTAGAGTTGCGAACTGGTCCAGTCATTCTGGAGAACAGTTTGGAACTTTCCCAAAGGGCTATAAAACTGCACATACCCTCTGACCCAGGACCGGCGCTATTAGATCTCTGTCCCAAAGAGATAAAAGAAAAAGGGAAAGGATCTACAGTACAAAAAATAACAGCTTTTTTTTTTTTGTGGTGCCAAAGAATTGGAAACCTAGGGAATGCTTATTAATTAAGGAATGGCTGAACAAGTCACATGTGATTGTGATCAAGTGCTGTTGTGCTATAAGAAATGACTAGGGGAGGTGGTTTTAGAAAAAACATGGCAAGACTTATATAAACTGAGCCCGAGTGAAGTGAGAAGAACCAGGGGACCATTGTGCACAGTAACAGCAATGTTGTAATGATGATCGCCTGTGAAAGACTTGGCTACTCTGATCAATACAATGATCCAAGACAGTTCCAAAGGAATTTTTGCATGATTTCACACATATCATTGATATCACATTCTTTGCCTTCTCAGCGAGTGGGGGAGGGAGGGAGAAAATATAGGTCTCAATATTTAAAAAGGAAAGAATGTCAAATAATGAGTTTTTAAAAAACCCAACAATCCTAACATATGGACACAAAGTCATGGATCAGTTGGGATTTGCACAGGAATGGGGCAAAACCTATACCACTGAGCTCATGGATTCATTAAACTGTATCTGATATGAGGAATGTTATAATTAAGTTTTCTGCTTTTTCTTTGCTTCTGATTTTTTTTTTTAATGCATTTGGTATGAATAGCTGGTGACCTACATCTGACCATCTTTAATCAGGAACTGACAATGGAAGAAAGAAAATCTCAGCTAGTGAGCTCTGAAAATATTGATGAATTTAAATTAAAGGTAAGCTCCTGCAAATGTAATTTAAGTAGAACTTGTAGTAGACTCTGCTGAAGAGGAAAAGAAAAATAATGGCTGAAGGTTTTTTTGCATTTTGAAGACTTGCTCTGTTTTTTTTATAGTTGTTAGTTTTTAGTAAAAAACTGTATTTAGTGATTGAGACATTAATGAATCATTATTTACTCTGAATACAGATTAGAAGCTCAGATAAAATAGAATCAGCATATAAGAGAGCACCATGCAGTGGTCCACAGTCAGATCAGAATATTCCTGAAAGAAGCATGATGTTAGGAAAATTATCAAGAAAAATTTCTCAGATGCTTCAGAGTGGAGATAAGCTTGTAAGCAGGCATTCTTTTGCCCATTTATCAAGAGATTCTTCACCTATACAGATCAGACATCGCAGTCCAAGTCCCGAAGGCTTTACAGTTAGACAGATTTATAAAGCACCATGTCTGCAGTCTACAAGGAATTTAGAATCTCTCATCTGTAGGCAGAGCCAAGAAGACTCAAATGATCACTTGTATTCCCTTTCTGATAACTACCTAAAGCGAGCTTCCACAAGTCATCAGGCCCTAGAGAAAAACAGTCAATTACAGTGTCAAGAGGCTCCTTAAACTTAATGAAGCAAGATTCTCCTGCTGGACAGAGGCTAACACTTAGCCAGAAATCCTCAATTTTTTGTCATCTTATTCATGATAAAACAGCTATCATGGAAAAGTCGCAGATAGTGAAACCAGAAGTTGAGCGACTTCCTACTTCAAAAAAGCATTCTGGTGATAAAAATGATTTGAAAGATGATATATCAAAAGAGCACATCCCACTCCAAGCAAAGATTTTGAAGAGTAAGCTTGAAAGTAGCCTTCATACCACAGAATCTTGGCATAGTATACCCCCCACAAAATTATCTCACCTAGATCCTGTTGAAAACCTTATAGAGCAGCTGCGGAAGGAACTCGTATTTCTTAGGTCTCAGGTGAGTTTCCTTCCACCAAATGTTCTAGTGTGTGGCTTAGATAAGTTTTTCTTTTACCTTCAGATGTATTTGACCAAGTTCAATCCGAATATACTTTTAAAGGTTTAAGTGCATGAAATAAAAAAAAAAAAGTAAATTCCTTCATGTCATGTTACTTTTAAAAAGTATTAACAACAAAATGTGTATTACAAAAAAGCAACATAAAGTCAGTATAACTCATTGGCTTGACTGTTCATTACATGTTCCCTTAGAATGAGCTGATATTCCAGGATTTGTTGATTAAGGAAGCACAAAGCAGAGATACAGAATTAGAACTTCAGAGACACAGGAGCCAGGCAGAACAGGTAGTGCCCAAATCTGATAACTGAAAAGAGAAATCGATTGGACTATATGTAGAAACATTCCTCATAGTACTGCTTGGAGCATAAAGTGTGTGTGTGTGTGTGTGTGTGTGTGTGTGTGTGTGTGTGTGTGTGTGTGTATGGGGAGGGTGGGCAGGGACAGGGGAATGAGTACTTTTATATTATTTTGTTTCTTCAATACCCCTTGTCTGTGGACTCAGTGAGTGGTGAGTAACGCTTAAATTGGTGAAACTTTCTGAAATGATGTCTTAAATATTCTCAGTCTGAAAATGCAAATCACGTTTTTGTTCATTCGTTTTTCCCCAATGATAGAATGAGTATCTTTCAAAGGAACTAAATGAAAAGGAAAGAGATTTGGAAAGGAATAGGATAGTAATAACCAAGTTCCAAAACAAAGGTGAGTTAAGTTTGGATAATATATTGCATTATGTTTATTTATGTTTTGTCTTAGAACAGCTTTCCCATACTTAGTCATGAGAGAATGAATGAATAAATGAAAAAATAAAACATTAACTAAGAGCTTAGTCTGTGCTGAATGCTATGAGGGAGTTCCCACCTCAAACAGCTTCTATTCTAAGATGGGGAGAGGACCTAGAGGGCCATGTGGGACTTTGAGGCTGCAGGTTCCCACCCCTGATCTAACTTAAAAACCTTCATAAAGCGTCGTTTTCTGTTCTTCCTCTGTAGTCCAGTTTGTTACCTTACAGCCTCTTCTGTCACGGTTTGTGCTATTCAAATCCTTTCTGTTTCACACGAAATTATTTCAGTTTCCAGTATAAATAAATATTTGTTAAGTACGTATCATGTGCCAAGCCCTGGGGTACAAAAAAAGGCAAAAAACAGTGTCTGCTCTTAGGAGATACACAATTCAGTGGGAGAGTCAACATGCAATCAGCCATGTACAAACCAGCTCTTAAATAAGATGAACAGGAGATGATCAAAACAGAGAAGACACTAGGATTAAGGGGAGTCAGGAAAAGCTTCCCAATTAAAACCCCATCTTCTGGAACTGAGAAGCCTTTCCTGATCCCTAACCCTAACCAGTTTCTCCTGTATTTAGTGTGTTTGTACCAATTTGTCTGCTTATCTTTCAAATTAGATTGCGAGCTCCTTCAAGGCAGAGACTGTCTGTTGCCAGTATTTTTATCTTCAGCTCTTACCACAGTGCCTGGCATACAGTAGTCACTTTGTAAATGCTTATTGATGAACTGTCTAATTTTTTCTCAAACTGTGAGGTTGCCTGATAGATTCAGATATAGAGAGCTCTAGATAGGATCCCTATTTAATGAGAGTAAATGTAGATAATCTGTTTTTAAAAGTTTGTGTTTTTATTTTTCTTCTACTCAAATAGTAATTTTCTATTACCAACTTGTGTGTTTCTCTGCGAAATATTCTTAATCATAAAGTCTAAGAGCTGGTGAGGACCTTAAAAATCATCTGATTTAACCAATGCTTGAAGTATGAATACCCTTTATAAAATTTTCTGAAGTTATGATAAATCTTTCTTTATCAAAATAGAAAAATGTATATTTAATTTCAGTAAAAGAACTTGTGGAAGAAAAAGCACAGCTTGAAGAAGGTTTGAAAGAAATATTGCAGACCATTAAGGAAATGCAGACAGAGCCTGGTGTTAAAGGAGAAACACCTCTGGTCATCCCTAGTCTTGAAAAACTAGTTAATGTAAGTTTTCTTCATATGAATGGATTTATTTTAGTTCTTTTAGGACTACTGCTTTTGGAAGCATTTCTCTTATCATTTTGGACCTTACTGATCTTGGGAAACTAGGCACCAAACATGAGAGCTATCACCAAACATGTGACAATTAAATATAGGCGTATATTTACTTTAGCACTTCAAAGAATAGCATCAACTGTCAGAATTAGGAAGTGATTTCAGTAGTTTCTGTCTTTGTCTCCCTGCCATCGTCCCCTGTCGTTTCCTCAGATACCTCCATATTTGTGTGAAAGGATTTCTCTGCAGCTCAGTCATACAATTTCTTAATCCCTTCAATTTGAACAGCATGCTTCTCCACTTAATTATCACCCAGGGATTAGTGATCAAGCCTCTGCCATATTATGGGAATGAACTACTCCCATGTTCCAGGGGTTGGTGATTAGAGCAGAATTTTGATCCCTGATCCTTGTCTCTGCCCCTCCCTCACGCACATTGAACCTAAATCTTTGTCGTTATTGTCACTCCTAGACCTTTATGACCCATCGCTTCTTGACCTTCTCCCTCTTTGGCTCCCTGTATGTCTATCTCGGGCTTTGGGCACATGGTCTTTTACTTTAATGTATCATTAGTGACTACAGTGGAATTCCTTGTGCCCTGATGTCCTGTTGTTATTAACCTCCACAGCCTTACCACTTACTACACAGCTTTATCACTTACTGACCTTCACCATTCCATTCTTTAAGGGCAGTCATTGCAAAGTTGCTGGAAGTAGTCATGAAGTCGAGGTGATTTCGTTTGCTGCAGATTCGCTGTAGTCAGCCTTGTCTGGGCCTCGTTGCTACTTCACAGTACTACATCTCTATCCTTGTCAGTGCCCTATATCAGCCACTATAGCTGCTGTCCCATATCTTTTGTCCTCCCAACCCCAGCTCCACTCACTTTCTTCATACTTGGAGAAGATTTTTATTTCGCATGGGAGGATTGAGTCAGTCTAAAAACTTAGCTCACTGCCCCCACTCCTTATCTTCTTAGCATTGTCACCATCTTTGTCTTTCTCTGCTGTGATTAGAGAGGTCAGTCAGACAGTGTGCTAAGTGCTGAGAATGCAAATATAAGCAGAAAGACAGTCCATGCTCTCAAGGTGCTTACATTCTAATAGGAGATGATAACCCATAATAGAAGCTGAAATTGGGGAATGGGGAGAGAGAAGAAGGAAAAGGTACCCAGGTCATGATGGGAAAAGTTTGGAGGGTAGCCTGGAGAGAACTGTCACATAATGGTCTAGGAGGTAGTTGTACTCTATATTTCAAACATCTTAGGTGTGCATATTTGTGTATGTATATGTGTATGTGCATATGTGTATGTATTTGTCTGTGTGTTTTATAATTTAATTGAATTGTTGAACAATATTCCCGTAGTCTTCTATCGTAGAATCTGGTTTAATTTTTTTTAGCATTGTTTCATGTGAGTGTGTGTGTGTGTGTGTGTGTGTGTATCTGTATACACACATGTATATATGTATATAAATATATATTCAATGGAGATTCCTTGTTTGGTTTTTTTTGTTTGTTTTTGCTAGGCAGTGGGGTTAAGTGACTTGCCCAGAGTCACACAGCTAGTGAATGTTTTGTGTCTGAGGCCAGATTTGAACTTAGGTCCTCCTGAGTTCAGGGCCAGTGCTCTATCCACTGCGCCATGTAGCTGCCCCAATACCTTATTTTAATGACAGCTTCTAAGGTTGTATTTTGTTCTACTGTTAACTTAAAAAATAAAATAAAAGACAGTGAGATTTTATGTGTTTTACAACTCAGCTTATTGTGTAAATATGAAGATATAGACAATTGAAAAATGATTTTCTTCAAAGGCCTGTTTTCTTCTTATTAAGATCAGATAACCTGTAGATTATTCATAAAGATTTTATATAAATGGAAAAGTAGGCATATGCAGGACTAGTTGTTAATGCTTTCTTGGTTAGCTTTCACTGGATAAAGGCATAATTTCTGATCTTTTCCTTTTTTTTTTTTTGAATCTTTTCCTCTGAGATATCTTGAAAACTGATCCTTGAGTACTTTTAAAATTTTGCCCCTTCAGTGTCAGTGACAGTACAGAATTCTTATGTGTTTATTTGATTATGTCCAGCTGAGTGAAGCTCATAGTATAGTAGGGTATAAGATAGAGACAGATAATTAAATTACTCAATATTAATATATTATGTGCATTAGAGTTACAAAGGAAAATATTGCATGGTTCTAAGAAAAAGATTATTATACCAATGTTCTATCAATACTTAAATATTTATGTTCTCATTTAAAATGTATTTTTAATGTATTAGGCTATGGATTTGAGGAATGCTGAGGGAGTCTTTGATGCCAACCTACATTTGAAAGCCCAAGTTGACCAACTTATAGGACGAAATGATGAATTAAGAGATGAGCTTAAAGAAACTCGGAAAGAGGCTACAAATTACTGTCAACAGCTGGCAAAAGCAAATTTAAAGGTATATAATTTGGTAAATAAAACATTAATAAGAAGTCATAGAAAGATTGAGTTAATGCAGTTGAATTAGTATGAAAAATACATGCTTTTAATTTTTTTAAAAAAACAACCACAGATAAATACTTATGTGGTGATTTGTGAGAATATTGCTTCTTATTATTCCTACTAAGAAGTCAGAAAACATTTATAAAAGTAGAAATTGGTCAGTGATTGGTCTGTGAATGTGAAAAGAAAAATGTAGCTGCATGTCTTCACCTGAGTAGAAACTGAAGTATGGTTTTAGTTCATTCAAAGCACTATATTTGTACATCTTCTTTCTCTGATAGATAGAAGAGTACATTGTGAAGTGTAGCATTATAGATGTAAAGCCTGATTTTTTTCTGGACAAAACATTCTTATATTAAATTTTAAGATTTTTTTTCTGGTTTGTTTTTAGGTGGAAAATCTTGAGAAAGAAATTTTTCTCTTACGTCAAGCAAAAGGATCAAATATTGTATTCAAAGGAGTTGACTTACCAGATGGGATGACATCATCTAGTGCAAATATAATTAATTCTCAAAATGAATACTTGATTTATATTTTACAGGTAGTTAAGTTTGTAAGGTTAAATCACATAATTTCTCTTGTTTCATATTTTAATGTTAATACGTCATTTGGGGATTCTTTAACTTCTTTACACAGGGATACATTAGTAAATTTTAATGCACTTTGCCAACAAGAGCCTTTTCGTCTACCTCAGGCATATTCAATCCATCTTGACCTTTGAGGTAGCCATAGGACAGGGATGGTAGATCACTGGATAACAAATAACTGTTGCAAAGGGAGCAATAGGAACTAGAAGAGAGAGATAGGAGAGAATAGAGTTTGCCTGGCATCGCTCCTCAGGTCAATGATGGCAACTGTGTCTTGCTGGTCCTTGCCAGACTCAGCCACTAGGACGAGTCTTTTAAATAAAAAAAATTATTCCTTCCTGCCTGTTTCCATTAAAAAGATGAAATAAAGCATCACTGAACTTCAGTGTCTCTGCAGCTTACTGTGAATCATTCTTTTGATTGACTCTGTTCTTCCTCAAAATGGAATAAGATAAAATTGAGTGTCGTGGAAGGAGAGAGAAACTTTTCATTATATTATTTAAGGAGTCTGTTTAAAAGCCAAAGAAAATCATTTTCCCCACTCTCTGTGCTACTGTTCTCTTCACCAGTATACATCATGAAGAATTGAGCTTTCTTTGTTTATAATTTGTATAATTTATAATAATATAATTCTTCAATTATACAATTATTACAGTAACAGTTATGTTAAGTGTAATAGCTGTAACATCTATCTTATCAAGTAGCAAGAAAGAATTTATTTTTTGAGTTTCTAATTTTAGTGAGTCATCCAAAAGAGTGAAATGTGACTCAACATACATTTTTATTTGATCCTTATAGTAAGCTTTGCAAGGCTGTACCTTTAAGTTTAGATGGCATCAGGACAAGAGAAAGAGAGAGAGACATTTCTTGGTCAGTTGGGCTGCTGATTATCTGTGATTCTGATTTTGTCATTCCTATTTCCAACACAACCTTTAGGAACTAGAAAATAAAGAACAAATGTTAAAAAAGTTAGAAGATTCACTTGAAGAATATAATAGGAAATTTGCTGTCATCCGGCATCAACAAGGCTTGTTATATAAAGAGTATCTAAGGTACAGTTGGGGAGCGTAATAGGGGATCTGACACAAGCTTGTCTGATACAAATTTTTAAATTAGAATTAACAAAATGTATTAGTATTTAACATGTCTAGTATTTAAAGTAGTAATTTGCTGTTCATCTGTGTTAATAGATTAATTTTTTTGTATGTTATATTTTTTACTTTTGGTTACTTCTACCATAGGTAAAGTGTCATTGTTTTAAATAGAGTGTGTTATTATTCATGGTGAAATTAAACGAAATTGATTCTTAAAGTAAATAGCTAGTTTTGACATATTTGCATGATCTAAAAGGTTTCTTTCTACAAAGATGCAAACATGCATGCACATACGTATGTGCAGGCACACACGTGTACACATACATAATAGTGACCACCATGAAGACACTAGTATCTTACTGCTTTCTCTTTTGTAGGAAAATAGGCAGTTTTCTTCTTGCTGTCTATGATAACCATTTTAGAGAACCATCTTTTTTTCCTACTAATTATTTTCTAGTCCATTTGGGTGTAGAATGTTTTCAGTAGATAAATATTTAGCTTTAATTTTATTCATATTATTGAAGGTCTTCTTATTTAAGGTCAAGAGTGTAAATCTGACCTAATCTGTTCTCATCTTAGATCACATATAATCTTTGAAAAGTTTTGAAGTATGATGAGTCGTTGGTCAGAATAAAAGTGCTTTAATAAAAGAACTTTCCTATCTTATATCTGTCATAGCTTCTAGTATACTAGGTATGACTTTTGATAAGAATCAGATTTGGAGTGATCATCCCCCTTACCATATGCTGGACCTCTCTGTGTGTTCTTTTCCAAAATTTGTAGATCATCTGTAGCCTCAAATGTTGCTTCGTCAAACTAACCATCTTAATGGAATGCACTAGATTTCGGTTGTTCTGCTTTTTTCAGTGAAAAGAAAATCTGGCAAACAGAATCTGAAAAACTGAGAGAGGAAAAGAAAAAGCTTGAGGATCAAGTCGAACAAGATGCTATTAAAGTAAAAGAATATAATGTAAGTGTCCCACCATTCAGAAATAGCTGGCCAGTGCCAGCTGAGGGGCCTTTCTGGATGTCTAACAGCAATGAGTAACTGAAATGCTTGGTACTTGTTGCGCAGAACTTACTTAATGCCCTCCAGCTGGATGCAGATGAAACGAAAAAACTTCTTTCCGAAAGTAGTAGGAAAATCAGCGTCTTGCAAGTTAATGAAAAGTCTCTGATAAGGCAATATACAACTTTACTAGAAATGGAACGGCATTTAAGAAAAGAAAACAGTAAACAGAAGAATGAATTGATAGCCATGGAGGCTGCAGTTGGAGACAGAATTGGCCATTTGCAAAGGTTTAAGGTACTCTTGCTCTTAGATATTTTTCCTCAGAACATTTAAGCTTTAGATTTTGAAATTTCTTGAATTTGTATTAGACTTACCAGAGAGCAAAAAACAATGAAGAGAAATCAAATGAAAATTTTTAATTTTTTTTGACATCATCTTCATTTAAAGAGTGATGTGTAAGATTATTAATCTTAAACCAAGATTTTATTGTGGTCGTAATGCTGAGTAAATAATTAAAGGTCCTACTTAAAAAAGGTAATTTTTTTTATCGCATTTACTGTATAAAAGAGATTTTGAGACTCAAGAAAAGTAATTGTTTTTTCTTTTTGTGCTAGACTGTTCAGAGTCTCATAGAAGATCTAGTTCTCTTGATAATCTGGAAATTTGCAAGTATAACATATAGTTTTGACAAGGAGTAGAATGATTACAAAACATTTATGTAGAAGAAAAAAGAATAGGAATTATACCTTCTCTCTTCAATCCTGATTAGCCCAGCGTCACAATGTTGGGGGGGAGGGGAGAATGGAAGGTAAATAAAAAGACAGTATTTTAAAAAAAGAAAACGATAGAAGGATAAATGTTCTGGAGACATTTGTGCCAGTTCAGAAATATAGGAATGGAATTCAAAAGTACAAAAAGAACTGAATTACTTTTCTTGTACTTCTGTATTCTTCCTTCCCTAATACTGTCAGACCTCTCGACTAGTTATTGTCACAAGTTTTTAGTTCTCGCATGGCTTATCACATCACTTTAAGAGATTTCCTGCCTAACTTTCTTCTAATCTCATTGCCCTACCCTTTTTCAATGATGTTAGTAATACTTGGTGTTATTTAGAAATAAAGGAGACTTAGTTGTATTTTTGACATATTCTCCTGATCATTAAGGAAATAATGGTGTAGGTTTATGTAATTTCTTAGGATTATTGTGGGTAGGCAGTGACCTGAGTAATTTTGGATCCCCGGTGTCATTTTTAGAACTTGGTTTCTGTATTGAACAATATGTATGGTAGCACTAAAAAATAATTTACTTTTGGGGTAAGAAGATACTTTGCCTATGGTATAAAACTGACTTATATTCAACTCTTAGCCTAGAGAAGCTGAGGAGGCAGACTGCAGCTGTGGATTGCCAGGACTGTACTGAGCTGCGTGTCAGCTTCGCTTGGGGGTGTTCAGCTGTTGTGAAACAACTTGACTGCTTAGTTGCTGTAAAATTTCCCTTTGTAGTCTTACAGTATGCCCTGACAAAGACATTTATTGATTCAGACTGATATACTTTTTCTCAAAATAATTTAATCTGACAGTTTATTGCAATAAGAAATATTTTTAGAATACCAAAATATGCTCCATTTTTAGCATAAAATGGGGCATGCCAAAGAATTGTTTTGTTAAAAGTTCATTTAAGTAAGAATTTTCTTATATTTTTTGAAAATCTTTTTAATCAATAAACTTTATCACTGCATAATGTTAGTTTCTTTTTTTAGGTCTGTCTTTGAAAGAAACAGTGCTGAAATATAACATTGTTACTTTTATTTACATAGGAAATGACCATTTTCAGGATCGCAGCTCTCCAAAAACTTATAGACAATAGTGTCCCTCTCTCGGAACTCGAATTGGCCAATAAGCAATACAATGAATTGACTGCTAAGTATAGGGACATGCTGCAAAAAGATAATATGCTTGTCCAGAGAATGAGTAGTTTGCAGTTGTTGGAGGTAAGATTATATGGTTCTTTGTTCTCGAAAAATTAGAACAACCTTTTCAATAAGTATTTTCCATCCTTGGAAATTGTTGAGATTTCATTTCCCCTGTCCTCAGAGGATTCGTAGGGGAATTTAGCAAGTCCAAATTCATCAGGGGTAGCAAGTAGGGGAGAAGGACACATGCCAATAATCGCAACATGAAACATTATCTGATGAAGGCCATAAGAGGGGCTCAGATAAGTAGGTGGAGGAATTTAAAAGGAGTAAGCAAACTCCTCTGAGGAGGTAAGAGAGGGTTGTAGGAAGGAGAGGACATTGAAGTAATGTTAGTAATAAATGAAAGTTATGTTGTAATAATCATGCTGTTGGTCTGAATTGTTCTTTAATTACTCAAAGATATTTCTCTTATTCAGTGTGAAAATACGTCTCTGAAAGAACAGATAGATGTTATAAGTAAGGAACTGGAGATCACCAAGGAAAAATTTCATACTGTAGAGCAAGCATGGGAACAAGCCACTACATTAGGCAAGTCTTTGCTCCTGGAATGACTGTGATACAATGCTCGCTCTGTTGTTTAACCATGTTAAAACCAAGTGTTCTTACACAGGTGAAGTAGAATTTATCTGTATCGACAGTCTAATTGTTTAAATTATAAATACAATGTATGGTGGTATCTTCTTCTATAACAAATGTACCAAATTAATCATCATGATAAGGAGGTCTTCAATGGGATGAATTTCTTTTTAAAACTTTACCTGTTGAGAAATTTATAATGAAGTATCTCCCATTTTGTAGGGTTTTTTTCAGTTTGGTAAACACAAGTTGTTAGTGCTGTTAAAGGGTCATATTTACATACAAGCAAATCACAAATATTAGGTGGCTGCACTAGTTATGAACTTGCTGTATACATTCTCCCAGAGTTTATTTTTCAGACTTCTAGCTGCCTTTCTGCCATTCACAGTATTTTTTTTTTTAAATCACTGGCAATCACAGTGTAGCTAAGACCTGCCATCTTGGTGTCTCTGGCAAGAATACTGATCAAATAATCTCCTTCCATCTGTGAGCCTTTCCTTGTTGCCTGAGTTGGCAGTCCCCCCTCCCTCCACAAATCACCTTGTGTAATTAATTATATTAGCTCATGTTTGTGCCCTTGCCTCACTGAGCCAGCCAGAAGTTTTCTGATTGCAGGCCTGGTTTTGGTTCTACCTTTGTGCAGCATCACGGGTCATTAAAAAATATGGCAAATTAGGGGAAACTTGTGTTTTCTCCAGTCATATCCAGGACCAAAATCAATCACTCAGATTATGGAGTGTTCATCTTCATTCATTTTCCTTCCTTTACATTATTGTCATGATCATGATGTATGTATGTTATTTTCCTGGTTCTACTTACTTTCCTTTGCATCATTTTTTGTCTTCCCATGTTTATCTAAATTCTGCATATTTATCATCTCCATATTTTGGACTAGCCTTGTGATTTCATTAGTGTCATTGAGGAAACTCCTTCTGCCTATGCAGGTTTGCCCTTTATCTGTCCCTCTCAGCCTTAAGGTTATCTAAAGCACAAAGATGCTTGGGGACCTCCCCAGGGCCACACAACTAGTCTGTGCCAGAGAGAGGATTTGAATCCAGATCTTTCAGATTCCTTCATACCAGCTGGTAGCCACTATGCAGCATTGTCTCTCTTGTTGTGTCTTACAGAGGAGGAATATTCCATTACATTGATGTGCCACTATTTGTTTGCCTGTTCCCCAGTCGGGGGGTATGTACTCTGGGGAAACACACACACACACACAGAATTTAAAAGACAACCATGGCTTTCATGTTCCGTTGACAAATTTGTATGACTTGGAGTGGGTGGTAACTGGGCCTACATACTTTGGCTCCTTTGAATTTTCATTCAGTCCTGCCAGTGATGTAACTTATGAACAGAGGTATACTGATGAATGTTTAACAACCAGCTCTCTGAAAAAAAATAGGCAAAACAGACTTTCTGGTTTAATCTGCATTATTAAAATTTTCCTTATCACTTTTTAAAGTCTATACAAATCAACAAAATAATAAATCAAATCCTGATTTGTAATATTTGCCTATTTTTGAGCTATGAATGCTCTGAACTCCCACAAAATGATATAAAAAAATCTAAATTAAAAAAAAATTAAGTGTACTTGTAAAATGACACAGTTACACAGATGTCTCCTTTCCTTGCTTTTCTCTTCCTCTCATAGGGCAATTTTTTCAAAGCTACTTGTGAAACTCAAAAATCCCATTATTTCATCATATTGATCACTGCTTTCTCTGTCCTATACCTACTTTCCAGTAAGGCTTCAATTGTATGCACAGATATAAGATTATAACTATAGACAATACTCAGATTTTATATTTTTATATGAGGAGATCTAGAGTGAAAATAAATCTATGTTCAGATTAACATGGTATATTCAGCTTTATTTAAGGGTATTGAGGTTAGTTCATATCATAAATTGGATATTTTAAATAGACATAATTATTCTTTAATTTACTTGCCTTTCAAATTCGAATTTTTAGACATTTGTTTATGGGAAAAACCAGTCAATTATACTGTCTGATATTAAAGTTGTATGTGAATAGTGTAAAAAAGCTTGAGTGCTTATAGGATTGAAAAATGAGGTGACTAACCATGTAACAAGAGTTAGAAATGAAGTAGACAGCCCAAGTGCCATACTGAGCCCCCTAACTTCTTAAAAGTACGTGATAAGGGCTCCAATGCAATGTGGGGCAGGGGGCGCCTTATATAGGATTTACAATAAGACCTGGAAGAGATTCATTCAGGATGAGAAGACATGGTAGAACTACAAGCTACCAGAAGGAGCTCCCATGAAACGTTCTGAAAATTTAACAGTCAGCTTTTGAGAGCCTGTTTGAGCTAGCGCCAACACACTCTTGTTTATGAACTTCGGAAACTATGCCACCTCATCTGTAAAATTAGCTTCACAGCCAAGGAATAAAGCTCATGACCAAATATTACTTATAGTTATTAACATAAAATATTGGCTTGGATTGACTGTATGGCATTGGCAAAATATTTCACAAGTTAGAACTTTAGTAAATAAGATCTGAAAATCAAAGGAATTGCCTGAGTAGACTTCTCCATAAATTCACCCTATTTGTCTCATGTCTTACTTCTTTCATATTCAGATGTTTTGCATTTGACTTAATTTTAAAACACTTTTATTGAATTTGACTGAGTTATTTTTGACCACAGGAAGTGATTTGACCATGGATAAAGCTCAAAAAGCTATAACGAACAGTGAGATTGTTTCTATTTCTAAAAAGATTACGATGCTGGAAATGAAGGAACTGAATGAAAGGCAGCGTGCTGAGCACTCTCAAAAAATGTATGAGCACTTACGGGCTTCATTAAAGCAAGTGGAAGAACGTAATTTTGAACTGGAAACCAAGTTTGCGGAGGTTGGACATTCCAATTTTTGTGCTTTACTTAGAGTTGGAAAAATAAGCCCAGCCCTTTAAGTAACTGGCATTACTTGCCTTAGCCAGTCTTTAGATTGTCTCGGAAACAGCAGTTTAAGATAGTTTTTATCGTTAGGTAATGAATGTGTTTGAAATCCGAAATTAATGAGTAATCTCAAAATAACATTGATTTTATCTGCAGTATGTGTCCTTGTAGTTAAGTGCTTGTCATCAGTACAACACTATGTGATTAAATTAGATACACAGAAAGGCATTAAGTAGTAACACATTATTTTTAATCATAATGTTATATGTGTTTAGAATTAGAGTGTTTTTTTAAAATCTAGGCTGACAAATGTTTTTTTTTTCAGATTTTAACCACATTTCTGTCAGTGCCCATTGATGAAATGTTTTAAATTTAAAAAAAAATCATTTTCACAGCATATCCATCTCACTTACCTATTATTTCCAGTCTGTGAAACAAGCAGTGAAAATGGTTCTCTTCCCTGTCAGTTATCCGGGTGGGGCTCTCATGAGGCTTGTTTGGACCTAGAATCAGAAAGTGTGAGGTTGTTAGGTCTAGGCACTATGCATAGAAGAATTTAGTTCAGTAGGTGCACCGCTTAATCAGCATTATTATGCTGTTACGATTGAGTTAAAATGCAATGACCCTCAAAAATTACCAGCCATGATGAAACTTCTTTCATTGGAACTTCAGTTTTTTTCTTAAGATTTGCTCCAAAATTGTATGTGTCAATATTTACTTACTGAAATTGAATGCCATTTAATTACTGTTGGGAATTACTTTTTAAGTGTTTTAACATAAGCAGTGCTTAATTTAAATGCTGTTAAGCAACTAGCTCTCTTCCTGGCACATTATGGAAGAGCAGCCAAGAGCCTCACTTCTGCACAGGAGGGAGGGAAGGTTTTTTCCCTCATTTCTTTTTTGGGGCCAGCCTTGGTTATTGTAATTTCACAGCGTTCTGTTGCTGTTGTTTTATTGTTGTTGTTCTTTTTCTATTTCATCGTTTTCACCAGTGAGCGTGTTGTTTTTTCTGGTTCTGTTTACTTCATTTTTATCAATTCGTGTAAGTTCAGTTCTTTCTGTGCGTCTCTTTGTTCGTCATATTCGTCATTACTTACAGTGCAGTAGTATTCCATTGGCATCATGCACCAGAATTTCTTTGACTAATCCTCTGTTTATAGGCACCTTACTTAGTTTCCAGTTCTTTTCCATTGGAAAAAGGTGCTGTTATACTATCTGAAGAAGAAGCCTGGCACAGTGGGTAAAAAGACTGGCTTTGGAAACAGAGAATTGAGATTCAGATTCTATCTCCAGTGTTTGCTACTTGTTTTACCTGGGACGTGACCTTTACCTTCTTGGGCTTCAGGCTTCTGAGGCCTCTTCTGGTTCCAGCTCTAGGACCCTGTGGTGTAGGGTGTGTGTGTGTGTGTGTGTGTGTGTGTGTGTGTGTGTGTGTGTGTGTGTGTTGTGTGTGTTCTTTTTGTCATTGATTTCTTTTATGATATTTATGCCAGTAGCAGAGTCAATGCCCTTAGGTAGTTTGGGTTTACTAGAGAGTGTGTGTGTGTGTGTGCACGTGTGCATGTGTGTTTGAATTCTTAACAACTGCTGTTTGCCCCAAAAGGTATCCATATCCAGTGGGGGCAGTTAGGTGGTGCAGTGGATAGAGTTTCAGCCTTGGAGTTAGGAGGACCTGAATTCAAATCAGGCTTCAGGACACTAGCTGTGTGACTCTGGGCAAGTCACTTAACCCTGTTTGCCTCACTAAAAAGCAAAAAAAAAAGTTTTAAAAAAGCATCCAGTGAAATGTAGTTAGATATGTGTCTTAGAAAATAAACCTGTTTGTTTATTCCTGAGCTCAGGCCTTTTGTTGGTACACGTAGACAAATCACAAGAAATAATTAAAGGGGAGGGAGCCCCATTCATGTTAGCTGTTTCACAAAGTGGAACTGGAAGGTAACTGAGATGCATATTCTGTAAAGGTCAGTGAAAATTTTCAAAAACATTTTGGTAATGGACATTGGAATGTGGTTAAATTTTATAAGGAAGAAAAAGGGAAAAGATGTATAAATATGCCAAGAGCAACTTTTTAGTTGTACTTTTTTTTTTTAAGCTTACTAAAATCAACTTGGCCGCACAGCAGCTGGAACGAACGTTAAGGGATGAACTAGCCGAGAGTGTGAGTAAGGAAGTGAGTGACGCCGACAGGCAGCGGATTCTAGAGTTAGAAAAGAGTGAAATGGAATTGAAGGTGGAGGTGTCTAAGTAAGTACTCTAAATCTTTATCGTCATCTGCATATCTCAGTTCTAATTTGTGAAAATATCGTCTTCTAATCAAATCATTCCTTTTAATGAGAAAGGCATTAAGTGGCTTTTGAACATAAAAATCTGCTGTTTCTTAGCAGTCATTTTTTAAGTTCAAACTATTCTGCATTTTTATATAGACTTACACCTGTTAATCTTCTTTGGTTTTCACTTTTAAATAGAAGATAATAAAAAACCTTAGATCTTCAGAAAATGGAGTTGTAGAAACATTAATGTATCAGAGTTATAGAAACATTAATGTATCCGATATATTTTTCCCATGGGGTAGAAAAGTTTCCTTAAAGGTTATTTCTTCTTGATGTTACAAGCATATAAATAGTATGTTCAGTACTTGAAGTTGTGTAGGAGATATGGGTAAAGAACAGGGAAGAATTCAATCTTTCAATCCCTACTGCAATTTATTTCCCACTAGAGATGATTTTAAAACTTTGAACCTAATCTTTGGGACTTCTGTAAAGTAGTAGAATGAATGTAGCTCCCCTACTTCCCTCTTAACCCTGAAAATACACACATACACACACATACATTTTTAATAATCTTAACAGTTGTGGGAAATGTATCTTAAAGTATTTTAAAATGCACTAAACATTTTAAAAGGAAAAGAGGCCTTATACTGAATCCTGTAGGTATTTTCCTGAGATTGTTGAGAAAATAAAGTGGGGTAGGGAATCTCTTCTTTAAAAAAATGGTTGAAAATGCTTAACTTTTAGGAGATGCCCTAACCGAATATTATATCCAACAGCCACAAATCATCTGGACGCTTTTGCTTCCTAATGCAAATAGAGCCTCTTTAAGGTCTTAGCAGTGGTATTATGTAAATATGTTAATTTACTTTTATTTTTAACTATATAGTTTTGTAGAAGTAATTAGTGCTTCAGATTGGCATTGTAATAGGTGATTTTCAAATTCTCTTTTTTTCTTGTTACCTTTTTTATTTATTAAACATTACAGTCATTTCTCAAATTTTCTCTTGTTTGAACCTTCCCTTCAGAATTAAAAAACAAAATGAAACAGTTAAGCCAATCCAAATGACAAAACCACTGTTCTTCTAAGAGGAGGGAATGTATCTTTAATTCTCTATTCTCTGAAACCAAGATTTTTTTTTGCAGTTAACTTTCAAATGCCTTTTATTTATGTTTTCATTTATATTATTGTAGGCATTGAGAATATTCTTCTCTTCGTTCTTCTTTGTTCACTTTGTAATGCTTCATTTCATTCTTCATTTTTTCCTCTGAATTGCTTACATTTATCCTGTCTTTTATTACAATATTTGTTTAGCCGTAATCTAATTTGATAGGTACCCACTCTGTTTCTCTGTTTTTTTTTCCCCTTTAATTACTACTGTATGAGTGCTGCCATGAGTATTTTTGGTTCTTTGACTTACTCAAGGTATATGTCTAGTTGTGGGATGTCTTTGTTAAGTGTTATGAAAATCTTAGTAACTACTTGCATAATTCCAAATTATTTTCCGGAATTAGATCAGTTCACGGCTGTGCCACCAATGTATTATTGTTACTGTCATCTCACAGCCTCTCCAGTTTTGTTATTTTTATTATCTTTGACAATTTGATGAGTATAAAGATGGTACTTTATCAATTTATATTTGTATGATTTGTAATATTTTTAATGATGGTTGATTATTTTATTTTATTTGTTGAATATTCTACCCATCCATTTACTGCTTATTTATTAGGAAATACCTTTTAGTTTTCTATAATTGTGTCAGTTCTTTTGCACTTTTATTAGAAATATTTGATGAAAGTCTCCTCCCCCTCAAGAATCAGCTTTTCTTTTTAGTCTAGCAGCATTGATTTTGTTTGTGCAATAGCTTTTATATTTTATGTGTTTAAAATTGTCTGCTTTCTCTTTTTTTGGGGGGGCAGGATAATGTATGAGATAGAATGATGAATTCTCAGTCAGGAACACTTGGGTTAAGATCTTAGAGACTTACCAGTTGTTTGATGACCCTGGGAAAGCCACTTACAGTCTCTGCTCCTCAGTTCACCAGCTGTAAAATGAAGGTGGTTGGACTCAATGACCTCAAAGGTTCTTTCCAGTTATAAATCTATGACCCTAGCAACACCTAATTCCCTTGTTTCTTTAATGATTCTGTCCATGTTTTTTTGTATTCTCTATGATTTTTTTAAATGTTTAGGTTACATCTTTTTGGAGTTTATTGTAGTATATGTTGGAAAATACTGGTTTAAATATATATCCTGCCAAATTGCTTTCTAGTTTTATTAGTAGTTCTTATTAAATAGGAGTCTTTCCATTACTTTGTGATCTTGGGTTTGTCAAGCACTGGGCTACTAAATCTGTAAATTCAACTTTAATAGAATTGTCATTGTCATATCGGCAAGGCTTTGCCATGACTAGTGAGCGTCTCTTCAGTTATTTAAATTATTCCTCATTTTCCTTAGTTTCTGGTGTATAATTGAGCTTTAAGATATTTTGTGCATCATGTAGTTATTTTGAATGAGACTTAACTTTCCATAATTGCCTCCTGGTTTTTATATTTAGTAAGATTAATTATTTCCATTATGTTTCTCAGAGGAAACCATCTTTGCATCCTTAATATAAATTCCACTTGATTATAGTAAATGAATTTTTTTTTATAAATTGCTGTGATATTTTTGCTAAGATTTTTCTTAAATATTTTCAATCTATATTCATTAATGATATTGAGGGTTCCATTTCTTTCCTTTATCTTTTCTTGCTTTAGGTATTCAGACCGTGTTTACCTCATTAAAGGAGTGCAGTGTAGTGTCTCGTTTCTTAGTTTTTGAGAATAATTTGTGTAGTGTAACTTGAAATCGTTCTTAGGAAGTTTGATAGAATTCCTCTGTAACTCCATTTGGACCAGTGGTTTTTGCCATTGATGATTCCTTAATAGCTAGTTCAGTTTCCTTTTCAAAGACTGGATTATTTAAGATTTCTCTTCAGTGGTCTATTAATTTGTGTATTTTATGTTTTTGTAGATAATTCTATGTCTTTTGAATGAACAATTTTGTTGGTATATAACTACGCAGAGAGCAAGTTTTGATAATTGTTGCTGCAATTATCAATTTTATTCATTTGTTCAAGGAACCAACTTTTTGTGTTTTTTTTTTATCAAGTCTGGTCTTTTTGGTTTTTAATTTATTTACTCTTAAGAGAAACTTCATGTTTATTTTGTGTTTTTTCTTCTTTTAATGTTTTAAAATTACATATTTAGTTTATTAATCTTCTGCGTTCTATTTCATTTATATTTCTAGAAAAATAATTTTTACTTTGAGAACTTCTTTACCTGGATCTCAAAAATTTTGGTTTATTGTCTTGTAATCATAATAGTAATTGTTTCTATGATCTGTTCTTTAACTTGTTAGGTTTTCTGTATTTAATCGTATCTTTTGCTTATGTTCCTTGTATTATTACTATTTGTTTTTGGTGTTATATTCTGTACAGGATATATTTCTGCTTTTTAAAAAACATTTCTTTACAGTTTTTCTGTGCCCTAATAACAAATATATTTTTTCAAAGGTGCCCGTGTTGTATTGGTAAATATGTATATTATTTAGTGGTTCCATTCAGAAAATAACAAAAGTCTCTTAGCTTCAAATTGCCCCATAGTTTCTTCTGTTTAAAAAAAAATTTTTTTTGTTTACCTCTGTATTAGATTTGTCCAACTCTGAGAAAGGAATATTAAAGTCTCCTGTTACTGAGTTACTAACTATGTCTTTTTAAAATTCAATTAATTTTTCTTTCATGAATTTAAATGCTTCGCCATTTAGTACTGACATCTTTAATATTGATATTGTTTCTTTGCCTATGACTCCCTTAAGCATTATTTATTTTCCCATTTATCTTATATTGTGAATTTTTGGTTTTGCTTTTCTTGCTAGCATAATCACAGTTCCTACTTTTATGGATTTACTTCATGCATAGTAACTTTTGTTCCAGCCTCTAATTTTTATTCTAAATATGTTTTTACTTTTTAGATGTGTTTATTATAAGGAATAGATTGTGGGATTTTGTTGTATTATCCATTTTGCCACTTTCTTTTATTGAGTTAGATATTTCATATTTAAAGTTATGAGAGTCAGGTTAGAATTTTCTTCTATTTATGTCCTTAGTGTTTTTTAAATATTTTAAAAATTTCTTTCCTCTCTGACATCGATACTTTGTTTTTGCAATTAGTTTTGTTTAAGCAACTTTGATATAGTCTTATTCCTATAGGCTTCCCTCCTCCCCTTTCTCTACTCTCATTTGTCAGCCCTTTTCCCTGGTTTGGAGGTTTTACTTAAATGTTGATTTCTTTTTCTTTCTTTTGTTACAACTATTTCCTCCCCTCTTTATTTTCCCTTTTCCTCTTCTTTTTCTTGCCTCAGTTAATTCAAAGTTGATTTAAAATGTTTCCTCGCCTTACCCACAACTTCTTTAGTTTCTTTGTTTTCTTTTTTCTATCTCCTTTTCTTAAAAAAAAAAGATTGTTTTTGCTTTGTTCTCTTCATTAATTCTCTTCCCTTTCTGGACTGAAATTTTATACACTAAGTTTTGGTCTTTATCTTTATTCCTCTTTAATCTCTTTTTGTTCCTCATGGAGTTAAGTCTTCTGAAGTCCTAGGCTTGAGCTCCTTCTAACCACTTTTCTATTTTGTTAACCTAACAGATCTTGCCCCCAAATCCTTTTTTTTTCCTTTTGTGCCTCACTCTCAGAACGGGGGAAATAATGTGTATAGAGGCAGTGACCCATGTCCATAATCATGAAGTGGAATTCTTCCTGCTACCCTCCCCATCGTTCTTTATCCACTTGACTTTGCCTTTTCACCTATGGGTGTGTCCATGCCTCCTCCCCTCCAACCCCCAGCCACCAGCTGCCTTTAGGAGCTCTCTTATTCCTCCTCCTGGAGCAAGACATTGTCCCTGGAGTCACAACGTTTTCAGAGAAGGTGATCTCCCTGTGAACTGCTTTATCTAGTATTAAGTCCGTTGTGAGGTTCTCATCTCCTGTTGCACCGCTTGCCTCATGGGAGTGCCTTACCCCTACCTCTGTTAGGCTGAGATTTCTCCTTTGATCTTCCCAGTTCTGCTGCCTTTCCCATTCTCCATTAGCCCTTCTTGTTGAGAGGCCATAGGCATCATATTCCTTTGCTCTTTACCCATGGATTAGTAAGGGGGCATCTCTCATTCCTTTCTGTCTCCACTTCCCTTCTTCCCACACAAGCATCCTCCCTCTCTGCAGTTTTGTCTCACAAAACCTATTGATTCACCTCTATGGGGGTCATTTGGTTGGATGCTTCATTTCTGTTCCTCTGTTTTCACTTTTTTTCCCCCTTTTCATTCTATTTGTTTTTATCCCCTTGTCCACTTTTTTTTTTGCTTTTTGGTGAGGCAGTCTGGGTTAAGTGACTTGCCCAGGGTCACACAGCTAGGAAGTGTCAAGTGACTGAGGTCGGATTTGAACTCAGGTCCTCCTGACTCCAAGACCGGTGCTCTATCCGCTGTACCACCTAACTGCCCCTCCTTGTCCACCTTAAATCTTTTGACAATTTCTTTCTTTTTTCTTCTTTCCTAGAGAAATCTTTTTCTTTTTCTTACCTTTTTAAAATGATCTTTGAACTTGTGTAATTTATTTCTTTATCTGTTCTTTCCTTAGTAACTGCACTTATCTAACCTTTCTTGTGTTTCTTATTGTTTGGGGTGTTTGCAAGTGGAATATTCTGCTTGTCTGTTTTGTTTTCTTTTACAGGAATTACTCAAATGCCTCTCTTGTTGAACATTTTTTTTTTCATTTATGATTAGGCTTATATTTGTAGGATGTCATTTCAGGGTGTAGCTTGAGTACTTTTGCTTTTTGGAGTGCACTATTTCCTTCCTTTTTGCTCTTTCTAATGTATGGGGCACAATCTTATGTTGCTCAAATTTAATTTCCTTTATAAAGGAAGGTTATCCTAGTTGCTTATAGAATTTGTTATCGGAGTAATTAAATTTAACCCCTCTATGTCTCTTAATTTAAAGTGTATAGATTTCTTTACTGGAGGTGATCTATGGATTCCTGTGGTCCATTGTTTTCTATATTACTACATTATAGGTAGCTTTCTTTTATTATTTCCATGGCATTTGATTTTTTGTAAGTTGGCTCTACATTTCCCACACAGTGTCATTAGCTTTGATGTCATTGGCTTTGGCTGTGAGAGACACCACATCTTCTTTAAACATTGCTACCTTTTCCCCCCTTCTTTTTCCATATTTTTGTCCATGTCAGTATTTTTGGATTCCAAATATGTTCATCTCTTTTGGCTTCACTGAAGGAACTTACCACCATGGTTTAATTTTTTTTTTCCAAATCTGTTAATAGATTTAAAAAATGTCTTCATTGAGAAATGTGAATTTTGATATGTGTATGTGTGTACGCATATATATTTGTAATTTCTTGTGGATTTCATTTCTTTTTTTTGTTTTGTTTTGTTCTGTTTTGTTTTTCTTTTTCTCTTTTTGGCTAGGCAGTGGTATTAAGTGACTTGCCCAGGGTCACAGAGCTAGTAAGTGCTATGTGTCTGAGGTTGGATTTGAACTCAGGTCCTCCTGAATCCAGGGCTGGTGCTCTATTCACTGCGCCACCTAGCTGCCCCAATTTCATTTCTTGAATAATTATTTTTGGACATTTCTGATATTTCTTGTTCTCTATTCTTGTAGTATTACAAAGAATTCTGTTTATCAGGAATCAGTTCATTTTCTTTTGTCCCATAATATTTAAGAGGTTTTTTTTTTTTTGGTAAGGCAATTGGGGTTAAGTGACTTGCCCAGGGTCACACAGCTAGTAAGTGTCAAGTCTCTGGTCTGAGACCGGATTAGAACTCAGGTCCTCCTGAATCCAGGGCCGGTATTCCATTTACTGCACCATCTAGCCGCCCTCTAAGAGTTTTAATCTCTTTGAGGAAGAACTTGTCTTTCTACCTAGTTTTGCCTGCTGGTGCTCTGTGTTCTATTGAGTTTTCTTCCTCTTGGATGGTTCAGCCTTTTCCCCTTATATTCTCCTATCACTGCCTTGCAGGCTTCTGCCTTTGCTTATGGGTAAAACCTTGGGGCTCTACTGCCATGCTTCCTTAGCTTTCTCCCCACTGGGGCATGTAGGCCTCATTGGTCCTTGTCCTTGCTATCAGAAGCCTATGGAGAGGTAGGGCTGGCTGCAGCTGGGAGTGGCTTTCCTTTAGGCTCGGTAGAGCCACTCGCGGTGGCTTCCTGTCTCATTTCTTCCCTTGGCTCACCTTTCTTTTTCAGGCTGAGCTGTATTAGGGTGTGCCACTTTTTACACAGTTTAGGGGCAGTGGGAACAATATTCTGGACTCGGTCTGCAGCTTCTAGGATCCTTAAATTAGGGGCCACCCAGGCAGAAGCCTAACCACCCTCCTTGAGAGCAAGCAGAGGATGACTTGTACTGGTTAAGTCTTTGCAGCAGAAGGGGATTTTAACGTGCGCCCAGGCACAAGCCCAGCAGGACCAGGTTCAGGTTCGGCCTCCAATGTGCGCTGTATTTATGACCCTGGACAAGTTGCAGCCTTACACAGTGTTGTAGGCAACTCTCTAGAGAGACTGCACATTTCAGAGAAGGTGCTGACCTGTACTATTAGGAGGAATTTCCTCATCCCATGCCTTTCCTATCCGAATGGAATCCCAAGTCCAGTCTTTGTACCTGTCTAGTGGGGACTGGGGAGAGTGTCTGATCTGCCATCTTGGTGGTCTCTTTGTCTAAATATTATAATGCAAACTTATACTCAAAACATTGCATATCAGATATAGTGTGGTTAATGTCAAATAGAAAAGTTATAAACCAGGGGATTGTCTTAAAGAATGGAAACCCAGCATTCTGATTATTTTTTAAAAACCAACTCCTACTTTGCATTTAGAAAGTTATTAAATGCCTAATAGATATTCCTGTATCATTGTATGACTCACTAGACTGAAGGAGATTTCTGATATTGCCAAGACTCAAGTTGAAGCTCTGAGTTCACATCAGCAATCCAGAGAAAAGGAGGTCGAATCTCTGAGAATGCAGGTGTTAGACTACCAGGTGAGAACAGTGCCAACTCTTCACAAGAGGCACGGATTCACTCGTTTTTAAAAATCAGGTTGGGGATGATTTACAAACTTCAGGTCTAGTCACCCTTTGTGGGAGTCTGGTAAGGACTGGTTAGAATACCTTGCAACTGAACCTCTCTCTGGAATAGAAACGTGGTGGGAGGAAGAAGGAGGTGGGAAGAATGGGCTTGGGATTGACTGGGTCTAGTATAGACCCTGGGGCTATACTTAATGCAGAACAGACACTGCAGAAAAAGCATGAAGCTAGCTGAGTGTGCTAGTTGGGTTTTTTTGTTTGTTTTCTTTAAAACAAAGAAAACAAAAATCCTCTAAATGGCTTAATATGTCCTACTCAGTCTTTTTTCATCATTCCAGTAAAAGAGAGGCCAGTGTTATTATAGGTACTGAAAATTTTATAGGTACTGAATTTTATAGGAACTAAAAATGCATTTTATAGGTACTGAAAATAATTACCTTGGTATCGCCAAATTACATTGCTGCTTAATGGAGCCCAGACTAGAATCAGAGTCTCCTGATTGAGAATTCTTTCATTGGATGATTGAAACTTATATCATAGAATAGTCTTTGTGGGTTATTATAGTAAAAATGCTGTACTTGAATTTGAGTAGCATATTATAACATATCCATAAATAACACTTTTACATGAAAAACCTAAACCTTGATTTCAGTGAAAATTTATTAACTGACAGATAAAAGGCATGTCATCAAGCTATGTGCAAGGGAGATAAGCAAGACACAGTCTTTGTCCTTGAGCATTTTACAGTTTTCTTCAGGGAGCTGAGACGTGTATAGTACTAACTGTAAAATGCTAATTCAGTATGACGGGGGTTGCAAGTGTTTTGAGAGTTCAGAGGAAGAAAAGCTTGCTTTTAGTAGAGAAAATCAGGGTCACCTATGTGGAATTGGTCAAATTTGAATTGGGTAATGAAGCAAAGGTGTGGTCTTGTCTTCTTACTTACCCACCCTAATTCCCTTTGGCACCAGGCACAGTCGGATGAAAAAGCCCTCATTGCCAAGTTGCATCAGCACATTGTTGCACTTCAGATTAGTGAAGCCACTTCTGTTAGCAAGTTGGAGTCGATGACTTCCCGGCTCCAGAAGGTGGAGACTTACAATTTGCGTCTTGAGCAGAAGCTTGATGAGAAGGAGCAGAGTCTGTATTTTGCCCGTCTGGAAGGGAGAAATAGAGCGAAGCATCTGCGCAGCACCATTCAGGCTCTGCGGCGACAGTTCAGTGGTGCTTTACCCTTGGCACAGCAAGAGAAATTTTCCAAAACGATGATTCAGCTGCAGAATGACAAGCTGCAAGTCATGCAGGAAGTCAGGACTTGTCAGGAGGAGCGGAGAAACATGGAAAACAAAACTCTGGAGCTGGAGTTAAAGTTAAAAGGCCTGGAGGAGCTCATAAGCACCTTAAAGGATGCCAGGGGGGCCCAGAAGGTGTGTCAGTTTTGATTTTAGATGTTAAAGTTAAAATCGGATGTCGGATTTCGGTAAGATTCTGCTTTAGTTTGTCACTTTAGGTCTCAGGATGTATGGATGTGGAGCAGGGCCAGGAACTGAACCTGTATTTTCCTGTGAATAGAGAACTCCCATATGAGTAAACTCCCTCTACTTGTAGTCTTAGAGAGTAGCTTAGAGCAGCAAGAGACTAACAGGCTTGCTTGGCCGGGGTCACACACCTAGGACTTGAAGGCTGCCAGACCGAGGTTCAGATCCTGCCTCCAACACTCAGGTCACGGCATCTCCTGGGGCCTCAGTTTCCTCATCTATAAAATGGGTGTGGACACAGTGACCTCTTGTTGCACTGGCAGACACACAGATAACACGGTTTGTTGGGCAGGAGAACACAGGAGGGCTCCTAACACTTAACGGGTGTTCTAGCGCAGGTTCACTTTTGATCTGGTCAGACAGAAGGACAGCTTCAGACGGGTTGGATAAGCTGACTTTAGTCTAGTCTAGTCTTCTCAAAAGGAGTTTGCTGATAATGGGAGCTCCAACTCCTACAGCATTCCTTAATTAGACTTCTTACAGGAGTGGGCAAGAATGGTAGGAACTCCGACTTCAATCGATCCCCTAAACCTCAGTGGGGCCCAATTGAAGCAAGCACACAGATTCTACCCAAGCCTTGATGGGGGCCAATCAAGGCAGGTACATGAATTCCTCTGTGCATTACCCATGTCCCCAAATGGGTTCTCCACTTACTGGCCAGTGCTCACTTGCTTTACAGGGCAATAGACAAAGAAGGCATATGCCAACAATAGCCTTACAGGTTAACTTTAGCAATATCATCATTCAGTGCAAGTGTAGTAAATATCACTGATGTCATTCCTATATCTTACTGCGCAAGCGTGGTGGAGATGTTTTTAACCATAATTTGTGAGAAATATTATCTAGGATCCTGGACTATTATCTAAAAAGGAATAACAAAATTCTCCTTACACTAAAATTCACCCTCCTTACACCTCTGATGACCCTTTCTAAATCTGTGATCCCGTGAAATGTACAAGGCACAAATCAAACCCAGGCTTTCCCAACTCTAAGGCCAGCATTCTGTCCGTTGTACTATCTGGTTGCCTCTAGATGGAGCTGGGCAGAAATTTTCCTTTTTGATGTTTTTTGGCATTAGAACTCATGTGGATTTGCCAAGAAGCAAACCTACTTGACTCCTGGACTTAGGACATTCTTTTTTTTTTTTTTTGATTGGATAACCAGACTGGTAAATGAGGGCGGTCCTGTAGACAGACAAAGGAGATGTAGATTTCGGCAAGGCTTTCAGGTACTGGGTGACCTCTGAGCTTCATTTCTTTGAAGATTTTCTATCCAAATTAATTGTAGAAACAAGAATGAAGGGAAAATGGCAAATCTGATAAAGAGAGCAATCATCTTCTAGTGCTTCAGAAGCATTCATATACAAATAATTTCAGTCCTAATTTAAAAATGCCTTATCACTCATTGTACTAGGTCTCAAATGAATTCTCTCCATACATTTAAAAGCCTAGTAGTTTTTTAATACATATTTTTAATTATAAGCTCACATTTATCTAGAAATACCTTATAATTCATAGTTTTTATTATTTGGACTAGTCTTTTTCCTAATTAATAGGAATTAATGAAGTTTTATTGTGGCTACCTTGGACCTTAGTCTGACTGTCTTACTGAGAATTTGGGACTTCCTTTTTCCGTTAGTGAAGCACAGAATTTGTCTAAGTGCATGTTAGTTGGGCAGATGATCCATTCTATCTAAAGTAAATGGGTGTTTTTTTTATAATGGTCACAATTATTTTATAAACTTTGGAATTTGACTAGCTGAGCGAGTTTGTAATGCATAATTTTATTATGGAAAGCTTGATTGATATATGATCTCATGCAATTGAAATAATTAAAATGAACAGTTTGTTTATTATGCTCATCTGTGTGCCTACATGCAGCATTTGTATGTATATATACGTATGTGTGTGTGTATGCATGTATGTATATGCCCATCAACCTCTTTCTGTCTTATGTAGGTAATTGATTGGCACATGAAAATGGAAGAACTTCGTCTTCAAGAGCTCAAACTAAATAGAGAATTAGTCAAAGACAAAGAAGAAATGAAATATTTGAAAAACGTGATTTCCGAATACGAGCATACAATCAACAATCTAGAGGAAGAGATTGTGCAGCGAAACAAGGTGCATATGTCTGGATACATGGAGCGTAATTATGCTTCTCTATTAGTATTTTAAAAAATCTGAGCCACTGCCTAAGTGGCTCCTGTAGTCTCCTGACTGTATGGAGCTCCCATTGTTATTGTATAATAACAGTGTAGATTTAGTGCTTATTTTTAAATAATTTTAAAAATAAATTATTTTTATAATAGTTAAGATAGAAAGCATGCTACAAATAGTAGCATTAATATTAAGTTGAAAACCTTTGCTAATTATATTTCACTAGGTATTTCCATTTACTTATTTAAAAGTTTCTTCCAGTTTCCCTTCTCTACTATTAAGGTAAACTGTTTTTCTACAGTTTCATGAAGAACAACAAATGTCCTGGGATCAAAGAGAGGTTGAGTTGGAACGGCAACTAGACATATTTGATGGTCAACAAAATGAAATATTGAGTGCAGCTCGAAAGGTATGTAGAGAATAATGGGAAATCCATGAATAGCACACAAATCTTTTGTTATATAGAATGGACTAGAATGTACATTGATGAAAATTTTTCCTTCCCAATCAGGTAAAATCATTTGTCTTCTTTTGTTGCTTAAAAGATAGGTAGCATTTAAACTATGCTTAACATGCACTTGTGAAAATGAGCATTTTTCCCAATGGTAGAACTTTTTTTTGCAAATTTCTGTTTCCCAACAGTTTGAAGAGGCTACAGGATCAATACCAGACCCCAGTTTGCCTCTTCCAAATCAACTCGAGATAGCTTTGAGAAAAATCAAGGAGAATGTCCGCATAATCATGGAAACCCGGGCAACTTGTAAATCGTTGGAAGAGGTAATTAATTTGCCTTAATCATTATTAGGTGTGAATGTGTAACTCCTATATTAATATATGTTCATGAAAGTGAAGCCTTGGAATTAATTGTTAAGCCTGTAGGTAATTTAAGAACGTATTCCTGCCATCGGTTTCACATCCTTCCCCTAACATGACTTATATAATCCGCTGAAGAAAACCAGAATTGATTATCTTGGGTTTTTCTCTCTGACCCTTTTGCTATACGTACCTGATCTTTCCCTACCTAATTGAGTGTTGATCCTAAATTTTTTTCTGTGTTACTTTCTTGCATGAATCTCATGAATCAGAACGCCAAGAGTATTCTGTATTGTGTATCCTTCAAAATGTCACTTGTTAATGAGGAGTTATGAGAAGTTGTTTTAATTCTTGCTTTTAGCAGACAGATCCAAAAAAGCTCCTTTATGAGATGACATATAAAAAAGAATGAGTACTAACTATATGTGAGTTTAGTTTACTTTTTAAAAATGAGTTTATTTTTAGTTTTCAGCATTCACTTCCTTAAGATTTTGAGTTACAGATTTTCTCCCCATCTCTCCCTTTGCCCCTTCCCAAGACAGCGTGTAAATTGATATAAGCTCAACACATGCATTCATATTAAACCTATTTTCACATTAGTCGTGTTGTAAAGAAGAATTAGAACCAGTGGGAGGAACTATGAGAAAGAAGAAACAAACAGAAAAAAGAGAGCAAATAACAAGCTTCGATCTGCATTCAGACTCCATAGTTCTTTTCCTGAAAGTGAACAGCATTTTCCATCATGAATCTTTTGGAGTTGTCTTAGATCTTTCCAATGCTAAGAAGAAATAAGTCTATCAAAGTCAGTCATTGCATCATGTCACTCTAACTGTATACAGTGTTCTCTTGGTTCTGCTCACTTCACTCAGCATCAGTTCACATAAGTCTAGGTTTTTCTGAAGTCTGCCTGCTCATCATTTCTTAGAGCACAATAGTATTCCATTACATTCATATACCACAATTTGTTCTGCCGTTCCCCAGCTGATGGGCATCCCCTCAATTTCCAATTTTTTGCCACCATAAAAAGAGCTGCTACAAATATTTTGGTACATGTAGGTCCTTTTCCCGTTTGTGTGATTTCTTTGGGATACAGACCCAGAAATAGTATTGCCAGGTCAAAGGGTATGCACATTTTTGTAGCCCTTTGGGCATAGTTCCAAATTACTCTCCAAAATGGATCATTTCACAACTCCGCCAACAATGCATTAGTGTTCCAGTTTTCCCACATCTTCTCAAGCATTTGTCGTTAATTTACTTTTCATTGGAACACATAAGTTATGAATACATTTTTAAAACTTTTCAGTTTAAATGTATTTTTAAAGTAAAACACTATGCCAGGAATTGCTAAGACACTCAGCTGCAAACTTTCTCCTTAGAACAGTGCTTTGCTCTCTCAGCAAATTTCCATGTAGCCCTCCCCTTTATGGTCCTAAACCCCAGCCATCATAAATTTTCTTCCTCCTCTTGTTCCAGGAATTAAATCAAATCAACATTGCCATTTCTTCTGGAAGAGAGCATGTCATTGAACTATCTTATTGTTCCATCTAGATGTCATAATCTGGGCAGTACTAAATTTTAAAATTTGCTTTTTCTTTGGTTTTCTTTCCCCAATTACATTAAAATTTTTTAAAATATTCATTCTTTAAAAAATTTTGAGTTCTAAATTCTCTCCTTTCCTCCCTCCTTTCTTTTCCCCTTCCATTAAAAAGGCGAACGATATGATATTAATTATACATGTGAGGTCATGCAAAACATTCCCTATTAACCATATTGTAGAAAAAAATAAAGGAAGTGAAAAAAACGTGCTTCAGTCTGCACTGAGAGTTTATCAGTTTTCTCTGTGGAGGTGGAGAGCATTTTTCATCATGGGCCCTTCGTAATTATCTTGGATCATTGTCTTGATCAGAGTAGCTAAGTCTTTCATAGTTAATCATCCTTATAATATTGCTTTTACTGAGTAACATATTCTTCTGGTTTTGCTAACTTCCTTTAAACAGTTCATATAAGTCTTCCCAAGTTTTTCTGAATCATCTTCCTCATCATTTCTTATAGCACAATAATATTCCATAATAATTGTCTACTACAGTTTGTTCAACCATTCTCCTATTAATGGGCATCCCCTTGATTTCCAATGCTTTGCCACTACAAAAAGAACTGCTATAAATATTTTTGTACAAATAGGTCTTTTCCCGTTTTCTTTGCTTCCTTTGGGATGCAAACTTAGTAGTGGTATTGTTAGATCAGAGTGTATGCATGATTTTTTAGCCATTTGGACTGTTCTATAGAATAGTTGGACCAGTTCACATCTCTACCAACAGTGCATTAGTGTACCTATTTTTCCATATCCCCTCCAGCGTTTATCATTTAGCTTTTCTGTCATGTTAACCAAACTGAGAAGTGTGAAGTTGTATCTCAGAGTTGGTTAATTTACATTTCTTTAATCAATTATGATTAGAGGATTTTTTCATGTGACCATTGATAACTGATTCCTTCTTCTGAAAACAGCCTGTTCAAATGATTTGACCATTTATTAATTGGAGAATGGTTTTTATTTTTATAAATTTATAAATATGTGTATATAATTTATAAATAAGAAATTTGGTGTAAGTTTTTCTTCCAGGTTTCCTGCTTTCCTTCTAATTTTTGGCTGCATTGCTTCTGTTTATGCAAAGGCCTTTTAGTTTCATGTAATAAAAATTATCTTTTTTATTTCCAGTGGTCTTCTCTGTCTCGTTTGGTCATAAACTCTTCCCTTATCTATAGATCTGACAGGTACATTTTTCCATGCTCCCCTAATTTACTTATTTGTTTAAAAATTGTTTATTTACTTTTTAAAAACTTATTTATTTATTTACTTTTAGTTTTCAACATTCACTTTTATAAGATTTTGATTTCTAAATTCCCCCCATCATCCCCTTCCCAAGACCACATGTAATCTGATATAGGCCATCCATGTATGATTATATTGAACATATTTCCACATTGGTGATGTTGTGAAAGAATAATCAGAACAAAAGAAAAAAAAACATGAGAAAGAAAAAACAAAAAACAACAAAAAAAGAGAAAATAGTATGCTTCAATCTACATTCAGACTCCATTGTTTTCTCTGGATGTGGTTAGCATTTTCCATCATGAATCTTTTGGAGTTGACCTAGATCATTGCATTGCTGAGAAGAGCTAAGTCTAAAAATGTTGGTCATCAAACAATGTTGCTTTTCTTGCTTACACTGTTTTCTTGATTTTGCTCACTTCACCAGCATCAGTTCATGCAAGTCTTTCTAGGTTTTTCTGAAATCTGCCTGCTCATCACTTTTTATAGCAGAATAGTATTCCATTACGTTCATATACCACGACTTGCCACCACAAAAAGAGCTGCTATAAGTATTTTTGTTCATGTGGGTCCTTGTGCCTTTTTTATGATCTCTTTGGAAACTATTTATAATATCACCCTTTATGTCTAATTCATTTACCCATTTTGGCCTTATTTTATTATACAGAGTAATATGTTGGTTTGTGCCTAGTTTTTGCCAAATTGCTTTCCAGATTTCCCAGCAATTTTGGTGAAATGGAGAGTTCTTACCCTCAACTCTTGGATCTTTGGGTTTATCAAACAGAAGATTGCTATGATTCTTTACTGCTATATATAGTGTACCCAGTCTGTTCCACTGCCATCACTCTATTTCATAGCCAATACTAGATTGTTCTAATGATTACCACTTTGTAATGTAGTTTGAAGTCCAGTAATGGTAGGCATCTTCCTTCATTTTTTTTTTCATTGATTCCCTTGATATTCTTGATCCTTTGTTCTTCCAGATGAACTTTCGTTATTTTTTTTCTAGCTCTATAAAATAATTGTTTGGTAGTTTGATTGATATGGCACTGAATGAATAAATTAATGTAGGTAGAACTGACATTTTTATTGGCTTGGACTGCCCATGAGCAATGAATATTTCTTATATTCAGGTCTGTCTTTATTTGTATGAAAAATATTTTACAATTGTGTTCATGTAGTCCCTGGGTTTCTCTTAGCAGGTACACTGCCAGGTATTTTATATTGTCTATGGTTATTTTAAATGGAATTTCTCTTTATATCTCTTCCTGCTGAGTTTTATGGTCTCGAAATAGAGATAATTTATGTGGTTTATTTCATATCCTGCAGCTTTGGTAAAGTTGTTAATTGTTTCAATTAGTTTTTTAGTTGATTCTCTAGGGTTCTCTAAGTATACCATCATATCATCTTCAGAGAGTGCTAATTTTATTTCCTCATTGTTTGTCTTCATTCCTTCAATTTCTTTTTCTTGTCTTACTGATATAACTAGCATTTCTAGTAAAATATTGAATAGTAACGGTGGTAACGAACATCTTTACTTCACCTTTGATTTTATTGGGAAAACTTCCATTTATCTCCATTACAAATAGTGTTTGCTCTTGGTTTTAGATTTATACTATTTACTATTTTAAGAAAGCCTTCATTTATTCCTAGGCTTTCTAAAGTTTTTAATAGGAATGGGTGTTATATTTTATCAAAAGCTTTTTCTGCATCTGTTGAGGTAATCATAATTTTTGTTGTTTTTGTTACTGATATGGTTAATGATGGATATAGTTTTCTTAATGTTGAACCAGCTCTGCTGCCTTCCTCCTTTTCCTGCTTTATTAAAGTGCTTCTATGAATTCTTGTTGGGCTTGTGTCTGATTCACTTCTTTTTTTCTTGAAGGCTTTGCTTGTAGCTGTTTTGACATTATTGTCTTCTGAGTTTGTGACTTGATATTCTCTGTTACCATAGTAGCTTTTTATGGTGAAGTTCATTTTTTGTTGTTTGCTTATTTTTTCCAAGTTGCATTCTGTTCCTGAGGTTGGGAGATGGAGTAGGGGCACCATCTCAAGCTTCAGGCTTTTTCGCACTGCTATTTTCATAGCTAGTTCTGGTGGTTTGAAAGTTTTCAGTGCTTCCAAGGTGGTGTGATCTGGGGAGAGGTGTGGTCACTGGGCCTTGTTCTCTTTCTAGCACCAGCAATGTTGTTTTTCAGGGCCCCTGCTCCCGTGGGACTAGAAGTGCTCCTCTCCACTCTTGAACTGTGACCCAGAAGTGGGTATGGGCAGTGGAGTCGCCAAACATCTTGGCTCTGTCCCTGATTTATTTTTTTAGTGTGGATGGTGAGGTGAAATTTACCTTGAATGGTGTTCCTGAGGTCAACGTCATCTATAAAGAGTAACATTTTCAGAAGCTCCCGTAGGAAATTTTACTCTTGTTTGATTCTTGCACCGGAAAGTTTTCTTGATAATGGCCAGCACTGCTAGTGAACATATGCCTAGCTTGATTTTGGTGATTTATCAAGCAAAATTATCCCTTTTATGACATCGTTAGTGTTTTGTACACACACACCACACACACACACACACACACACACACACACGCAGTATAACTTTAATTATATATGTGTGGGAGAAACTTTAAGGAGAGTCTTGAATATGTAGTTTGTTCTATGAAGTCAGACTCTTCAAATTATTAAGCAATAAACACTGCAGGAGCTTATGTTCTCGAACTTATCTCAGTCTGTTCTTTGATCATGAAGATCACATGATCCTTGACAGGACATTGCTTTCAAGAACCTGCCTTTCACTTTCTCAGCTTTTTTTTTTTAATTGAGAATACTATTTATATACACCCAGATGATTCTCCTCAAGACTTTATAGAGGTGAGAAAGCTGGCATGTGGATTAGTGGTATTTGTGTTTTCTTGAGGAAAAGTAACATGTGTTCTTTGTCATTGTTTTTGGACTTTGTATTTGGGAAATGTTCTGAGTGCCTTTAAAACTATTTCAGCTCCAGCATGGATATTTGGGTATTTACTTCATCTAGCAGGTCTTCCCAAGCTTCATCTTTCATGTAGTTTATGAATCGGTCAGCTGGCATTTATTAAGCTCTTCCTGTGTGCCAGGCCAATATGGTGCTGAAAGCCAGAGGCCAAGAAACAAAAATGAAAGATCCAGCATTTCAAAGTAAGAACATTATCATTTGCAATAACCATGTAACCTCAGAGCAATGGTGCCTCTATAGATGAATATAAAGAAATGCAATTGATTTGATAAACTGCAAAATACACTTCTAATTCAGGGCTTTCCCATCAAGTAGTAAGTGCCTAATGAATATTCATTCATTCATTCATTCATTCATTCATTCATCTGTACGTGTTCCTAGACATCATGATCTACACTAACTAGGTACCATACCAAGCTCTCTGGAGGCCCCTTTTCTCCTCGGTACTTTTTGCTGTGTTTTTGGGGGTATAACTCATGATCTTCCATTATTATCCTGCTTGATAATGTTTTACAGATGACCTCATACAATAACTCTGTGTTGCCTCAGTTGCCATGGCAAGAATATCTAAATATTTGATGATTAATATAGTCTGTGGACATTTTTGACCTCACTTTGATCACTTGTGTAACGGTTATACTTTCTAGGGAAATGATCAACAAGTCCATGTCTTCACTTCTATCCATTTCCATTTTTCTCAGTCCACAGATGTTAGGTCGAGTTGGAACACAGTGCTCTCTTTCATCTCTATCCTTTTCCCTAATCTGCTGTTTGTTTTTCCCTTTGTTTCCCTTAGTGTTTCTACTAGTTTATGATCTAACAGCACATGTAGCTGATTCTAATGTAGCTTCTATGTTTGTAATCTTTTTTTCCTTTCTGTTAAAATATAGACAGTTTCTTTTTTTATGTAATCAGTACTTTTTGTATCTAGTACTAAAATTCTGTTTTGAACTGAATAAAAAATTGTGATACATCATTTTAACAGGGGAAAACCTGGGTTTTTTAAATGATGTGTTATTAATTGAGTAATAATCTTCTATATTATAGAAACTGAAGGAGAAAGAGTCTGCCTTGCGGGAAGCAGAACAAAATGTTCTGTCAAGAGACAGGATAATCAATGAACTCAGACTCCGACTGCCTGCGACAGCAGAACGAGAGCGACTCCTGGCTGAGCTCAGTAGAAAGGAAGAAGAGCCAGAGAATCATCGGGCTTTGAAAGTTGCTCACCAGACCATTGCCAACATGCAGGCGAGATTGAATCAAAAGGAGGAGGTCTTAAAGAAGTACCAGCATCTCCTAGAAAAAGCCAGAGAGGTATTCTGAGGTGTAGCACAGGGTGGTTTTTGTAAATGTCTTCTTCATCACCTCATTTACAGTTCAGTACTAAATGCTGAAGAGGAATTCTACTGCAGAGGAATAAGAGACTTTACTTTATAATTTCAAAAGGTGCGGTTTAGGAATGGTTCCTTCACTGTGATTGGTTGGTAAAACTGATCGGTTTTGTTTGTGAGAGTTTCTCATATATTGATCTAACGAGAGATAAGATGATAAAATAAGCCCATTTGTGTTTACAAAAGAGAAATTGAGTTAGTAGGTGAAGGCAGAAGGAGATGAAATAGAATGAACTCAGGCAGAGGAATATTCAGAGATCTTGTGAGAAAAAATCTTGAGCATTCAAAAATTTCCTAGAAAATATAAATGGCTTTAAAGTAAAAATGTAAATGACTTTAAAAGTAAGTTGTTGGGTTTTTTTTAAACACTAGGAAGAATATTTGATCAAATCCAAGGGTAAGCCCGTGGACCACATACTGGTGCATGAGGCCTGGCACTCCACCCTTCATTCTCAAAAGAGCTCAGTTAATGCACAGACACACATTCTGTCTCATAGGGATTTAGACAAAATTACTTTCCTTTGAACTTTGTTGAGTTTAGCAGGTGGGTTCTTATTCTACAAATACTAATTTTAATCCCTTTCTGAGTTGCCAATAGGTTGTCAATCTCTTGAGAGCTAGGCCTGTGTACCATGTCTACCATTGTATTTCTTGTGCCTAACACGGTGTCTTGCACAGAGAAGGTGCTTAATGAATGTTTTCTCCGTCAAATTACAGGTGCTGAAAAATTCATCACCTGGTGGCCAGTTTTCTGGTTGTGAGCTTATCTTATATTTAATATCTTGTATAGCCACCCATATGTCAGGTTCAGACCCTTTATACAACAAAGCAGAGGAGCAAGTAAAAGTTTGAAATATTAATGATTACAAAATACATGACTTTAAATTTGGATTATGTGATATCACTGTTTTCGGAGGTAAAGGGTCTCTGATTGGATGTTTCAACAGGAGCAAAGAGAAATTATCAAGAAGCATGAGGAAGATGTTTTCATTCTTCATCAGAAATTAGATCTGCAGGCTGACAGTTCACTTAGCCAGTTCAAAAAACAGCAATGGTGAGAGCCTCATCAACTTCTTTTCTGCTTTTATTGAGTGATTTTACTTTCAAGTACTTGTATAAATTTAAAAATTGCATTCGTTCTTTTTGTTTTAATAAGGACAATATCTGTAAGTAAACAAAGCACTGTAATTGAGTTTACTCATTCAGATTCTGATATTCAGTGGGTCAAAGTTCACCTCAGAACATTGCTGTGTATGGAAAAGGCCTGATGTCAGCTAGCTTGTAAAATAGCTTGTAGTCTTCTTCGTCAAAACCAGTTGTAACAAGTGATTCCATTTTAACCATTTTGGGGCTGGACTTGAGTTTTCATGATGTAAGGAATTCCCAGGAAGAAGCTTCCATCTAACAAGCTGCTCTGCAGCTTATATACTTTTTTTTCTTTTTGCTTTTTGGTGAGACAGTCGGGGTGAAGTGACTTGCTAAGGGTCACGCAGCTAGTAAGTGTCAAGTGTCTGAGGCTGGATTTGAACTCAGGTCCTCTTGACTCCAAGGCTGGAGTTCCATTCACTGTGCCACCTCGCTGTCCCTGCAGCTTATATACTTTTGAAGAGTTGCCTAAGTTAATAAGACATTAAGTAGCAGAATCAGGGCACAAATCCAGACTCTCTGACACCCAAAGCTTCTCTCTGCACACTATGCCAGGCAGTCTCTCTATTTCAACAACATGGGAAAATAGAAAAGAGGGGAAATCTGACCAGAGGCAAGGATCTCTGGACAATCTGTGCTTACTCAGAAATGTATAAAATCATGATGATCCATCCAGAAATATTAAATAACTGACTCTTGTAACAGCGTTTTGACCTAAAAAACACAATTCAAGTCTGACCCCCCAAAATGATAACTGTAAGAATTGTAAGAGGTAAGCTTACTCTATTTCCCACCTTCGTGTGGTTCAGATAGGGCAGTTGTGACCTGAAGAGGGTGATTGACTTGTTCAGGAAGCAAATGAGAAAATGACAGAGGAGGGCTAGGAGCTCCTGTCTCCTCCCTCCTGTTTTGGGGCTCACAGAGGAGACTGCCGTGTTTCTCAGAGGATGACAGTCACTCCTGGAGGATGGTCAGATTTCATTGTCACACTCATTCCAAGTTTCTTGGCTTTGATGTACACTTTGATGTTCCGACCAGTAGGAATCCATCGACAGGAGCTGCTTCCGTAGAAAGAGGGCTGGGCCAGGGCTCAGGAAGACCTCAGCTCAGATTCAGCCTCACTCACTAGACGTGTGACCCTGGACTTAACTGCCGTCTGCCTCAGTTTCCTCACCTGTAAAATGGGGACGACAATAGTGCCTGCCTCCCAGGGTATCTTTGAGGATTGAATAAAGATACTCTTTTTTAGAAAGCACATAGCGCGATGCCTGCCGTATAGCAGGCACGATATACACTCTAGTCATTGTTGGTGTTATTACTGTGATTGACATGAGCATTAGCACTGCTTTAAGAATTATTCCATGGCACGTTAGAAACATTTCAGACGTAGTTAACTTTTAATTTACAGACATTTTTTAAATAAAGGGGGTGGGTTTTTTTTACCATTTCAAATGAAAAGTTACAGTTTATCACTCTTATTTTTCTAAGTATAAAAAGGCCTTGAAATTATTGATATTCGAAATGTAATTTTTAAAAAATTAAAATACAAATAAATGACTTCCCTTAAACTGAAAATCTACAGGCAAGGACATACTGGTTGTCCAAACCCTCCCCTCTTCCATAACTGTTTTCTGCCCAATGAAAAGGCAGTGCACGTGGAAGAAATTATATCTCTCTTGGCACATAGCTTTCCTGTTTTCTCTTAAAAACTTACTTTTTGGGGGCAGCTAGGTGGCACAGGGGATAGAGCACTGGCCCAGAAGTCAGGAGGCCCTGAGTTCAAATCCAGCCTCAGACCAAACACTTGACACTTACTAGTTGTGTGACCCTGAGTAAGTCACTTAACTCAGTTGCCTTAAAAAAAAAATTAAAACAAACAAACTTACTTTTTCTACTTAGACATCATCATATTTATATACATAATATATGTATACACATGCATATATACATATATATATATATACATATATATATATATATACACACACACACACGCATACTGATTCTTTCAAAGTTGTTTCATCTTTACAATATTGTTATATGGCTGGGAAGCATGAGGTTTGCTTCACCCTCAGTATTTTGAACTCATGACCGGTCACTGCATTCACCAGAGACTGTTGTATATAGTATAGTGTTCACTAGGTCCTTCTTATTTTGATCTGCATCAGTTTATGTAGTTTTCACACTTTTCTCTAAGTTTTTCACATTCAACATGAAAAATGGAAACGAGTGAAACTTTATAATGTCCAACTTGTCATGTCTTCCATGTGCATTTTATATATTGAGGCCAAATTAGATATATATATATCTCTGCTCCTGGAAATCAAGGAAAAGAGCTTAGGGTATAGTTGAATGCTCCAAAAGTATACTGAAGAGGAAAAAACAAGTCTATGGCCATTTTGATGGTTTGACAGGTGTTTGGAAATGTGATCAATCACATTGTAAACATAATATGGAAAATTCACCTCAAAACTAAAATGTATCATTCTGCTCTGTTGATCAGTGTTTGGCATTGAGTCACCCTGTGCACATTGATACACAGCAAGTACATATGTAAGTTTGTGATGGAGATGAATGATTAAAATTCAGATTATTGTGTTTGAATAATTTGAGAAATAAAATTAAAATGTGATTATTGTTGTTTTATATTATATATGAAAATGACTATCGCTATTCATATTTCATAGGAGTTAATGAAACAGCCTTCTGTACCAGTTGCTACCAGCAAGCATTTCATGCGTCTGGCAGAGATGGAACAGACGGTTGCAGAACAAGATAATTCTCTTTGTTCACTGTTGACCAAAATGAAGAAAATGTCGCATGAAATAGACATACAAAAACAAATCACTTTAATGAAAGTCAAAGAATTCGAAAGCATCCGAGCCCAGTAAGTGCAACAAAGCAGTTGTGATTGCTGTTGGAATGTGCACCAGGACAGGTGTTAGAAGGCCTAAGCTTGAGTCCTGCCTTGGCCAGTTACTGACCAGCTGACCTTTCTGAAAAATAAATTTTTATTGATAGTCCTTGTTTTTCCATCACCCATATTTATCCCCTTCCCCTCTCACAGAGAATCATCCATTAGAACAAAGAATTTTTTTAAAAAAGAAGAGTAAAAAAATCAGCAAAGCCAATATAAAGAAAAAAATTGATGTTATATGCAATTCACCCTGTCTGTAGACTGCTGATTCTCATCTCTTTCTTGATAGCCATCTGACTTTGGACTAATCAGAAGGTAGATATTGGTAATACTGGTTGTGAGGTGTATGTGAAAGCACTTTGAAAACTAAAAGATATATAAATGTGAAACACTATTGTTATTATTGCTATCAGTATCGTTAATAGTGGATGTTAAGTGTTCTCAGAGCAGTATAATAGGAATGTTGAAGGGATACTTTAAGAATATAGATTTAAAAAAAAAATCTAACCCCAAAGAAATTTACAGTTCTTCAAATCATAGTGATATTAAACTAATCCAGTTTCCAGGATGATCATTGAGATCATTTATTCTGCTTTGATTAACAAACTGTGATTTACGGAAAAATTTTCTCTCTAACAGAAATAGACTTAATAGTAATAGGTTTTATATTTGTGGTCTTCCAGCATAAAAGCCTTGTTTTTAAGAGCTAAATAGTTAATTATATAAAGTGAATCTGAATAAAGCCACTCTGTGTGTATTTCAGTTGTTATTTAAATTATAGTACATGGCTATTTAGAAAATAATCATCTGTTTTATTCTTGTGCATTATATAGGCCTGACAGATAAAATAAATGTTTTGCACTTTAAGATCCTTCTCATTTCTGTTTAAAATACTTCATTCAAATTCTACTAAACCTTCATATTTACATTAGCAGTAAATACTATTAGATGTGGTATATATTATCACATACACTGGATTTTTGATGTTTATTCATTGAATTTGTTGTGTATCAGAATCAGAATAAATCAAACTAAAGTTCCATTACCCCACCCCACCCCTTCCCCACATGAATCAGGTTTTAGGAATCTGAATAATTCCCTAAGTATTTGTCTTTACATACTCCTTATTTAGCTAGGCCTACTTGTACACACTAGAATTAGACACAATAAAAAGATTGATTGTCTTCTTTTCACTTACTTAGTGAGGAACCAAAATATGTTGATTCTACTGTTCCCAACTACCTAACAAGCCATAGACTTGTTAGATATATTGCTTCTGTTGCCAGATACGTTACTTATATTCAGTTGCAATAACCACTTATTTAATTTGGTAATAGAGTCTTTGGAAACTTAAAACTTTAGTAAAGTTTATTACATGGCAATAACCATCATATTTTTTCCCAGTGCAATTAATAAATTCCATCATAATTTAATAAAATTTAGTATTTTGTCATTGGAGCAAAGTTGGCATTCAAACTGAATTTAATTATTGAAGCTTAGGAGAACATTGATGACTAATATGGTCTTCGTTTGTCATAGACCACGTCACTTAAGTAACAGAATTGCGTAGTGCCAGAGCTTTCCAGAGTGAGCACATGAACTTGGAGAAGCAGAGCCCCCTCACTTACCTGGGTTGCTGAAGAAGGATTTCCTGGGATGGAGCATTGTTCTCGATTTATTGTTCCATTCTGGTTTTGGAAGCTCATACTTCTAGGCCTCTCCTTTTCTGTTTGTGACACATTCAAAGAGGCTTTCTGTCCACTTAAGGAGCTTATATCCCAGAAAATGTTCATTCTAGCAAAATCAAGATAATTTGAGCATTCTATTAAATGCATGCTTATTTGTTTATTCCAGCCTTGAAGAAAATCATGCAGAGGTTGTGAAAAAACTGAATGCTGAGATAGAAGACTTAAAATATTCTATGTCCCAGACAGAGAAGGAGCTGCAGTACTTTAAATCTGAAGTACAGATTCAGAAAGAAGCCAACACAAGAGCTCCAACAGCCACCATGAAAAATTTAGTAGAACGGCTCAAAGGCCAATTAGCCTTGAAAGAGAAACAGCAAAAAGTAAGTATTCAGCAACACAGTTACTAATGTGAGAGAGCATTAATGTAAGAGAGTAAGGTAAGAGTGTGTGTTGCTGTGATTTAGAAAGTAATGTTAAAATATTTGCATTACATATTTCAGCATTTTATTTTAGTTAAAAGAGATTCTTGATTTCCGTTAATTGTTTAACACTGAAAAATATGGCCCTTAACTAAGAATAACCTTAAATTGCACTTAACCCTGTGAGAATCTATTATGCCTTATATGAGTACTTTAAATGCCTTAAGTAAACTGTGAGGAGGTAGAGGTATTCTAGAATCGCTGTGTATCTCCCTTTGATGAGTTCAGGCCCCCAGGCAAAGGATGAGCCTTTGACGCTGGATCCACCTCTTCTTGATGCCTTCTTCTTACTAGGTGTTCTCAACACTTCTCTCTCTCAGTCCTCTTCCTACCTGTCTGACCACTTCTTCTAAATCTCCTGCTTGCTCAGTGGATGGGTGTTCTCCTTTATCCTAGGCCTTCTCTCCCCTCTCTAAACTGTTTGGGTGATCTCGTCAGTTCTCATGGACTCAGTTGTCATCTCTGTACAGATGATTCTCAGATCATTCATCCTGAATCCCTCTCTTACCTCCATTCTCTCATTTCAAACTCCTGTTAGACATCTTGAACTGGACATTGTGTAGATATCTTAAATTCAGTGTGTTTAAAACGGAACTCATTTTCTGTCTCTCCCTAACGCTCCTCTCTTCCTAAGTTCCCTGTTACTGTGAAGGGTACCACTATACTCCCAGTCACCCAGACTCTTAACTCAGGGGTCATTCTCAACTCATCACTCTCATCCACATATTTCAGTTTCCTGTCATTTCTGCTTTCATAACATTTCTATTATATACCCCTTCTGTCCTCTGATACTGCCACCATCCTGGTGTAGGTCCTCATCACCTCATATGTAGCCCACCACAGCAGCCTAGTGGCTGGTTTCCCTGCCGGAAGTCTCTCCCTACTCCAGTTCATCCTCCATTCAGCTGTCAGTGTGATCTTCCTGAAGCTCAAGCCTAACCATGTCCCTCCGCTACTCAGTAAACTCCAGTGGCTCCCTGTTACTTCCAGTACTTTTAAAGCCCTTCATAGCCAAGCTTCTTTCTTGCCTTCCAGTCTTCTTACTCTTTAATCCCCTCAACATACTCTACAATCCATCCAGGTACACTGGCCTTCTCGCTGTTTCTCACACTAGACACTCAATTTCTTGACTCCTTTTATCTTTTCATTGGCTTTCCTCATCCCTTGAGTTTTCTCCCTTATCTCTACCTCCTGACTTCCTGGCTTCCTTCAAGACTTAGCTAAAATTCTACCTTCTGCAAGAAGACTTTCCCCATCCCCTTAATCTAGTGCCTTTCCTCTGACACTGAATCCAGATTATCCTGTTTGTAGCTTGTTTTCCCATCAGTGGTTGCCCTTTATCTGCCTCATTAGACTGTGAGCTTCTTGAGGGCATGTACTGTTTTTGTCTTTCTTTGTATCCACAAAGTTTAGCACATGTCCTGGTACAAATAGGCACATGATAAATGCTTGTTGAACTGACTTTAACACCATCTCCATATACTGAAAGAACTGGCAGATATGATTGCTGAACCACATTAGGGGTCTATGGAAGAGGTGCCTCAGGACCAGAGGACAGATACCTGGAGAAACACATTTCCTTCTTGTCATAGGATATCAGTTCAGAGGATCGTAGATTTAGAAGTAGAATGGACTTTAGAGGCCAGTTAGTCTAACGCCCTCTTTTAGATGAGAAGACTGAGGCCCAAAGAGATAAAGTATGTTATAGGTAGGAATTGACAGAGCCAGGATTTTAATCTAGGTCCTCTGGCTCCAAATGCAGTGGGATAATCCTCCTCCTTCTCATCCAGTCATGATTGTTCAGCTTATGCTCTGATTGCACCTGATTGCAGAGGGCTTGGGATGTCTAGCTCTTCATTTGTCTGAAGCTCAATCCCAAATCATTTAGCTCCCTGCTGAACATGAGAACAGCCTCTCTAACATCTTACTCTCTCACTCCCAAAGTTCATCTTGTTACTCTTTGTCTTTTCTTTCAGCTTCTCCCTAGCTTTTTGTAGAACTGTCTTTGTAAACTTCTTTTCCAAAGATTTCCTCATAAAAAAATGAAAACAAAACAATAAACTTAAGACATTTCTCATAAGAAAGAAGGCCATTCCTCCCATTCTCTCTGCCACATTTTCTTCATCTAGACTTATGGGTTAGGGGTAATGCATATGCAAGGCCTCCACAGGCTAGGGTACTTTGCTTCAAGCCATTTCTCAAGCACCATGCCCAGCTCTCAGCACAAATGCTTTTTGCAATGTCACATTTAAGTTCTTAAAGTTACTAATCCTGTTTGAACTCCTAAAGAGATAGACAAGGTCTCCCAAGGCGATGCACTCAAGAAACAGTTTACATGTGTACCAAGTAAGGACTGAAATAGATGATCTGTCAGCTTCCTTCCAGCTCTGAGACCGTAATTTAAAATGATTACTTTTAGAAGCGGGGTAAGTTTCAGTCTGTAGCAGGAGAGCCTGTGCTCACATCAGTAGGATCAGAGAGGTGTCAAAATACTGAAGTAGATACATGCATACATATATATATTTTACTAAAGCCTTTTTCTCTTGGATCATATTAGAAATTTATTTCTTGTGTGTGTGTATGTTTATTAAGCAGTTTTTCACAGCAAATCCTTACTTTTCTGAAATGCTTTTTTTATGGATTTGAATCTCCCTAGGCCCTCAGTCGAGCACTTTTGGAGCTCCGGGCTGAGATGACAGCTGCTGCTGAAGAACGCATCATTCTTTCCGCATCCCAGAAAGAGGCAAACCTCAATGTTCAGCAGATTGTTGATCGCCATACTAGAGATCTCCAGGTGACCACCAGTGACTTAGGGCATTTATTTTTGAACTAAGAATTCTCTTGAAAGACAGTTTCTTTCAGTATATAGGTGAACTAACCCAGTGAATGCAGTATAATGTGTACATTTGATTGCACATTTTTTTTATGGGAGAAAATTTCATTCTCTGTGGCATGCAGTATTTATTATGTGATAAGTCAAATTGTGGGTAGTAGTATAGGGCATAAAGTGTGAGAGGATGGTCAAGCTATTTGAAAATGGAAAGAGAGAATTTTCACATTTTACCTAGGGCTCACAAATACTCTACCCCAGCTCTGTATGAAAATACCTTGACCCACAAAAAAAAAAAACCAACTGCCTGCAGTGACTGAGCTCTACAAACCTGAGGCCTGTTCCTGGGTGACATCTCTAGTAAGCTGGCTAACTGCTAGAACAGGGAGATTGGAAACTTCCTAAGTGACAGTAGGTTGCATATCTGCAATTAGTGCATAATCCTCGTCATTTTCTTCAGAGGGTGAGACTCGAGGAGCCAGTTCAGATCCTGTGCCTCCCCTCACCGTGATACTTTAAACTCTCTAGAACTATGGTACTTCCTTTTATCTTTGGCCTGAATTCTCCAAAGAAATGAGCTGCTTCCTATTATAGCCATATTAAAACCTTGATTTACACTCACGTGGTATTATAAATGCACATATTTTTGGTCTCTGAATGATTTAACAAATCATTCTTTTTCTGATGATTGTCATTCCCATGGAGGTCTGTCCACTAGCCAGCTTCCTGGTCTTTCTCTGTAGAGGTCAGGGAGGTATGGGTGTGGGGCACAACATCAAACTTGTTTGATACATTGATTAGTTTTGCTGAATTTTTTTTTTATTATTATTATGAGATTGCTTTCTAGGAAAGGGTACAGAGAGAGACACAATGGAAAAACATAGATGGTGTAAAAACAGAAGATTTCCATAAAAGTCATTGAAACAGTAGCCCAGTGTTTGATAAATTCAGGACCATAACTAGCTGTAGAAGACCTCAGTTTTTGACAAGAAATGCTAGGAAAACTGGGAAGCATTTTGACAGAAATTAGTTTTAGACCAACAGCCTACATCACAGGAAGCACAATTAAGTAGATACACAATGTGAATGTGAAAGGTTATATCATTAAAAAATAGAAAAGAACAAGGTAACCTTTCACCACTATGACTAGAAGGATAGTGCTTAACTAAAGAAAGAAGAGAGATTATCATAAAAGGCAAAATAAACCATTTCAGTTACATATAATTAAACCTTTGCTTGACTGAAATTGATGAAAAAGAATAAAAAGAAACTGTTGAATGGGGAAAATATTTTCAGTCATTTCACTGATATAAATTTAGTATCAAAGATGAGGAAATTGACACAAACATATGAGATATACCTCAGTACACAAAGAAGTAATTTTAAAAAGAAGAATGGAAAAGAATAAATGACCCAAGGGAACACGTTCCAGATCAGTTATAGAAAAAGATTGCAAATGAAAACAACTGAGGTTTCACCCTGAAATTATTGGGCATCAGTGACAGAAAACTGGAAAAGTCGTGCCACACAAAGGCTTTAAGAAGCCTGGAAGGACTCTTGGTAGAATGATGGCTTGGTCCAGCCATTCTAGATATTGGTTTAAAATGATGTAAGAAAAGGGACTAAATTGTTTGTACCTGTGACCCAATAGTCTTCCTACTAGACAGATAACCCAAGGAGGTCAGACAGAAAAACCAACGCCCAGTGTATAGCCAAATATTCATAACAGCTCTCTGTATGTTAGCAAAGAACTGGAAATATATGGATGACCCAAAAGTGGGGAATGGCTGAAAAAAAACTGTAGTGTGTAAATGTCATTGATTATTATCAGATGGCAAGAAATGATGAATATAAAGAATTCAGGAACATGGAACATTTATATAAATTGTTGCAGTGAAATAAATAGACTCAAAAGACCAATATACATATAACAGCTACAATAGTGTGATATGAGAAGATGACAGTGAAACCAGACCCTTAGTGATAAAACACGTAGTGATGGTCCTGGGGAATATATGGTGAAACTTATTTCCCCAGAAGCAGAAGAGCTAAGGGCAGAGTGCTGTATACGTTGTCAGGCAGGGTTGCTGTTTCAGGTGCCCTTGCTCTGTTTTCCTTTGTTACTAGAGAAGGTTTGGTTTGGGATGTATGTGACCAAGTGGTTTTTCCAGAAAGAATGATATAAAAACAGAATTTATTGTTGTCTTATTTTGTTTTAAAAAAAATTCTAAACAGAGTATTTCCCTTTCCCTTCCTTGTAAAGGTTCATATAGAAGATTTAAGTGAAAATCTTCTAAAATGTAAAGAAGCTCTTAAAACAAGTAAAAGCAGAGAGGACTCTTTGAGCAATCAGTTGGATGACTTAAACAATGAAATGCAGAAAAAACAGAAAGCTTACAATAAAATACTTAAAGAAAAAGAAGAATTAGAAAAAGAAAATGAAGAACTGAAGAAGCGAATTAAAAGGTTAACCTGTGGATTACAGGTAAATATTTTTCATGTGTGTAATAGTTTAGCCTTTGATTTACCATTTATGTGGTAGTAGAGCAATTTTTGTATATAAAATTTTACTTCAACCTGTCATTGAATCTCTACCTAATTAATAAAACTGGTTATCAGATCAGTTTGATTAAAACAGCTACCCGTTATTAAGTGACTTTTGGAATCAGAGTAATAGCATGGTATACCTTTTTCTTACTGAGGTGCAGAAAATTATACTTGGTAGTGCACATATATTATATAGTATTGTTTAACAGTATTTTTATTAGCTGTAAAAATGTTTTCAAAACATTTCTCATAAGAAGAAAAGTGACCTCACATTTTATTTCAGTATTCGATTGACTAAAATGCAAAGATGTACTTTAACTTTTCAGAGCAAACCTCCTGTAGATAACAAACAAAATGTTATAGATGAACTTCAGAGGAAAATTAAAAATTTAGAAAGTCAACTGGAAAAATGTAGTAATGAAGCAGAAACAAAAGAAAAGGTATGTAGACAACCGTTCATCATTATTGTTCGAATGGGCATATATATTTCTGGATTAACTACATTGCTCTATCAGTCAGCAAATGTATTGATTGCCTGTTAAGTATTCAAACCTGTGCTAGGCTCTTCGTATAATACAAAAAGATGTGAGACTTGTCCCTTGATAGCTTAGGACTAGTTAGAAAAACCCTGCCACCAAATAGGAGACGGAGAAAACCTAGCCATGTTATGGGATATTGAATACTAGCTCAGAAGGCATGCACAGAAGGGAGAGAGCATTGTGGTCTGGAATACTCAGACTAGACTCAAACTGGGCTTTTTAAAGATAAGTAGCTTTGAGGACAGAGGAAAGGAGAGCATTCCCAATGGTCAGTCATTACACATTTATTAAGCACCTACTATGTGCCAGGCACTGTACTTAATTAATACTGAAGATGGAAAAAGAGGCAAAACATAGTCCCTTTCCTTAAGGGCTTCACAATCTAATAGAGAGACAACATGCAAACAAATAATGTACACAACCTGTGTACAGAGGTTGTTGTTTCTGACTCTTCATGACCTCATTTAAGGTTTTCTTGGCAAAGATACTGGAGTGATCTGTCATTTCCTTCTCCAGCTCATTTTACAGATGAGGAAACTGAGGCAAACAGGGTGAAATGACTTGCCCAGAGTCACACAGGTAGTAAGTGTCAGGCTGGATTTGAACTTGGGAAGATGAGTCTTCCTGACTCCAGGCCTGGCACTCTATGCAATAGGGTGCCACCTAGCTGCCCACAGGATAAGTAGGAAATAATAATTCAGAAGGCACTAGAATTAAAAGATATTAGGAAGAGCTTCCTTTAGAAGGTGTTGTTTCTCCTTCATTCTCAAAGAGGACCATGACATCAGGGAGGTGATGCCATGACTTGCAAGTGAATTGGATTTAAGCGAGGAAGGGCTGTGCGAAGTCACCAGCCTCACTTTCTCCTCCAGAGCCATCTGGGTCCAGTGGCAAGACATAAATCAGGACGACTGGAGGTGGCGCCTTTTAAAAGATAGGATTTTAGTTCAGACTTAAAGGAAGCCAGTAGATGGAAATGAGGAGGGACAGGGCTCCAGGCATGGGGAACAGCCAGAGAAAATGCCCAGAGCTGAGAGATAGAGTGTCTTTTTTGTGGAACAGCCAGGAGACGAGTGTCACGAGATCAAAGAGTATGTGTTGGGGAATAAACTGTAAGAAGACTGGAAAGGTAGTGGGGGCTAGGTTACGAAGGACTTTGAATGCCAAATAGAGCGTTGGGTATTTGTTCCTAGAGGCGAGAGGGGGCCTCCGGAGTTTAGTGAGTATCAGAATGAAATGGGCCAAGCTGCCAAGTGACAGAGCCTAAGCAGAAGAGGAGACAGTGATGGCATGGGAAAAGCCTGGGTGGACATTGAAATACCTGGACACAAATTCCAGCTCTGCCACTAACTTGCTGTTTACCTTTTGCAATTCACTTGACCTCACTAGTTCTCAATTTCTTCATCTGTAAAATGAAGGGTTTAGCCTAGTTAATCTCTAAGGTCCCTTACAGCTCTAACAGATTACTAGGTTATATAATCATAAGGCAATGAGCAATAGTATTATGAGCTTACATTTATAATGTGATGATGATAATATTATGAGCTCATATTCCTCATCACAACTGTGAGGCAAGTAATATGGATATCATCTCCATTTTACAGATGAGGAAACCGAGGCTCAGTGACATTTACTATCTCACTTATGGTCTTGTGGCTTTTAGGTCTCCAAGGTGAGACTCAGATCTGACTCTGACCCTTGACTCTAGTGCTTTTCCCACTATTTTACTCTCTTTTGTAGACTTGCCATTGGAGAAGTGGAGCTTGTGTTGGGAAATAGTGGAAAGGGCAGTAGGAGAAGAGTTTGTGAAAGGTCTTAAAAGTCAGGCAGAGAAGTTTAGACTTAATGCAATAGGGAGTAACAGGTGTTTTCTGAAGGGTAGTCAGGCTCTAGGTATGCTTGATGGGTTGGAAATGGATATTGATCAGTCAGGGAGATCCAAGTCACCTGCTGAGGATTTGGTTTAGGGTGGCAGCAGTATGAATGGAGAGGACAGAGCAGATCTAAGAGACATTTAAAAGGACTTGATCGTTAGAGGGTGATTGCAAAGGGGAAGAGAGATGTAGCATTGTATATTAAGAAGATATAGTTATTTGAGAAATTTAGGAACCAGGAGGAGGAAGCTTGGTGAGTATGTTTGGGTAAAAATGAACGCAAGTAGAAATGGAAATGATACTGCCTTTGGAGTTCACTGCATTGAAAGAAAGAGAAATAGATGAGTTTAAGAAACAGATCAGAAGCCTAGCAAAAATGCAGGGTAGTAGTGATCAGGGACTTCAGTTTCCAGATGGTTGGTTAAGCTCACTTTCTATCAAAAGCAAAGCAGCTAAAGATTTCCTGACATGCCTTAAATTAACTTCTTTCTTCAAAAGGCATAGGAGCCATGAAAGGGAAGTTTTATTCCAGATCTGGTTCTCATTAATGGAGGAGGAGCGTCTAGTTGAAGGGTTGGGAATGAAGAGAACTTCCGTTGGGGGAAGCATCTGATTCATCTTAGAGTTGTTTCATGAAAAAGAAGAGGAAACTGAGGCTAGTTTAATATGTACTACAGATTTGGGGGGAGCAGATTTCATAGGGTGCAGAAGGATAGGAAATATCTTAAGGACTAGAATTCTACAGGGCATGTCAGCCCAGTAAGAATAGAAATCCTAACATTAAAAAGAGAAACAATCTCAGTGAGGAAGAAAAAGCTGATTTGTTTGAACAGATCAGTGGCAATGCACTAGCCCTACTGGGAATCTAAAAGTACTTGTTCACAAAGTGGAAGAAAGGAGAGGTCATAGGATGAATTCACAGCCATAGTGGGATCTTACAGGGATACTCTGAGGAGTACTGAAACTCAGAATGAGGAAAAGGGGAAGGAAAATCAGGAAAATAAAAGGGAATCATGGGGCAAGGGACAGGCTGTCTGGTAGGAATGGATCAGGTGATGAAGATGGACAGCACAGAGGAGGCCAAGCTGCTTGGTTTTATACTTTGCTTCTTTCTTCTTTGCAAAATGAAATGATCTTTGTGCAAGAAAGAACAGAACAAAAATGGTTTGATAGAGAGTTGATGACCCAGGTAAGTGAAGAGATAGCGAGAGAGCACCTCAGTGCCCTTGGGGAGTTCACATCACCTGATCCAGGCAGGTTCCATACTTGGATTCTGAAGGAACTGCCTGATTGATGGATGTATGTACTGAATCACAGTCAGTAACCTTTCAAAGGTCCGGAGGTCTGCCATAGAATTGGAGGACAAATGTTGTATTAGAAGTGATCAAAATAAAAAAAGAACAACATATGTAAACAATGTTGATTGATTAACCGAGCTTTTCTATCAATCAATGCATTTATTGATTGCCTACTAAGTCCTCACATCTGTGCTAGGTGCATATGGATTAAAGTAATACCTTTGTATCATAGCCTTGGTCAGCCTTATCATAGCATGTAAATAAGAGCTATTATGATTTTTTTTTCCTGTTCTTATTTTACAGAGCTGTCAAGAAGAATTAATTCGATGGGAAGAAGGTAAAAAATGGCAAGCTAAAACTCAAGGGATGCGAAACAAATTAAAAGAAAAAGAAAAAGAAATAGACACTTTAACCAAGCAGTTGAATAGTTTAAAAGAGCTTTTGGCCAAGTAAGTTTAAATTTATTTCTGAACCTCATTACATGAAAAAAAGAATCTCTTTTTAATGAATTTAAAGCAATAGGATAGCTTTAATGTATCTAAAAATAGATATCTGTATCATTGGTTCTGATTGTAAACTATAGTTTGGTTCATCTTGTTCTTAAGAAACATGTTTTAAATGTTTTTATAAATTAATTCAAATCAGATATAACCTTTGATATATGTGTAAGTATATAGATAAATGTATGTATAGACGAGCAAACCAAACAGAGTGTATCTTAAGTTACTAACAAAGAATTATATATTAAATTCCACAGGTCTGATAAAGATAAAATCACATTACAAAAGAAACTAAAATCAAGTGGTGTGACTGCTGATCGTGTTATGGGAGTACATGCTTCAGATTTAGAAAAAGAATTAGAAGAACTTAGAAAAACGAATATTGAACTAGAAAATGAAATAGGTTATATGAGGTAAGCTGTTTTAAGGATATCTGCTATTTAAATGAAGTGCCAAAGTTTGAGTTAACAACCTCTCATCTGAATCTTTTAAATATGTTCATCTGCTTTGTGTTAAAATGACAGATTTCATTCAAAACCCATTCAGAATAATAGAATTGCAGAATTAGAAGGGACCTCAGAGGCCTCTAGACCCGACTTAAAGCAGAACGGTATTAACTGACATTTCTATTGTACTTTCAAGTTTACAATTAAGAAACCTTTTCCCTCCTCACATATATTACATCCAGCCCATGAATTCATTCCACATAGAAGCTCACTTGCTCCTCACAACTCTGTGAAGTTCACATGAGAGGCTCATTTCTCATGGTGCAGTCATATTCCCTTACGTTCATGAACCACACTTTGTTTAGCCCTGCCCCAGATGATGACCAGCTGCTTTGGTTTTAGTTTTTTACAACTACAAAAAAATGTTGCCATGAATATTTTGGTTTATGTGGGGCATTTCTGTCTTTGGGTTCCTCCTTGGAGTATATAAGTATGACTTCTTTAAAAAAAATAATTCATTCATTTTTAGTTTTCAACATTCCCTTCCATAAGATTTTGAGTTTTAAATTTTTTTCCCATGAGCCTGACTTCTTAGTGACGCTATACTAGGTAGCAGTAAAAAAAAAAAACTATAGTTTATATGAGATATAAATTTCTTTTTCCCTTTCTGACTCATTGCAGGACCCAGCAAGCTCTTCCCCGAGATTCTGTCGTACAAGACTTACATTTACAAAATAGATACCTTCAGGATAAGCTTCGTGCTTTGGAAGAACAGATTTCTTTAAAAGATGCATTTTCTAGGCCTTTAGTAAGTCTATGATTTTATTTTATTAAATGTCAGTTGATAAAATAGGAATCAGTTGCTAATATTTCATTTTGCTTAAGAATTCTGCTAGCTGTCTTTCTTTTCTTTCATATTCATATACTAGTTTGCAGGTGAACATTGTAGTATCTGATAAATATTAACTTATGTAATTGTTTCTTGTCTGGTACTGGTAAAGTGTGAGGCCCACAATGCATTCCCATTCATTATGAATGTCTAGTGTGGCCCTTTGTGCTGTAACCATTAAAAGGGTTTTTTTTGTGCCTAGGGGCAATGTGCTAGTTAAAATAGAAGAAAATAGGCATACTCATTTCCAACAAATGAACATGGTATGTGCCTGTTTTTTCTTTAAAAATGAGTCATGAATGTAAAATTGTTTGTGAAAGTCTTAATGTAAGACATTCAGCACAGGTTTCTTTTCTGTCCTTGTTTTCTTTTTCTTCTTTTCATGCTTCATCTTGTCTTTTGCTTCAAAGCAGAGTTCAGCATGTGACATTACCACTCTCTCCTCTCTTGCTACCCAAACTAATAAAAACAAGTATTTTGTCTTTCCCAAAAAGAACAGTTTACTTGGGAACAAAAAAACCCCTGTAACAGTCTCCTCAGTTAAAAACAGGAAGAAAATAGTTGGCAGTCAAAGCTTTGATGATCCGCACTGTCAGATAACTGGCAGTGGCGCCCAGTCAGATGTAGCTCTGGGACCTGCTGGTTTAGCACCCTCAGAGCCCAGGGAGTGCAAGCAATTGAATCCATCGAGGCAAACTGATGCTGAGAGGGAAGATTTTACAGCTGATTTTGAAAATGAACCAGATGCAGAGAAGGAGGGACTGAGTCAAGGCTGTTACAGAAATGGAAACGGAGTACATGAAAATGAAGAAGAGAAAAAAGAAACGGCTGAAAGTGCACAAGGAAACCCAGAGAACATGAGTGACAGACGTTCGTCGGATCCAGAAGAACCTGCCAGGGGAGACCTTGAAAATGCTGAAGTGAATGATGGTGTAAATCCACACCCTGAAGAGAATGCACAGACAAACAACGACACTGAGGGGATCAGATTAAGCCAGATGTCTGCTGGGGAAATCGCTCAGGTTTGGTAACAGAGGCAGTCTTTTGTTAGCAGAGATGGGTGGTGTGATACAAGCTGAAATGTACGGAATGGTGGGTTTTTTTTGACTTTTGGTATCTACGTAGCTAGACTTCTTTCCAAGCTTGTATTTTTAGCTAGTTTGCACAAAATACTCCTTTTTCGGTGTGGCAGTGTGAAGACGCAGGCACAGGAAGAACCCCTGGAGGCTTTGGGCTCCAGCCTCTAGCAGGTTCACTCTTGATCTGGGCAGCCAGAGGGACGGAGGGGTGAAATAGTAACTTATTTTCTATTCTTCTCTATGGGTTGCTGATAATGGGATCACCAACTCCTAAAGCTTCCCCAGTTACTCTACTCACAGGGACGGGTGACAACGGGGCAGCAACCCCTAAGTAGGAGCACAACTCCTGTCTCATTCCCCTAAGCCTCGATGGGGGCTGTTAAGGCAGCACAGCATTTCAGCTTGTGCATTCCCCCAAGCCTTTGATGGGGGCCAGTCAAGGCACTCACAGCATTCCTAGCTGGCACATTGCCCCCTCACTGACTAGTGCTCACCTGATTTGTAGGGGAGCACACAAAGAAGGCATCTTGCCAGCAATAGCCTCACAAGTTTACATTAACTCTAGCAATCTTATGCTGATTGAGCACTCCTCAAGCACAGTAGATTATTTACAATTAAAATCAACTGTGTACACTATCTCATCATTATATCTCACTGCACAATCACAGTAGAAACTGTTTTACAGTGTGAAATCCTGGGACCTGGTAGATTGTTATGGCCATGGGCCCTGGAAACTTCCCTAAAAAAGAGTAACAAAATCCACCTTACAGGCAAGAACTGATATTTACTTTTAGTTGAAATTTCTAATGTACTTAGCTTAATTTTTTTTAGTGTTGATGTATTCAGAAAGCAGTTTGATGTGGCAAAAAGAGAAAGATTGTTTTCTCTCTTCCTCTCCTCCAAAGACAATTACTAACTGAACAGATGAAATTACAGATGAACTACCATTAGAGGGAATGCCATCACAAAGGAAGGCTGCAAACAATATTAACAATAATGTTATTACCGTGGACATGGCTGATAATTCACAGCAACAGTACTTTATAGGTCTGATTACAACATGATTGTCTTAATCACATCTACCTTCTCTAGTCCTTTGTGTTAAGACAATAGTCCTTTATGAAGAAATAGCTGAAGGTGTATTATTTGTATTATAAGGTAGAAGAAGGAAAGTGCAGCTGAGATTGAGTTGAAATCTTGGCAGTTTTTTTATGTCACTCAGTCATTTGGTAGCATTGACCCTTCCCCTGTCCCTATCTCAAACATCCCAACCACTTCCTACAGAAAAAGCCATCCGACTTCTCCTTTTCTCACTATACCAGGCACTCTAGAGGTAAGAACAGGCAGAGTTTCAGGTGTCTGGTGTCTGGCCTCACCTTCTTTCCTTCAGGTTCTAAGCACTTTCACCTGCTGACTTACCTCACTTGCAGAAGCTTTCCCTCATGCTAGGACTGCAGTCCCTCATCCTCTCTAAATCCTTGCCTCAGCAAACCTTAGCTCTGGTGCCACCTTCTCCATGAAGCCTTCCCTGAATCCCTCAGCTAATGTTTTCTTTCCCCCAGTTATCTTGGGATTATGTTGCCTCCTCCAGTACAAGGGAAACTCTTTGAGCACAGGAACTGTTGGGTTCTTTGTTTTTGAATTCCCAGTGCCAAGTAAAGTGCCCAGCACTTAGTAGGTGCTTAATGGAGGCTTGTGGAATTGCATTGTTATTTTTACTTGCTAAGTAATCACAAAAAGGTCACCCGCAGTGGTATTTCACTTCATCCTTCACCCGACAGCATAAGAGCCTAATTTGATGACTCTCTACATAATTTAAAATGATTCTTTTCTAGAGTCTAACGCAGTGGTTCCCAAAGTGGCTGATACCGCTTCTGGGGGTCACTGGAATGATGGGGGGGGGGACAGTAATAGCCTCAGGTGCAATTGTACACTTAATCTGAGACTTCTTTCCTGTTGTAAGATTTCAAGGCGGGGGCGGTGAGTAATTTTTTTTTTTAAAAGGAGGCAATTGGCCAAGTAAATTTGGGAACCTCTGGTCTAAAGAAACCAACTATTTTAACTTTTTCATATAGAAATCCCATTTTCCATTTCCTTACTTTGATTTTGTCTGGATCTTCTGTATCTACCTCCCTTTCACAAAGGTCCCCTTTTAGACTACGGATTTTCCCCTACAGTATGAGTTTATGAAACATTTCTTCCTATTTTATGTTCCTGAAGTCAACAGAATTGGGATTAGGTGGGCGGTCTAACAGAGAACAGTTGCTTCAGAAGGAAAACCTGAAGGTCTCATCTGAAAACATTGAGCTAAGATTTCAACTTGAACAAGCAAATAAAGATTTACCAAGGTTAAAGGTAAATTTTTCTCTATTTTAGAAATATACTATAGTCACAAAATAGTTGTTTTTACCATATGTGGGTATCATCTTAGCTCGTGAGAAATAAAAATAGAAATTCTTATAGCCATTTGATTTTGCTGATAAATGTGTTCTCTGTGTGTGTGTGTGTGTGTGTGTGTGTGTGTGTGTGTGTGTGTTGTGTGTATGTGTTGATTACTACTTTGGAATATAAGAGAGTTCATACACATAGCACCTTTATTAAGAGTTGGCATACTGTAGTATAAGAATTATACTCATAAGAAATTATATTTTGCAGATATCATCAGGTGTTGGCTGATATTTATTTAAATCTATGGTTTTCCAAATCTAAATCTGGTTGCTAAAATGTATAATTTCCTTTTTTTCTCTGCTACCTAATAGTTTTTTCAAACTAATTTGTTTTTTTATATAAAAATGAATTATTTGCTTTTCTAGCATCTAGAAATCTAGCATCTAGCATCTAGCTACAGCTGGGTGTAAATTTAAGCAATACTTTGCAAGATATTCTTAGATGTGAAAGCAGGCTAAACAAAAATATTTATTGATTGATTTAACTTAAGTAATCTTTTGGGTCAATATTATTTCAGTGACTTCAATGAATTACTATTTCTGTTAGAAATTCAAGTTTATCAATATAGCATACTGAGATAGTAATGTAGTACTTCTTGCTTGATAATAAACTGGCACTTAAGATGTTTGTTGAATTACCAAATGAAATTAAATAAGAATTCATTATTTCTTTCAATTCTTAGAATTCCTGTATGGAGACTAACTTTTGGGATCTACTGAATTTTCTAGAAGACTTATAGTAGAAATAAAATTTTGCGCTCCTCTTTTCTTTTCACATTTCATAGACTTTGAAACTCAGTGAATAGCCCTACCATTAACTGAGGCACGAATGCCCTCTACAGCATCCATAACAAGATTAGCATCTGCTTGAAACCTCCCATCCTGGGAAATTTACTATTTCATGAGATGGTCTGTTTGGACTACTTTAGTTATAAAGAAGTTATTTTGTTCTGAAATATGTCTTCCTTTACCCTCTAAGTCTAAGCAGAAGAATCTGATCCCTTTTACATGATATCCTGTAAAATAATTGAAAATAGTCATGTCTGCTATTTTTAAAAAAAGTATATTGAAGGAAAAAACAAATCATTATGATGGTAGTTAGGGAGGGGTCACAATACAGGGAAAATTATGATTTTTTTTAAGGTGCTATAATTTTTTTTTAAGAGTCAGGTGAGTGATATGAAAGAAATGTGTGAACTTCTGAAGAAAGAGAAAGCTGAAATTGAAAGAAAGCTTGGCCAAGTTAGAGGGGTAAGTGAATAAGTGTTATGTTGTGACCTTGTGCTTTCAGGATTCCTGAACTGAAAAGGAGAAAAACATTTCTACACATAAATTACTAAAAAAGGTGTTCTGTGTTGGCTAATGCCATCCTTAGCTTCTCTTCTCAGCAAAATGATTCCTTCCATAAAATAAATTGCTCTGTCTCTTCCACAATATAAACCATGACTTATTGTCACTGTCTCTTTGAACAAGTAGGTTCAATCTGAAGGCCTCAGTCTAGCATTTGAGATGCTAAGATAAAGGCAGAAGGGTAGAGCATTCTTATTTCTCTCCAGACTAGATACCTATTCTAATAAAGCTTCTTCACTTGCGGGTCCTGAACACAGAATCTCAGCTTTGGAAGAGACCTCGGGTCATCTAGTCCGACCTAGAGTTGAAGAAGAGTCCCCCCAACGAAGCATCCTCGTGGTCCTTCAGCCTTTGCTTGAAGACCTCTGCTGTGTTCTGCTCTGCTCATTTACATCTTCACAACTTTGGGTGCCTTCTCTTCTATTTGATGCATTTTTCTACCATCTTTTTGCTAATTCATGATCTCTTCCCATCCCAGATGGAGAAGATTTCCACTGACTGAGCCTCACACATTTATATACCTATTTTATGCACTATTCAATTATATCTGTTGTTATATTGCTTTTTAAAGAGGTTTCTTACCATTGATGCAGGAGTCAGAATAGAGACAGAGTCAAGTCCTTTATCTGAGACTTAGTAGATATGTGACTGTTGGCAAATCAGAACTTCTCTGAACCTCAGTTTCCTCACCTGTAAATGGGGCTTATAAAATAATACCAGTAATATCCACCTGTAGGGTAGGACAAGTATTAATAAAATATGCAAAAACTTTATAGACATTTAAGCGCTAGATCAATACTGCTCATGATAGAAGCAGCCGTATGGAAGTTCCTGGGAGAAAAGGACGGTCTTCTCAAGGAATTTGTCACTTTCTTTATCTTCCCATATCTGGCCAAGTACAGTGCAGCATTGGGTAATCCCATGCTGAGTGCTGAGTAAATGCTGCTGAGGGGACAGGATCACAGATTGGCTGCCATAAGACCAGGCAGTTTCACACACAAAAAAACCCTTGGGACAACCCTAGTTTGTACCACTTCTTTTTTTTTTTTAATCTATTTTTATAATGTAAAATGTCCTAGAGTCAATTGGGTGGGTGGGTATGATAGACCCAGGACAATCTAGCTTTATTAGGTTAGTGACTTCATCAAAATATGCATATTCCCCTGAAGTCCTGCTCTGATGCTAATCACAAGAGAGGACCCTGAGTTCTTGAGGGCTGTGCCGGTGGGGCCTAACCTTCAACGTGTCTGACAAAGCAGAGTTTTGAATCTAGGCCTAACAGTATACTATATGTCTGTTAACCTAGGACCGGCCTCAGTGAGTTTTGAAAGACTTGTCTTGAATTGGCCTGCAGGATGAGGAAACGTTCAGCCAAAGCATGTCTTAATGTCTGCTGTCAAGTTAGGGGGGGCTGTCTTCTGGGTGGAGGAAGGAGCACAACTGATGGAATCTCAGTGCTTTGAAATGTTAAAAAAAATGCATTTCAGAGACTAGATTTAAATAGGCAGTTTCGTCCTTTGTGATCATTCATTGATCCGTGGTAATATGCACTGACAATAACAATAGGAGCTGCCATTCACATATGACTTCAAGTTTTCAAGGGGCTTTATGTATGTTTTCTTGCTGGGGTGTCAAGCAACCCTGTGAGGCAAGTGTGACAGGTGTTATATTCGCTGCTTACAGGTGAGAAAGTGGGCTCAGATGAGGCAGCCAGGCCTCATGATGGATGGAGTCAGCAAGACCTGATCTTGAAGGTGGCCTCAGATGCTTGTTAGCCTTTCTCCTGAGGCCTCAGTTTTCTCTTCTGTAAAATGGAAATGATAATAACACCTACCTCTCACGATTCTTGTAAGAATCAAGTTAGATAACCTATATAAAATGCTTTACAAAACTTAGTTATATAAATGCAAGTTACCATTAGTGTAATTATATTATTATTTTTTAATGTTAAGAGGATGGTGACTTTGCCTGTAGTCACAAAACTAGTAAATGTCATAGGTAGGTTTCAAACCCAGGCTTTGTGAACTACACTCTCTCCAGGACACCAAGCTGCCTCCCTTGTATAAAGTGTATCAAGCTATTTTCCTTACATATGCCAAAATCTGATTTTTATGTAATTAAATTTTAAAATTCTATTCATATTCTGGCACAATTGATCTTTCACTAGGACTTAGAGATCATATAGAGACTCTGCTCTCCTGGATTAGGTGGGAAATTCCTTGGACTTTGAGCCTGCATATTGAACACTGTCTCTAGTGCTGTGTCATTTAAATAAGAAAACATGTTCTCTTTAAGGACTGGAATAGCCCCTGTTATGTGTTTTTGTAATGCTGGGTCTTTTATTTAATGTGCAAAAGTACTATTTCTCGGCATGGTCTAACATATTATTTTCTTGCATTTTTTGTATAGTCTGGAAGAAGTGGCAAGACCGTTCCTGAACTAGAAAAAACTATTGGTTTAATGAAAAAAGTTGTGGAGAAAGTCCAGAAAGAAAATGAATATTTGAAACGAGCATCAGGAATAATGACAAGTGAGAAAATGTCTACTCTTGAGCTTGAAAATAAAAATCTGAAGGTAATGGTGATATTCTTAACAGTAATTTCTTCTGCTGTGGGAAACCTTAAAAATATATCAGAACAGTTGTAATTACAGTGCGTTACTTTATCCTGAATAAGACATAGTGGTTTTTAAAAAATTCATCAGTCATTTATATGAATACTATAAGACTCTGTTGTATAAAATCCTAGTTAAGTGTGTGTTTGGAGTAAGAATGATAACAAGGCTGGAGCAGGAATGTGGGACTGGGTAGGAAGATCCATATAGATTTCATACTTGTTCTAGCTTGATAGAGCAGGGCTCCAAGATTTTATGCCGAATCAGTGGTCTCTAAAATATACTCTATTGAGCTTATAAAAGTTTTATTCATGTTCATTTATTTCTTTTTCTTTTTGCGCACGTTTAAAATATCTAGACCGAATTAGAAAAACTGAAGCTTCATCTTGGACGTCAACTGAGCATGCAGTATGAGTTTAATACTAAAGGCCCAGAGAATATCATGGTTGAAAATGACAATCTTCGCAAAGAACTTAAAAAAGTATGCATAATTTTATTAATTACAACTATTTCAGTTGGCTTTTTATGTCAATTAGAGATCTTTTAATTCTTAAACAAAGACAAATATAGATTCAGTGAGACACCTTGTTAGAAATAGGAAAGTCAGTTTTCACAGTCCACATCCAAGAGCACGATACAATGGGAGGTGTTTTTTATTTAAACTTATTTTCTGTTCCTCTTCCTTTACTTCAGAGATGTTCTAAATACCTTCAGCCCTGGACTAACATTTATGGAGACTCTCAGTATATTTTAAGCCCCTAAGTCTGCATGTGAAATAGCATCATTTCCCATTTTGCCCTAGAAAATAGGTTTAATTTTTTTTCAGTACCACAAGGAAAAATATTATAAAGTACTAGGAATCAGATACTAAAGAAACAGTTCTATGGAGATAATCAAATAGTCCTATATTTTGAATGTTTAGTAACTGAAGATTAAGTGTTCAATGAACATGGCTTATGGTCGTGGCTGTGTGTCACAAGTATAGAACGGTAGAAGTTCAACTCTTTCCTTAAAAGTGTGTAGTCCATTACTATATAACTGTATATGTACTCACACATACACGCATACACGCACATGCACACACACATATGCACGCCTGGATCGAAACAAAAATTTTGTCAATGGAAAAAGACAACTTTTATCCTTCTAAGTAGCAATCGTTCTTGTGATCATTCTTATAAAATTTGTTACTCCTAATGTCCTAATTATTCTTGTGATCATTCTCATAAAATTTGTTACTCCTAATGTCCTAATTATTCACTTCTCTGATAGAAGGTAGAATCTGCTGAGATACTTCGAATGGAAAAAAATGACTTGGAGAGATCAGTTGAGAAGCTGACAGCTCAGCTGGAAGAGATGAGTAGCAAATTGTATCTTACTGAAAGCAGAGATCCACAGCTGGAAAGGGCCGAAAGCAGGGGTCTGAAATCAGTCATTGATATGAGGTAAGAGAAGGTTTTAAAGAGACAAAATTCAGTCTCTATCTTGCTTCCGTTATTATTTTTAAAGACTATAAATCTGCTAGTCCCAAGCAGATTTCTTCCAAAATATTTAACTACAGGATTTACTTAAAAGATGAAATGGAAATTGGAGGTCCTTTCTCAGTTATCATTAGTTAAGGTGTAATAGTGTCTTAAGTCAGATAACTGTACAAAATTGAATTTTAATTACTTCATCCTACCATGGTTACTGTCATGAAAATCAAATTTCAAAAAAACCCACATGATCCTCACTGCTATTTCTGTTTGTTTTCTCTGTTTCTTCATTCATTCAACAAACATTTAGCAGCTGCTATATATGGAGTATTCTACTAGGTCCTGTGGGAGATGGAAAATGATTAAGCTATATTCCTTTCTGTCAGTGATTAGAGTTTTTGTTATAGTAGGGTAAGATGTGATAAAGGCAAAAAGGGCATAATTAAAGGGTTTGAGTGTATCAGTGGAGAAAGGGATCCCTTTTTGATAAAGGAGCTATGGAGAAGGTATATTAAACCTTGAAGGATGGGTAGTATTTGATGAGAAAAGGATTTCAAACTGAGGGGGCACCATGAGGAAAACTGTGAAGATGGGGAAGCGTGGGACATATTTGGAGAATAGTAATCTATTGTGGCTGGACATTATCTCTCACACCCCCAGAATTCTCTCGGCTCAAATGGCATTCACCTCCATTCAAGATCTCCTCAACTTTTGCTTCACTGGGCCTCTTAGTTTTTAGCCCCTCCTCTCCACAACAGGTTCCAGGAGACCCTCCCTGCATCACACAAATGACCCTGGTCACTCCTCTCTCTCACCAGGAACTTATGTCACTGTCTCCCTGTTGCCTCCAGACCAACCAGAAACACCTCAGCTGGGCTTGAAAGCCTTTTGCAGTCGCCAGGCCTTCTTTTCCAGGCTTGTTGCCAATTTCCTTCATATGCTGTCCGTTCCAGTCTACCTGGCCTACATCTTCTGAGTGTGTGCCTTATGGCCCATCCTCTCTTGCAGAGGTCAAGAACTCACAGGGTTGATGCCATTTTTTTATATCATCTTTAACCTTTTAGACCAGAGAGGCAGATAAATTATTCCTTATTTTTTCCTTCTTGCCTTCAGAACAAATGAAGTCAAAATGAGCAAGGTACAGAATGAGAATGAGCAAAAAATTCAGAGGGTCACTGATCTTAAGCAGCTCCTAAGGGAAGCAGCAGCAGAGAGAGAGACAGACACACAGACACACACAGAAAGAGAGACAGAGGGATCAGAAGAAACGTTCTCACTGTTAGAAAAGGAGGCTTTCTCTTACCATCCAACCATTTGTTGTATCCACTCTACTCATTGTACTGTTCATTCACATAGCCCCAGCATCTGTAATATTTATTATTTATTTATTTATTTTTGGCTAGGCAGTCAGGGTTAAGTGACTTGCCTGGAGTCACACATCTAGTAAGTGTCACGTATCTGAGGTCGGATTTGAACTTGGGTGCCTGACTGCAAGGCCAGAGCTCTATCTGCTGCGCCACCTAGATGCCCCTTATAATATTTACTTTGGGAAATTTATACTTTAATGTTATCCCTCCTTGCAATAAATACCTTTTAAAAGTATAAAGGTCTCCGTATAGTAGACCTTCTAACTTTTCTTTTCTTAACTATACCGTAAGACTGAGATTCTTAAAAACTTTGCTGAAGGTATCTGAAAACTTTGAAGGTATCTTCCCAGAGCAGAGCCTTAAAGAATTGCAACATATTAGGTAAAACTCTACTCATATCCACAACATTTATATTTAACGAAACAAGAAAGAAGGAACACCTATATCTCTGTTGCTTAGGTGTAATGCCACAGCTTTGAGTCCCGCCATCAGAGAGCAGAGGCAGCGAGATGGAGTGTGAGGGTTAGTCTGGCACACTGACCTCCGAGTGTGGGACTGCCATCACAGGGAATCTGAAGTTCAGGTGTTTAGATGGTACTGGGATTTCATGCACACTTCTACCCTGGCTCATGCTGTGTGGGCACTCACCAACTGCCCGAGGCCTTTCTCTGGTTCTTTGAATGTCTCCAGCAAACTGCTAAATGCTGTCCATCTGGTGTCCATCATTCTCTTTAAATGGTCATTTCCTTCTCCGTTGATGTCTCTTATTTCACTTTTTGTACATAAATTGTCACCTGCTTTTAGCCACCATACATTAGTTTCCCTTGGGGTCACCTGCAAATTTGATTCTTTCAAGTAAGAAAAATGAGGGTAGGGTGGGGGGACCTTCCAGGTGTCTAGTGGGTTTCTGCATCCTGAGTTAGCCACAGACTCAGGTAGACAATATATGAATCCAATACCAGGCCAAAGATCAAAGGGGATGAAAATCTGAAGAAGTTACATTCAGGGTCAATATTTATGAGTTGCATGTATGAAGGTTGTATGTATGCATGCATGTAGTTTGTATGCATGTGTGAAGGGTGTATGCATGTATGTGTGTGCATGTATTGCGTGTGTGCATGTACGTATGTGTGTGTGTATTTGTATGTGTATGTGTGTAGGTTGTAGAGTTGGAACAGTGCATGTGTCAGTCGAAGCTTCTGTTGCTTAGGAGTGAATATCAAATATTGCCACTAGTTCCCACAAGGTCACTGGCCACAGTCCCTAGTCCTGAATTTCCAACCTTGTGTCCTGCTCCTAACTACTCTGTTTAGTTGCCACAAATTGTCTTTTGTTACCTATTTGCAACCCAGTTTCTGACTTCCACCAGTTTTGACCCCATGACTTACTCCATAGACGATAAACCCTAAGTCCTTTTGCTACTTTTGGGAAGTGAGGTGGTGTAGTGGATGAAGTGCTAGGCCTGGTGTAAGGAAGATTCATTTTCCTGAGTTCAAATCTGGCCTCAGGGGGCAGCTAGGTGGTGCAGTGGATAGAGCACTGGCCTTGGAGTCAGGAGGACCTGAGTTCAAATCCAGTCTTAGACACATAACACTCACTAGCTGTGTGACTCTGGGCAAGTCACTTAACTCCAATTGCCTCACCAGAAAAAAAAAAAAACAACAAATCTGGCCTCAGATACTTACTAGCTATGTGACCCTGGGCAAGTCACTTAACCCTATTTGCCTCAGTTTCCTCATTTTTAAAATGAACTAGAGAAGGAATGGCCAAACCACTCTAATATCTTTTCCCAAGAAAATCCCAAATGGGGTCTTGAAGAGTCAGACATGACTGAAAACAACTGAACAACGACGATGTTTTGCTACTAGCTTTGTTCCCTGTAGGTAGTCCTGCATACTCTGTGCCCCTGCTTACATGGAAGTTACTGTGTTAGAACAGTCTCCAGAATTCTTGCTGTTATTGTCGAGAACTCACGTGCATGTTTTTCTATTGCCGTTTGTACCATATTATCCATAACTCTTGTGTTCCAGGTCAGTGGATCGCAGGGAGAAAGAAAACGGGCGAATTAATTCATCAAGCAGGAGCTAGTCAGGAGCGAATTGGAGGTGACAGCACGGTTTCTGGCATTGCGTGTGTGCTGAATGTGTCATTGCTCAGCAGTAGAAGACTTGTTTTGGTTTGCTTTTATCAGGGTTCTCTGAAGTTGCATTTCATTGGGTTGTCTCTCTAGAGCCACAGGCCAGTCATGGGGCTTCTCCATAAAGTCTGTCTCCTTGTTAGCTGTGAGATCAAGTTGCCTCACTTGTGTTAGGCCCTTCCCATCATTTTGGGTGTTGTGTGTCCATTGTATGGATACGTAAGATTGGGGATGTCATACTGACTCCTTTCTAGTATTATGACTCCTATGAACATCTGCTCTTCTTCTTTCTTCATTGTGACTACTCTCTGTTGTATTCATAAGGTCATTTGCTCCCTCCTCTGTCCTTTAAAGTTTAAAGTCACTTTTGATTCCTGTTGCATGATTGGGAGAAGCCTTTATTAGGTCCATTATGTCCCTGCCTGGAACCTCTCATTCTTCTATTTTAAGACATACTACAGGAATTTCGAACCACGGCACAGTCGCGTGTTTCATCTCACCAAGTCTTTGGTACCTGTGAGATTAAATTTGCCTCCTTAGGCCAAGGTCCTCTAGTTCATTTTGTTTATTTACTGTCTTGTTCTTGTGATGTTTTGGAAAAGACATGAGTTAGTACTCTTGTAGTTTTAGATATCAGTACTAAAGTGTGACATTTCATTAAAAATTCATGTCAAATTATATTAAGGACCCTTTGACTTGGACAACTGGCCATATGTTGAGGGACATTCTGTGGAATCTGCTTTTGCCTGTTACAATTGCCACATCTCTCTAGTTTCTGGTTTTTTTTTTTCCCCAGTCCCACAAAATACATTTTCTCTTCCATTTTCTAGTAAGGAGAGAATTCTTATCCTGTATTTTCAACAAAGAATAAAACCTATTGACAGCTTAAGAGGCTAATTCATAAATACCATAAAAACTTAATTCATTTCCTACCTAATTGCCTCTGGTTTTCTCTAGCATTCCCCCCCCCTTTTATTCTTAATTTTTTCTCTTACAATCCCTCTTTTTGTTACATTAGTCGTTTCTGAACCTACCCTCTCCTATGCCCAGAAAACCATCCCTTGTGACAGATATTGTAAAGGACAAAAAAGCCGATCACCCAAACCAACATGTTGACCCTGTGTGGCAATAGATGTAGTATTCCATATGCAGAGCCCTCCACCTCCAGTGAAAGAAGCTTCCTTTTCTTAGCTCTTCTGGGCCAGCTTGAGTCTTCATAAGCAGTCACCCATCGCAGTCCTCACCCTCCACTGATTTCATCCTGTTCTCCCACACTTGGGCTGATAATCACTATCCCTTCTCTATTCACCTATGGACTGAACGAGGCTCAGTTTCCACTTTCCCTCTACCTTGTTTGCAATTCTTCTCACTATTATCCTTCTCACAACAAACACTTATTCTTATAGGGGATCCTAGGAGTTAGTTCATGGGTTGTCGATTCATTTCTTCCTTTCCCTTTCCTGTTCTTCAAATTTCCCTAAATTCTTTTCCTCCAGATCCTTTTTTTTTCACTCATTTCTCATTGTCCTTTTACCCCTTAAAATTATTTTTAACAGCCTCTAAATATGAAAAAAAAGTGTATTTCAAATAGTCTTTCTTGACAATTGTATTTACCTTTTATGTTGTTTGGAGGATATTTTGCTCACCTCTGGTTTCTTCTTTTATAGCAATCCCTCAAATAGTTCTCCTTGTTGATGGTTCACCTTTTTTCATTGCCATTAGGCTCAGTCTTTTAAGATTATTTTGAATTACACTTGAGCTTCAAGACATTACATTTTCTTTTACCGTAATTGAGGAATAATCCTAATTCTACTAGGCATTCCTTTGTGTTTAAACTAGGCATTCTGTCATTTATAAAATTTGTTATTGTAATTGTGAAATTTAACTTTCTAACTTTAAGCATGGGTTTTTTTTCTATAGAGGTGATCTATGGATGCATTGTGTTGTCTGTATTCAAAAGTTTGGGCAGTTTTCATATATTAGTTAATGTAATATGGTATTAGTTTTTTTTAAATACCTGTAATTCTTATCTCTGTATGTGCTGTCTTTAAAGTTAGTTACTTTGGCTTCTGTAGATGTGTGTTCTTTTAAAATTGTTGCGTTTCTTTTCTGCTAAATTTTATTATTTTTCTGTATCTTTGTGGTGTTATTCTCTTTTTCAGAACCTCTACTGCTTTGCAGAAATGAAGCAACTCACCTATTTTTTTTAAGTCAGCATCAAAAGCATCCAGTTCTTGACCTATTATTAATTCCCAACTTATTTTCAGTTTTATTTCACTTCTAAATCATTTCAAAATTTCTTGTTGCCATTTCTTGATTTTCTGGGGAGTATTTGAATTTTTTTTTATTAGGGATTTTTAGTTCATTTTTTTCATATTTTAAGTTTTTGTTTTGCATCTTTCATTTTCCCTTTCATTTCTTCCTTCTTCCTTCTGTGTTTATGAGGCTGTGAGTTTGTCTGCTTGTGAGCTAGGTTTTTAAATAAGGCTCTCTTGGTCTTATAATCTTTACTTTGTATTCCCATTCACTTCACTGTAGTACCCCTCCCTTATTCTCTTCAAGGTATTAGGGATGGGACTGAGGGAGATTATGCCCTAGACCAGACCCTGACCTGAATCGGATCCTTACTGAGTCACTTCTGTGAGGTTGTTTCCTTACGTTGTTCCTTAGAACAATGAAATTACAAGATGCTATTACAAAACTCAAAATTGCTTCTATGTTCTGTGTTACAAATGTCTCCTCTGTGCCCAGGAATACCAACTCCATACACAAAATTCTCAGAATTTGGCTTCCCATATTTATCTGTATCTAATGAGCTAACATATAATAGTCACACTTTTAATACCTGTATAGGATATATCCAGAAAGCTAAGTTCAAGACTTCAGATGTAAAAATAAAAGTGTGCCACTGCATCAGTTTTTAAAATTAAATTCTATATGTTGAGTTTAAGTAGAATGAGAAATAATAGCTAAATCATGTAAATTGGCATCCCCGCATTATATTTTTTTGCGCCTAACATTTTAACTTATTTGAACAGATTTTGAAAAAATAAAGCCTCCACAGACATCTCCAACTTCAGATCCAGAAAAGCAGCAGTTGAAGGTAACTGTTTAGTAAAAAATTATTCCATAAATTTAATTTTTATGGACTTGTAAATGCTTATCATGTAGAAAGTCTCAGAATTACATTTGATGCTAATAACATTCATGTTAGGCACATTCTTTCACAATCCTCATTTTGATAGTGAACAACATTTACAAAAATGAGATTTGAAGAAAACTGGAAAGCTAGAGAAATATTTTCATGCAGTCATAAAAAAGTTTATTTTAATACTCCCTTACATTAATCAGTCTTCTACACATGACCCAAAACTAAGTTCCTCATGGTTGACATTATTTTATTTTACCTTCCTTTATACTACCTGAGTATATGTTTTGCATGTATGAGATGTTTGTATTAATAACCAGATCAAAAGAGCATTCAAAAAGAGTGCCTGAAGAGTTATTTAATCTGAGGGCAAAGAAAACATTTAAAGTTAATTCTTTATTCCTTCTTCTAGTTGCCTAATCTCTGATCAGAAGGTTCTAATCAAATGCTAAAATGTAAAGCACTTTATAAATGCTATTATTATTCTAAAATATGGATAAGCTAATGTCCATTAAATTAAAATTAAGTTGGAGGAAGAATAACCACAAATTTAAAATAAATTCTTTAAGTTTTAAACATTAGGGTAAAATCACTTGAATATAGTAATGAGCATCCCCACATTTTTCATTTCAAATTGTCTTAATTATAATGTCTGAAAGGATACTATATAAATCTTAAATGTCAGTAAGATTTGGAACATGATTTATATAGCAGAGACTCATAGCTTTCATGGATAAAAATCATTATTACCTAGGAGAAACTTGCATTTGAGAAGCTTATGTGAAAAAATGTATATCTTTACAACTACTTGTCTAGTTAGAAATTTATAAATTATGCCATTTTTGTTCTAGTTTTCATATTTAGTCTACTTAGTTCAAATCTAAAGATTTCATATATTTTATTCCTCTACATTTTAATGTAAGTTGTTTTTATCAGGCAGAAAACAAAAAGCTTAAAAAAGAACTGGAAAACCTGGATCCCTCATTTTTTGAAGAAATTGAAGACCTGAAGTACAATTACAAAGAAGAAGTTAAAAAAAATATTATTTTGGAAGAGAAGTTGAAACAACTTTGTGAACAGTTCCATGTTGAACTGGAGAGTGCTGCTAGTGTTTCTAGACAGTTGGAAGCTGAAACAGATGGCACTAATAACTCACCGGTCTGCTGAGGGCTATCTCCAACCCCAGCTTTTAATCAACTATTTTCTATTTTAATAGAAGAAGTTGTAAATAGTAATCACTTTCTGAACTAAAAAGTTTATTTTCTTGTATAATTACAAGCAATGGCATTATTTAGTGAATAAAGTTTGTATTTATATGAAATTATATTTAACTTATTAGGAAAACAGTATTTTTTTATTTAACAGAGATGTGGACTTCTGGGTTAAAAGTTGTCAGTTCCTTTTTTTTTTTTATGATGAGTTTCCAAAACCATCATGATGTTCTTGAAATTATAATACACTAAATTTTGAACTGAGCCCTATAAGGGAAGGTTTATAAGCAAGGTATGAGAGGCAAACAATTAAAAGAAGTTTTTAAAAAAAAATAAATACTGTGGTGCTACTTAAATGAGATTGGTTAGCTTTTCTATTTGATTCCCAAGTGATGTGTTACTGCAGAAAAGGTATGAAGTAAGATATCCAACAACATTTATGGCCTAACTTTGCAAATAAATGATACAAACATTGTTGGCCTAATGTAGTCATTGTTTAAAAAAGGAAAAAAATACAAAACTGTTATCCTTATAAACCCTTCATATACATATGGACCAATTATGTCTTTAATAGATAATTTCTACTGTGTCACAAGCCTCAGGATTTATACTTTAAGCCTGAAAGTTTAAAAAGAAATTGTCCCTAATTAACTTTGAAATGTGTTTAATTGAAGGTACTGGTCATTTTTCATTCGAACAAGTGGGCAGTAATTCATTAGTGTCAGATGTGCTCTTGAGATATTTCACTTTTCAGTCAGGAGAAAGACCCAATATTCAAAAGTAATAAAGATAATATAGGTGATTTTCAATTGGATTTTCACTTCAAATTCAGACATCCAGTTTTATATCTTTGAGTCTGCCAAATTTTTGATTATCTAGCTTTGAAAACTTATTAAACAAACACTTGGAATCAAAAGCACAGTCAAATTTGGTCCTGTTCATATTGATAACAACTGGTCGTGAATTCATGTAAGTATCTGGAATGGGCCATCGCAAACCAAGATGATGACGATGAACCTATTAAGAAAAAAAAAGGATATTAGCATTGCCCATAAATACTAAATTTAGAAAAAGAGAAAAGTAACTTAGACTAGTTCGACAGGAGAAATTAATTTGCTCAGGGGGAATTAAGACTTGTCATGACCTTCCATGTCATATGTTGATTAGAAAATAACTCTGAATACCAAATACACTTTTAGGAGTCAGGCAGAACTGTTATTCATTCCCACTATAAAGGAGATAAACAGAACTTTTAAAATCTGGAACTGGTTCAAGATTAGACTTCAATCAATCCTTCAATTATCAGATGCTGAATTAAATCAGTCCCACCCAAAAAAAAAAATTTAAAAAAAACCCTTTGGTAAATTCAGTAGTGGGACAAATTAATTTCTTTTTATTCAAACTGGAAGTGGTATGTTTTACATTCTTTGGGTAAAGAAAAGGAAAAACAAACAATACTCTGTGTTATTTCCATTTCCTATTGTGAGGAAGTTTGGACCACAAGCTATTTTTATATAATTACCTTGATTAAACAGCCATCATTGCAGTGCCAAACTATTCCTTCAATTTTCCCTTCTCTGCAGCCCTCAAACCAAGACAAAAGGTCATTATGCTTCAGTGTAGGTTGGTTTTTTATTTGAAATGCTCCATGTGGTACAAGAAGATGTACTGGATGCTTTTTGCTTCCTAATCCTGAAAGACAAAAATTCACCTATGGTGTTAGTTGTATCCACTAATTTACAGACAAGACACCAATTCACCATATCTACACAAACTTTTTAAGACATTTAGGAGGAAAAAGGGTTAATTTATTATGGTAGAAGTGATTTCTCAAAGAACTCTATGACAGAATTTCATTCTATCACTCCAGTTCTGTCTTCAAGTATCTGAAGGGTTATCATGTGGAAAGAGGATTGTATTTGACTGGTCCCAAAGGGCAACACAGGGACCAATGAGAAGTTGCAGGGAGATAGATTATGGATCAACTCAATAAAAAAATCTTCCCTAAAATTAGAACTGTCCAAAAAATTGAATAGGTTGGGTTACGCCATAAAGCAGGGGCAGAGGCCCTGCGGCCTCAAGGCCACATGTGGCCTTTAGACTGAGTCCAAGCTTTACAGAACAAATCCTTTTACTAAGGGGATTTGTTCTGTGAAGTTAGGATTCAGTCAAAGGGCTGCACTTGAGGACCTAGAGGGCCATATATAGCCTTGAGGCTACAGGTTCCCCACCCCTGCCCTAAAGTAATGAATTCCCCATCAGTTGAAGTTCAAGCAACTACAGAATGTCCTAGAGGGCATTCATATTTAGATGACTTCTCCAATCTTTTCCGACTTAAAGATTCTATTGATTCTCACCATCTCCAAATTCATCCCCTACTAAATTATATTATTTATAATTACTCTGTGCCTTGAACACAGTCGATATTTTTAAAGGTAATATGTGTATATTCTTCAATGTTCCCATTCAGAAGATACCATAAACATTTCAATTCTAATTTCTCCAACAAATTGTTTAGTTCCATATTTCCTTTCTTTGTTATAGTTGTCCATTTCTGAAAAAGGAATGTTAAAAAAATCCATAATTGTTATTACTAATTTTTTGTAACTCATTTAACTTTTCCTTTATGAATTTATTTGCCATGCCATTCAGTGTATACTTATTATATGTATATTAAATGGCATTTATGTGTCTGTGTGTATATATGTCATACATACACATAAATCTATTTACATAGATATATATAGATACAGTATTGATAACCCTATGGTTCCTTTAAATATAGTGCAGGTTTCCTAGCTGTTTGAATAGTGTGAATGTCAATTTTGCTTCTATAGTATGTATGTAACTGTGTTTCAAGACTCAGCTCAAATCCTGCCTTCTGCAGGCGGCCTTTCATGGCGTACCTAGTGTTAGTGCCTTCCCTCGGAGACCACCTCTAGTTTGTCGGCATGTTGTCTCCCCATTAGAATGTGAGCTCCTTGAAGGGGGGGGCTGTTTTTGTCTTTCTTCGCGCCCCCTCTACCTGGTACACAGAAAGTATGTGATGAATGCTTATTGACTCTGACTTCCCATAGGAGATAAATGCGCTGCCACCTCTTCTTTGCAGAGGCAGGGGAGTATGAGTACAGAACCCTACATATTCTATCTGACTCAGGTGATGTTTTGGTCATTTTTGAGGAACTTTTTTCTCCCTCTTTTTGATATTTTACTATATATACTGTTTCTCTGAGATGGGGGGAGGGGAAAGGTGGAGGAATATATTTGAAAATTAAGGTAATATAAAAACAAAAGATGTCAGCAAAACATAAAAAAGAAATATCCTTCATGAAGGAAAATCAGAAGCAGCATTGCTGTATATTAGAATTTACTCTGTGCCTCAAGGCACTGATTAGTTTTAATCATGAGCAGCCTTAGCCCAGTGGAACTTGAGTTAAGTGTCTTGTAAATGCCATTCAGCCCAAACCGCAGTCACAAGTATTATCTCCCAAAGTTAGCATCTATAACCCTTTCTTGTGCTAGACCAGTATATCTCCACATTCCTACTTGTTGCTAACAAGACAGATATGTAGAAGTCTTTACAAACCATAAGGATTTCCATTAATGTTTGTTCCTATAAGCTCCAGTGTTTGTTCCAAGAGATCTGACAGTGGCACTGCACTGATTTCCAAAAGTCCAGGGTCATCAGCATGGTGATTCAATACTAGAGCAAGTTCAAATTCATAATTAACCACAGAGGAATGCCAGCAATACTGTTTGTTATTTTTTTCCACTGGAACCCAACCTATAAGCAATATAGGAAAAAAAAAGTTTCACTAATTTTATCAATTCATCAAATTCATTTTGTTTGGTTTAGGAATTCATACATGTTAAAACTCAATCTGATTCACATAAGAGGAAGGGAGCCTATGAGCTTCCTTGATTCTATCCACCTGAGGTCCTAGCATAGAGAACAATCCTCTAAGTACAGGGCACTTAGAGAATCACACAAGTTTAGCCCTGAGGAAAACCTGAAGAAATTATCTAAGTACTACTGTTACTCTTAACATTTGATCTTTTCCAAGGAGGAAGTTAACTACATAAGGCTTCTAAAAGCACTGAGGATTTTCTGGAGGATTTTCAGAAGACATGAGTAAAAAGCTATGCAGGGGTTGTAATTTCTATTCAGTGGAAGGAGTATCCTCACCCATGAAATCATGAATCCACCAAAATAATTCCACTGGACACTTGTATAGATACTTTTGATTTCATCCCCTTCTGTAAACAGTGGACTTTTCTATAAAACCATGAATTAAAATCTGCTTTGTCAGTGTATTACACTTCAAGGGATCTCTGATTTATTCAATATCAGGGTTCCTCTTTCTCATGGTACAGTTGACAACCCACCCATACCTCCTTGTCTTACACTACTCTATTCTAACTCAACCCATAAATCTGCATAGAGGCTGCCCAATGTACTGTGGGGGGAGGGGAGAGACTTTCTTCTAGGTCTTTTAACATTATTGTGGGCACCAGTGCAAAGTAGGGGCTATGATCCCTTGCTCTCCCTACATGGTTGGTCTCATTTTCCAGTCCTGTATCTTCTTGAAGATATCTTTTAGACCACTTCTTGCATTTAAGTCATTGTAATATACTGAAGTCTGTTAATGCCCATGCCTTTTCCTTCCACAATTTTGAACCTTGAGAGATTGTGATATTCTCTGATCCATAGTCATATGTAGCAATATCAGTCTTAAAAAGGGGGTTTTGTTTCAGTCAGAAGGTTGGGGTTGTAGAGAATGCTGTGTGGTTTTCCACTTGTAATCCAGTCCACTCTCTAGCTCCCTATCTATCAGTGGTTTTTATACAAGAGACATGTACTGACGGGTTTGCCACAGAACTGCATGCCATAGTCTGGATCATTTGTTTTTTCTGAACAAACTGTTGGCTGAACTCTTACATGATTGTGGCTCTGAGCACTTAGAAGGTCTTGTAAAGGTTCTAAGGCTTAATTGCCATGCACAAAAAGAAGCATCTGGATCTCACAATAAGGAATGTTACTTCCATTTAGAATACACACTGGAAATCCCCTATGACAGTGGTAAACACCTTTGGTGAATATACATTAATTTTTAGAGTTCACTTAATAATCAGAGGGCTGTCAAATTTATCACTGTTGGTGATGAGCCAGGCTACATTTTGTTCCACTAAATCAAATCCTTTTTTATAGTCAACAAACAAGGTAAGTAAAGAACACTCATATATGGCATATATGGCATATAAAGGATCCTTTCTGATTGAACTTTAAAAAAAAATCTTTCTATTAGTAAACATAAAAAATATATTAGAAAAGAGGCAGCCTTTTATACCTGGTATATGCCCATTTTCATCAGGCACTGGATTTCCATTTAACTGTTCTATATCCTTTGCTGGAATCCAACACTCTGGAACAGATTTGAAATCCTCTTCAACATTCCAAATAAACTCTTAAAGGAAATAAAATTATTTATGGTAAACACTTTTTTAAAAGTATAAAACATTATACACATACAAATTATTCTTAATACTATTATTAATAATAACAATCTGGTATCAACACAATGGTTATGTTTCTTTAGCTTTTGGTACTAATCTGGAGCTGATAAACTTAGATTATGCTGTTGTTCAGGGGCACAAGTTGATAATTCATTGAAGCTGAGCCTTCAGTCAAACTGGATATATGGATAGTATAGGGATTTTTTCCATATCATTTGCAAAGAAATTAACACAAGAAACCTTTACAAGCACTAGGTATGAATATTTGTTGTTTCAATCTTTTCTCATGTGATTTATTACTAATTTATAAAATCAAAATTCTGGACTTATGTAAAACAGAAAGCAAAATTCAATACTTTGGTTATAAATGTGTAAATCAGTACTTTGCAGTTTTAAATAGTTAATTATATCTTCTATTATATAAAGATATCTAATCATGGAAATATCATAAGAAAGAGTAAATAATAATCCATTTTATAAGTTTAAAAACTATGTTTCTCCATGTACAAAAACAGATCACACAGGCTAGGACAGGGACAGGGACAGGGCCTATGAATTTACTACTATAAGGCACTCCAAGGGCTAGACACTTATTCTACCAATGCAGGTCCTCGAATTCTTTGCAACTTCATAGTCTTAGAGAGCTGCTTAAGGACTTAAGGGGTTAAGTGATTTCTCCAAGGTATTAGAGGCTTCATATGGCTTCAAAAAAGAAACACTTTACAATTCTTTTTCTTCCAAAAACCTTATTTAACACAGACTAAAAAACATTTTTTTTTGAGAATGCCGCCATAACAAAAGACAGCCATTTGCAGAGGTAAACTGTTTTAAACTGCCAAAATAACAACACACACCAACCTTCTGAGTTTTCCTTTGAATACAGGAATCTTTTAAACCTTTTCTCTGCTTGCCTGTTTGGTTTTCTATCTAGTCGAGCCCAAAGGCGTGGCTGACCTAAAAGTTTAAGAGTCATTCCATAAAAATTTTGTTAGAAAAAAACATTTTACATAAAATTTCTTAACAATGGGGTCATTTGAAAGAGATAATTTAAGTGCAGCAGAAATATTTACTAAAATGTTGGAAAGGACTTAAGGATATGCAGCCTGACAACAGACCCACACAACACTGTAGGAGCTATTTATACATTGAAATTGATACCTTTGGTTAAGAAGTAATTTAATGAAGTCAAGATCATGGGATCATATATTTAGAACCAGAAAAGACTTCAGAGATCACCTGGTCCAAATAAGAGAAGGGACTCTGGTAAAATAAAAGAAAATGAAGATGATGATGTTGATGATACTAACCAATAATAAGTAAAGGTAAGTAAGTCACAGTTTGAGGTTCTGAAAGATAAGACAGATGTGGAAGAAATCAAATGAATTTGTTTAAGGTCACAAAGGTGGTGAACAGCAGAGCCAGGATTTGAATCCAAGCCTTTCTTCTGACTCCCAAATGCTCCCTCCTTCTGCTGTACCATGCAGTCTCACATATATCCTACCTATAAGGCCAACAGGTAGTATGGGAAGATAAGACAAGGGAGGCAAAAAAGTATCAAAAATTCAATCCCAGCAAAATTCTGTTCTGTTGTCACTTAGGTGCAGTTGGACAATTTTGCACTATGGATCAGAAAGAGAACTGAGAAGGATCAGCAAGAAATGCACCACCACAAATGAAAACATGATACAAAGCAAACAACTTGATTACTAGTGGATTAGTAAAGGTAATCTTTATATACAAGAAAGAAGCCGTTCTTCACAGAAATGTAAAAACTTAAAATAACTCTGAAAGCCCCAACAGATTTTCTATAATTTCCTCTTAACAGCATGAGCCACAGCTCTCTTCCAATTATATGCTCTTTCATATTTTTAGCTTCCTCCTTATGTTCAAACTTACATATCTAAATCAATGCCAATATTCATACAACCATTAGAAGCAATCCCAGCAGCCCAAGAAAAGACTTCATAATCTAATGAGAAAGCTAAAACAACTATCATTTTTATCATTTTGTGTGATGAGAGTCAATAGGCTGCAGCACATTGCCAGAGAATGACTTACACACACCAGAAATGGAATAAAAATGCCCACTGTACAATGGGAAAGGCATTAGGAGGGACATGAGCAAAGAGAAAAGGAAAGAGATGGACAGTCTGAGGGCTGCAACTGTGCCATTAGGTTAAAAGCCATAGAGAAATGTCTCGAGGGTGTTTGGTGAACACTTTACAGAATGATGGATGGGAAGGCTTTGAGGAGGAGCTGGCACCTCTACAACTGGGCACTTAGGAAAAAAATGTCAAAAGGCAGTGACTGGTGGTTGGGAGGATTGTATAACAGAGAAGTTCATTCCAGCAAAGAGAACAGCATGAACAAAGAAACAGACAAAAAGGGAAAAGACAGAAACAGAAGACAAGGAGTAGACCAATTTGGCTGCAATATATAGACTACACATGGTAGTATGATACAAGGTTGGAAAAGTAGGTTGAAGCCAGATTCAGAAGGGCCTTGAATGCCAGGATGAGGAGTTAATGGTTTATTCAGGAAGCTCATCTAATTAAGAGCTGAAAGATACCATAATGCTCATCTAGTTCAAGCCCCTCATTTTGAGAAATGATGAAACTGAGGCTCAGAAATATTAAGCAACTTGTCCAAGATCATAAAATTAATAATAGAACTGGAGTCTGGCAGCAAGTACTCTCACTCTAAATCTGGTGTTCCAAGTCCACCAGACTTAGAAGTCAGGTCTCTGACACTAGTTGTGTAAGCACAGATGTTCTAGCCTCTCTGGGCCTCAATTTCCTTATCTATATAATGGGCATAATAAAGTCTCACAGGGTTGTTGTCAGCACTCAATGACAGAATATATACAAGGTACTTTGCAAACCTTAAAGCCCTATACAAATGCCAGATATTATCACTGTTATTAGTAGGATGATTATTTTTACTATATCACAAGCACAAGACACTCAAGGTTTCTGAGTAGAGTGGTTATATGATCATTTAGAGAGACGATTACTCAGGCACCAAGATAAAGTATACCCTGGAGAGGGAATAGACTGAAAGTAGGAAGACCAAGCAGGAGACTTCTATCATGGTTTAGGGGAGAAAAGCCAAGGTGCTTCCAAGAGAAGCATTAAAAACGAAGTGGATGTGAAGCAGAACATAAGTCAGGATGACGATCTAAAGCTGGAAGGCCCAAAGAGGATGCCTAGCCCAAACACCTTCTTTTATATTTGAGGAACCTGAGGCCCAGGAGGTTAGGTGATTTGCCCCAAGTCATACATGGGGTGTCAGAGGTAGGAATGGAACTCAAGTCTTCTGGCTTCAGAGCTGCTGGTCTTTCCACTGTACCATCCTGAGATTAAGCGGGGAGAATCAATCAGACTTGATGTTTGGGTGTGAAGGTGAAGAAAGAGTCATAGGAGACTCTGAAGAGTCCTGGGTAACTGGGGCAATCACGGTAACATCAACAGAAATGCAGAAATTAGGAGGGGGGAAAAGCTGGCCTGGCGGAGCGACAATGTATTGGACATAACGTTGGGACAGACTTTTGGTAATAAAATAAATCTAAAGGCTGATATCTAGCAAACCCCTTTCACATTTCAGCTTACTGTCATATTTTCTACAATATTAAGAATAAATAAGGCTCAATATTGATGCTGAGAAAGAAAATAAATTCTAATTCCTTACCTTTGTAGGTAGTGACATAACAACACGTTCCATCTACTTTTTCAGTGGGAATTGCATTGTATACATCTGCATCTAATGCTTTGTAACTTATAGTTTCTGTAGCCAAAACTTTAAATGGCTTAAGGAGGAAAAAAAAAGAAAACATGATTTTAGAAATACAGGTATAAATGCAAGATATTTGTAAACATAATAGACAAAAAAATCCCTGAAATTTTATCACCCAGACATCACAAGGGATTGGATTACTTTAGTTAAAAGTTTTCATCAGTCAAGTTCTTCACGGCTCAAGTGAAGTTCTGTATCTCCTCTGATCATGATGGTCAGGCCTCTCTGTTCTTTCCCACACCCACACTCAGAATCCAGCTATTTTATTTTCTTTTTTTCCAGAGACTTCTTCCAATTCCAAGATGAAGGAAATGGTATGCCCTTCTTTCTACTCCTCTTGATTTTGCAATTGAGAGAAATATAGGATCACCAGAACACCTGAAAGCGAATCTGGGTCAAGTCTCAGTATGTTCCATAGTACTTCACCCATATTAACAACCACGTAATTATCTTCTCATTATTTCTACACAGGAATTTCAATATGGATCAAGGTCAAAATGTCTTCTGGAGTTACACTTATTTTCAGATGCAACTTTTATTTTTGTTGTTGAGTCTATTTTTAGTCATGTTTGACTCTTCCTGACCCCATTTGATGGCAAACATATTGAAGTGGTTTGTCATTTTCTTCTCCATTTTCCTTCCTTTACAGATGAGGAAACTAAGGCAAACAGGGCTAAATGACTTGCCCAGAGTCACACAGCTAGTAAATGTCTGAGGCCACATTTGAACTTAGGAACTTTTATTTCATTATAAACACATTCCTTAAAAGTAACAGGCTTCTTTCCTCAACATCTACATCTCTGAAGTATGTTGTAACACTTCTTACTGTTAATCAATACTTGGAGAGTGTCTTAACCAAACAATTATTCCCTTCATCTTTTCCCAACATGATCTAATTAGTCTTCCAGGAATTCCCTCTAGTACTCTTCATTTAGAAGCTATGGTTTTCACACCTGTTTCTAAACATGTTAGCATAATCATGGGCTCGAAGACAGAGCTGTAAGTGACCTCAGAGATCACCTAGTCTAACCCCCTCCTTTTGAAGATAAGGAAGGATGCCGAGGCGCACAGCAGTGATTTGTCTGAATTCACACAGACATTAAAAGGTCAAGCCAGGATTTGAAGCCAGGCCCTCTGATTCCAAATTCAGTGGTAGTTCTATTCTAACACATGGCCTGGAACAATTAATCAAATCACAAAACATTTATTAAGCATAGTAAGTGCTGGAGATACAAAGAGAACAATAATAGTTTCTACCCTCAAACTTACACTCCTTGAGTTGGAGGGAACATAATATATACATACATATACATATATATATATATGTGTGTGTGTGTATATATATATATATACACACACACATATATTATATAACTATATAACAAATAAATTCAAGGTCATTTTTTTGTTGTTGGGGAGAAAGGCACAAGGATCTAGGGAAATCAATAGAGGCCTCATGTAGGAGGCGGCATTTGAACTGAGCTTTGGAGGAAATAAGGGATTCTAAAAGCTGGACGTAATAGTGCATTTCAGATCTGTTCCTTATAATTATTCTCTTCCTCAGGCTAATTATCACTACTTCCTTCAACTGATCTTCAAATGACAAAGTTTTGAGTCACCTTAACATCTGAGTTGCCCTGCACTCTGAATGTTTAGTAAATGCTGAGCTGGAAGCTGAATATATATTCCAGGAAACCTCTTCATCCACACTCCTTTCACCTCATCCAATAACCTCAGCACCTGGCTCAGCCTTCCTCTTCGCCTTGTTTCCTGGCATCATCACTGATGACTTCAACATATATGATGATAGCTACTTTGACACATGAGCCTTGGAGATCCTCAACCTTATCAATTCCAATGGCTTCAATCTATACTGCACTTCAGTCACACTCTACCTTTCCCACGTCTCAGAACTTACAATGACTTAGAATGGACTTTCATTTCTGGAACTGGGAATCAGGAAAAGATAAGTTCAAATTCCTCCTCAGACACTTAACTAATTATCTGAACCTAGGAAAATCATTGATATTTTCTGAGCCTCAATTTTTTCATCTATAAAAACAGCACCTACCTAACAGTTGTTGTGAGGATCAAATGATAAAATGTAAAGTACTTTGCAAACTACATGTCTATATAGTGCTTCAAACCATAAAATGTATTATTATTTTTACTACTATAATCACCTCCTCATCATCATTGCTCAAATGGTATTTATTAAATATCTGTGTGCTAGCTGCTGGGGATAAAAGTATAAATAACCCCTATATGCAGAGAGCTTGAATTGTCATGAGGAAGATAAGTACATAGCTGGGTATACACAGAATAAAGTGAACAAATACATACAGTGAACCAATACAGATCTATACAAAATAGCTAAATACAGGGAAATTTGGGATGGACGGCATTAGCAGTTGGATGGATCAAAGCAGGCTTCAGGCAGAAGATGGTGTGAGTGTCATCCTAAAGAAAGAGGAACTTTCTGAGGTGGGAGGGAATAAATTCCAGGCATACCGATGGCTAATGCAGGGGAATGGAGGTGGAAGGTTGAGTGTTGTTGGGAGGAGCTGTGACAAAGCCAGAGTGGCTTAAAGAAAGAGCACAAGAGGGTGGAAAGACAGGTTAGCGCCAAGGTGTTGGAGGATTTAAAAATTAAACAAAGGAGTTTACCTTTGATCCCAGAGGCACTAGGGAGCCATCAGAGTTTTACAGGGAGGGGAGGCATATGGTCAGATCTGCACTTAAGAAAGGCAACTTTGATGCAGTGTGGAGGATGGACTGGAATGATAAGAGCCTTAAGAAAGGAAGAGCAAATAAGAAGCTTTGTAATCTAGGTGAGAAAAAGGGAAGGGCTTGGATTAAGGTGGTGGCTGTGTGCTGAAGTCAGAAATGGTAACATATGGAAACGAATTGCATATGTGGAATGAAAAGGAATGATAATTCATGGAAAATGCTGAGGTTAGGAACCTGGGTGACTAGGAGAATGGTGGTAGCTTCAACAGAAATAGGTAAGTTTAGATTATGGGAGGAAAGATAATGAGTTCAATTCTGGACATGGTGAATTTAAGAGTCTGAAACATTTAACAGGCAGTTGATGATGCAGAACTGAGGTGCAGGGAAGAGACTGGGGCTGGACTTAAAACTCTGTGAGTCATCTGCACAGAGATGATAGTTAAACCATGTAAGCTTATGAGGTTACCCAGAGGAAGTAAGAGCAAGCAGAAAAGAAAGCTTAGGACAGCACCCTCAGTCACGGAGTGTGATCTGAATAAGAACAACAAAAGAGAGGAGAAGGAGTGGTCAGACAGGTAGGAGAGGAACCAGGAGACAGTTGTGTTAATGAAAAAACAGAGAGAAGAGAGAATCGTGAAGAGGGAGGTCAGGTGTCAAGTGAATCAGGCGGGTAAAGAAGGATGATGACTGAGGGGAAAAAAGTCATCAGATTTGGCCATTATGAAATTATTGGTAACATTGGAAAGTGCAGTTTCAGTTGAGTGATGTGGTCTGAAGCCAAATGGCTGAGGAGTATGAGAAGAGAAAGTAGAGGCCACAAGTGTAGACAGCTTTTCAAAGAGTACGCTGAAAGTGAAGAGAGATATGGGATGATAGCTTTGAGAGAATGGTAGGGCCTAGTCAAGGTTTTTTGTTTTCTTTTGGTTTGGTTTTTTTTAGGATAAAGGAGACAGTATATTTTTAAGGCAGTAGTGAAGGGACCAGTAGATAGAAAGGAGTTAAAGATCTGAGAGAAGAGGGATGATTAAAGATGTAATCTGCAGAAATGAATAGGAGGGGATGTTTTGGCAAGAAGGGCCACCTGTTTGTCACACTGTGGAAAGGAAGGAAAAAAAGTAAGAGATGATGTCAGCAAAGACAACATGACCACACAGAAGGGTATAGATAATATGTAATAACTAAACAGAAGGTAATTTCGAGGGGAAGGCACTAGCACCTGTGGGCAGGGAGAGATCAGGAACAGCCACATCTAGTAGGTGGCACATGAACTAAACTTTGATATAAGCTAGAGATCCTAAGAGGCAGAGGAGGGAGTGCACTCTAGTCACAGGGAACAGCCTGTGTAAGGTACAGTAGTGCCAGATGTACTTTGTGAGATGAGCAGCAGGAAGACCAATGTGGCAGGACAATAGAATGTGTTAAAGGATGTAATGTGAAATAGGAGTGGAAAGGCAGGCTACAGTCCCACTGTGATTACTACTATATTTGTGGATTTAATTTTAGAAATAGAAATGTTAATATTTAAGTTCAACAAATTCTTTGGAAAGGTGCTCCCTATTAATTTGAAATATCACCTATCAACCATTGATTGTAGTTCTTGAAATTAAAGACTTTTGATGTTCTTTTGATATTCCAAAAGATATTCTGTTAATACAAGCTTAAAGCGTAAAGCCTACGTAAGATAACAAGATAACTATGATGTGATTTTCAGAGATTTGGGGGGTTGCTGGTTTCTTTTACTTTCAGGTGGCCCAAGAAAATTGTCTTCAACAAACAAGTATCTTTCTGGTCCTAGGCTGATCTTTATTTTAATCACTCTTTTCTTTACTGGTATTTCAATTTTCTTTGTAACCTACCCAAAGTCAGTCATTTAGCCAAACAACATTTATTAAACACATACTAAGTTGACAGGCACTATTCTAAGTGCTAGGGGTACAAAGAAAGGCAAAAATAGTCACTCCTTTTAAGGATTTTACCTTCAAATAGTAAAGATAACCTGTAAATAACCAAGTACACACAAAATGTATAGAGTAGATGGAAGGAAAACTCAGAAGGGTAAGGTCTAGCAATTGTGAGGACTGGGATAGGTCTCTTGTAGGAATTAGGTCGTGAGGGGACTGGGCATTCCAAACACAGGGGACAGCCAGCACAAAGACAGAGAAACAAAAACAAAATCAAGAGTTGTGTCTGAGGACCAGAAAACAGGCTGCACTGGAGGCTAGGTAGAGGGGAGTAAAGAGGAAGAAGACCACAAAGGTCAGGAGAAGCCAAGTTATGAAGGTCTTTAAATGCCAAACAGAGGAGTCTATATTTGATCCTGGAGTAATAAGAATCCAGTACAGTTTGAGTAGGGGAGTCATGGTCAGACTTACTCTTTAGGAAAATCATTTTGGCAGCTGAGTAGAGAATGGAATGGAACGAGGAGAAGGTTGAGGCTACTATGATAGTGCAGGAAAGAGATGATGGTGAAACTTAAAGTGAGTATTTCAACAGCCAAATCCCTTTAAAATGAATCAAAACAGAGTCATTACAACTAATTCATTCAGCACTGTAATGAAAAGTTTCAGTAAATTTTTGGTCTCTACCTTGGCACAAACTAGGTTTTTGTTCAATGCTAACTGCGATATTCAACTCCTCCTTTTTCCTACATGCCGCCTACCCAGGATTGTTTACCTTTCATTTTTCCTGATCTTTTGTTTGCTTTTTTAAGTTTTTCCTCTTAGTTTTCATTTCAACTAGGGGCCATCTCTTAAAATTCAGTAGTAAATGTTTTTACCTATTGGGTTTAGTTTTTTTGCAAAGCACTTTACATTTATTAAATCATTTGAGCCTCAAAAGAACCCTATTAGATTGGTATTATCTCCATTTTGCAGATGAGGAAACAGGGGCTCAAAGTGGTTAAGTGATGTGCCATCATATCCCTGGCATCAGAGGTGGGATTTGAAACTAGGTGACTTTCTGCTTCTAAAAGCAGAACTTTATCCACTATGCCAGGCCACCCTCTACCTTCATTTGTGGAGAATAATATAAATTTTTTCTTTGAAAACTGCCATAAGAAACTTCAGATTAAGACCCTATCTGCATCTTACTATGTGAACAGCACTCAGTAAACAATGTAAAAGAATTAGAATTATTGTAAAATATCTAGACTTAATAAAATGAAATCCTACTTCATACAGAATTAAGTAAATTTACATATCTCCTTAGCATGAGAGGTAGCACTGACTGAAATAACTTCAAAAAAGGTCTTGACGCCTGTGTTGAACAGCATTTCCACAATGGGTTTCCATGGGAAACTGGGGTATTTGAATATTACACACTTTTCTAAAGGAAACTGACATCAAGGAGCATGCTAGAACTCATTATTAAATATCTGCGAGCATCTAGAAAATTTCAATATAATCACAACAAGCCAGGCACCATGGGTTTCTCAACAAATTCATCAAAAACAAACTCATTTCCCCTTTTGACAGGGCGACACCAGAGTACACCTGAATTTCAGAAAAGTGTCTAACAAAAGCTCCCATGATGTCCTTGGGAATGAGATGAAAAATGTTAGGTAGGCAGATCACTAACCCAATGCATAACAAAACCCAAAAGGCAGTGACTGAACTGAAGAAGATCTCTAGTGTAAGCAGCCTATTCTGTTCAGAGTTTTTATGAAGGAGTTACTCAGCTGACAGTACAAGTAGAAAGCCTGTCAAACATGTGAAGAGCAGAACGCTAGGAATGATAACTAACACAGATGAAAGAATCGGGATCCAAAAAGATTTTAACAGGCTAGATCTCATAAAATGAAATTTAATAGGAATAAATACAAATTATATTCTTGGGAGGGGCAGCTAGGTGGCACAGTGGATAGAGCACCGGTTCTGGATTCAGGAGGACCTGAGTTCAAATCCAGCCTCAGACACGTAACACTTACTAGCTGTGTGACCCTGGGCAAGTCACTTAACCCCATCGCCTAAGCAAAAAAAAACCCCATAAAACAAATTATACTCTCGTGCTCAAAAAATTAATGTACAGGAAAGATAATGTGGTCAAAAATATTTTTAATCACTGGTGATTGTAAGTGAATAGTATAACATGATAGTCAAAAAGAGCTAATGCAATCTTAGGCGGTATTCACAGACTGTTCAGAATTTGAGAGTACAAATTTCACGAATTGTACCACAGTTATACCACTTCTAGAGTATTTCATCCATCTCTAGGTGCCATAGTTGCTGCACTATCACCCATGTCCTTCCTACTATGTGACCAGGATGAAGTGGTACAGACATTCTGGACAGCAATTCGGAACTCGGTCCCAAAAATTATTCAAATAGGGCCCAGCTTCACTCTTAAGAGAAAAAAGTCCTACATACACAAATCTTTTTGTAGCAATGAAGAAATGGAAAAATAAGGTTTCCACTGATTAGGGAATGGCTAAACAAATTATAGTATATGAATATAATGAAAATATTGTGCTATAAAAATGATGACAGGGACAGCTTCGGGGAAACCTGGGAAGACTTGCATACAGTGAGGCAAACAAAACCAAGAAAACAATTTATACAATAACAACAAAATTATAAAAACTAACAATTCTGAAAGACTTAAGAGCTCTAAACAAAGCAATGATCAACCATGATTCCAGAGGACCAGTGATGAAGAATGCTATCCACTTCCTGACAGAAAAGTGTTAGACTACATACACTGAGACACATTTTTGGACAAGCAACTATGGGAATTTGCTTTGTCTGACTATGCATTTGTTACAAGGGTAACAACATGTTTGTTTTTTAATTGGATAGGGGAAATGAAAGAGAGAAAAAAATTCTTGACCATTGAAAAAACTTTTTAAAAAACAGATTTCTTGAGGTCAGGTACTGTTTTGTTGTTTGCACTTGTATACTCAGCATGCCTCTTGCAGTGTCTGGCACGTAGCACATAAAAGGTGCTTAATAAATGCTTGTTGGTTGATTGGAGGACATTCCAAAACTGGAATACATCCAGAGGAGGGCACCTGGGCTAATGAGGAGACTTGAAACCATGCCACATGAAGATCACCTGAATGTATGGGGCGTGTTGAGTCCAGAGGAGAAAAGATTTAAGAAAGACAGGAGAGCTGCCTTCACCTATTTGTAGAACGATTAGGTGAAAGAGCAGGTCTAGGAACAATGGGTAGAAAATAGAGGCAGATTAGGGTTGGAAAATCTTCCCAAGGAATATAGGTCTCCAAAAGTAGAAGAATCTGCCAGCCTTTGAAGGCAGTGAGATCCCAGTCCCAGCAGTGAGAAAATGAAATCGATTTGTCAACAGCAGATGGATGTGGGACTAGAGCCAGGGAAAGAAGTTAGGGATGGAGATCTGGACTTGGAAATTAATGGATTTCAATTAGGTGGTTATTTAGGTACCTGATATATTCAGGGCAATGTATTAAGTGGTATGCAGTATTTGCATATGTGCAGGGAAGGTAATAACAGTTGAGATGGTTGGAGTCAAAGATATGCAAGACGTCTTTTCCAAAACACACTTGCCCAGTAGGCATGGTGGGTCTAGAGATAACAGAACCAGGCATGGAATAATTTCTGGAAACTATTTAAGTCTTAATCTTTCACAGCAACCTGGTAAGCCAACCGCTGATATCAACTCTCAACATATTCACAGGACATGGACCTGTAAAGCCCGTCCTCGGGTTCAGGGACTAATTTCTCCTCCAGTTCTTTTCACTGTCATCATTCTCTATGCTTGTACAGCTGACTTTTTAAATGACTGTGTGCATGTATATATGTCTGCCCGTTGAAGTACACACAGGCAGTGTTCCCAAAGTCTTAGTGAAGTTTTAAGCTAGTTTAAACAGCTGAATGTAGCTTAGACAGCTAGCTTAAAACTTCACTAAGACTTTGGGGACACTGCCTGTGTGTATGTGAGTGAATGAATGTATATGTATGTGTGTATGTATGTATGCATACGTGCACATATGTGTGTATATATGTATATATGGGTATGTGTGTGTGTATATGTATGTATATGCATACATATGTGTGTGTATATGTGTATATATGTATGTATGTATGTATGCGTGTGTATATATATGTGTAGAGACACGCAGAAGGAGACAGAGAGGATGATGGAGAGAGAAGGGGGGAGGAAAGCAATAAGATAAGGAGAGGGGGGAAAAGGAAAGCAGGGAAAGGATGGGAGGATGGGCAGAGACAGAGTCCTCGCTCAGTGACAATGCTGACAGGTCCCCCGGGGCTGCCAGCAAAGACAAGGGGCTAACAAGTCTCTCTGTCTCTGTCCCCCATCTCTTTCTATCTCTGTATGTCTCTCCTGTCTCTGCGTCTCATTCTCCCACCTTCTTCTCGGTCAGACCAGACCCCTCCCCCCCATCAACCTCAATCATCTGGGGTGCTCAGTCCCCTCCCCGGACATCTTCCCCTGCCCCTCCCCCTTTGGGGGTTCCCCACCCCCACCCCTGGGAGCTGTCACTACCTGGTGCTCCCTCTTGACCGACGGCTCCTCCTTCACCTCCGTCACAAACACGCAGGGCACCTTCCTCTGCACCGAGCCCAGACGCCGCATCGCGGGCCGTAGCGGCCCGACCCGGCGCCGCCCCGCGACCCCGGGGCTCAGACGGCCGGCAGGCAGGCAGGCAGGCGGCCCGGCTAGCGCGAAGACGCCCGACTGAGGGAAGAGCGAGCCACCTCCAGGCCAGGAGCTCGAGGGGTGGGGCCGACCGGGGGAGGAGGGGCGAGCTGTACGGAAATGCCCAATCACAAACCGCCGCCGCTGGGGAAGGCGGGGCGATCCTTCCGGAAGGGGCGGTTCTTCCGCATGGCCGTTGGGAGTTGTAGTAAAGTTGAGGGCTGGGATGAACTTCCGCATCCTCCCTAGGCTCTGCTCCTTCTGCTGCTCATTAGCCCCATGGGGTGTTCTGTCTATGAGCGCACGGCCCCCCCCACCCCGAACCGAAAATTCATCAGAATAATTAACTCAAACCACATAAAATGGGAAGCCTTCACTAACTTAACCTGCAATACGCCCTCTAGAACCTTCCTGGTGAAACCTCTAGGTCCCTCCCACTTTTTAGTGAGTGAAATGAATGAATGAATGAATGAATGAATGAAAATAATAATAATAGCTAACATTTCTATAGCGCTTCCCCTCTGCCAGGTACCGTGCCAATAATCCCTTTACAATTATTATCTCATTTGATCCTCACAAGCCCAGGAGGTAGGTGCTGTTATTATGATCTCCATTTTACAGATGAGGACACTGAGGCAGACAGAGTGACTTATCCAGGGTCACACAGTCAATGTCTAAGGTCAAGTTTGAACTCAGGTCTTCTAGCATCCAGCTCTAGCCTCGTATCTACTGCGCTCCATCTAGGTGAGTGAATAAATAAATGAAGACTTTATTAAACCCTTACTACGTGCTAAGCAATGGGGATGCAAAAAGCAAGATGGACCGTGCTCTAATGGCATTGCTGGGGAAAGTAACGTTAGAGGTGCTGGAAGCTAGAGGATGCACCTGGAGGACCCCCCAAACCTAGGGCAGTATGGAAACTGATTTCACAAAATTAGCATCATGCATCTAAACCTGCTAAAAGACTGCTTTGGATAGCTGACAGTAGGACAGATTTGGGAGATGCTGATCTATCTCGGTTTTTTGTGTTTTTTTTTTTCCCCCTCCAGACAAGGTAAAATTTACTGGTAAACAAAACAAATCATTCTGATGATCTACTAGATCTCAGCCTCAAATCCCTCCTGAGTGCCTTATAACAGGAAATGTCAGCTGGTAAGTGTCCTAAAGGACTAAGTTCAAGAAAATTTGCCAGAAGCAAAGAACATTCTCAAAAACGTCTTCTGATATGTGCGCTTGAGGATTTCCTCTAAATATTCATTTTGGTTTCTTATGCTGTGGCTAATCTTGCAACACAAACCCGCTTGATTTTCTTAAAATTCTCGCCATAAAAATTACTTTTTTTTTTTTTTAAGGCAATTGGGGTTAAGTAACTTGCCCAGGGTCTCACAGTGTCAAGTGTTTGGTCTCAGACCAGATTTGAACTCAGGTTCTCCTGACTTCAGGGCCGCTGCTCTATTAAAAATTACTTTTTGAAAAATAAGCTTTTTAAAAAAAACAACAAAAAAAAACCCAGTATCTGTTGCTTAAGTGATATCTTTTCAGGTTTAATGAGTAGTTTTAAAAACATCTATTGGGGTCATGGCAACCTAATTTACTTTTTTACAAATGCACACATTTTTACTGAAAGAAAAATTCCATTGTTGGTGCTTCCTGGAAATGTTTTGATTCTTTAAGCTGCATGTTACAGTTGTAAATTCAAACTTTCAAGTGGACAATAACATGTGTATGTGTGTGTGTGTGTGTGTGTGTGTGTGTGTGTGTGTGTGGTGTTTTGTTCTTCAAATGGGTGTCTTTTAATAAAAAATTAAAATCAAATCCTCCAAAGAACTTATTACAAATGCAATAAACTAAAGGACCAGGAGGTGGCGCTGTGAACAGAGAGCAGAGACGGGAGTCAGAAAGACCTGCGTTCAAATATGACCTCAGATACTTACTAGCTGTGTGACCCTGGGCAAGTCACTTAAGAAGACTCTGTTTGGCTCAGTTTCCTCATCTGTAAAATGAGCTCAGGAAGGAAATGGCAAACCACCCCAGTATCTCTGCCAAGAAAACCCTAAATGGAGTCAGAAAGTTGGGCACAACTGAACACAACTAAACAAAACAATACAATAACAAATTGTAGGTGAGGGCAGGAGACCAAACTGCCACATAAGATACTGTCAGTGCTTTTAGCCATTGATTGGAGATCACCTGATTGGATTAATTGGAGAGTGTTCAGATGGAGACAAGGGCTGATCTGTCATTTCCTTGGAATAGGGAAATCCCAGGTCTACCAAGGCTGGCCAGCACTTTCTCATCCATTTAATATAGTCTTAGCTACGTGAGACACTAACAGATTTAGGTTACTTGCCCAGGGGTCACACAATGAGTACCCTAATTCAGGGGTGGGATGTGAAAGTAGTTCTTCTTAGCTTTGAGACCAATTCTTTACTATCCCATACTACTTCTCAGAGGTATTCAGCTAAAACTATGGAAATTTAACAGGGACTATGCAGTTCTTCTGAAACGTGAGCATTGCAGTGAAACTCTTCTAAGATGTCCAATTAAATGAAACTTTTCAATTTCAAGAATTGACTGAATATACATTTGATAAATAATGGTATCTATCAGTTCCCACTGTTTCCTACATTCTTCAGTCTAACTGAAGCGAAAGAGGAGTTTTGACTTTCTTCCTGCCATTCTTTATGTATGTTTAGACCAAATGAAGATCTCATTATGTTTCAGAGCTAGCTACAAGCATGCAGTTGTCTGGTGTTTTGCTCAGTTAGATGACAAAAATCCAAAGAGTACATCCTTTGTAAGAATCTCTGGCCAGTAGAATGTAGCTCTCCTTCAGGGCAGGAAATGTACTGGTATGATGCCTTGCACACAGAATGAGTTTAAAACAAATGTTTCTTGAATATACCTGAATCTGCGCAGAGTAGCATGCCAAAGGGCAAAAGATGCTGAGGTCAGAGTTATTATTATTTAATGAATTAACTGATTGGAGAGGATGGAGAAAAGAAGACAGAAATTTGCTAATTCGAATTATTTTCTTTTTTCAATTATCTTACATTTTCCATGGGACAATAATGAAGCAAAGAAACCCTAACATATGGGTCATCCAACAGTGGAATTAGCTACTTCAAAATCTTTAATATCAAACATCAGTGTCTCTGTTCCTGCAAAATGTCATGACCAAAGCTGCTTTTGCTTTCACTGTCTGGAAGGACAGATATTTAAATAAATGGCCCCCCACAACTGCCATTTCCCAAACTGCCACAGAACCTTTCAGGTTCAACATTCTCTCACTTCTGGGGAAGAAGCATCACCTAAAACATTCCGAGTGCTGTTTGAATAGTAGCAGAGAGGCCACCAATCTCTCTGTCCACATGTACTCTCCATCACACATGCAGCAATTTCTTCAATGTCTGCAACACAGCCGTGGGAATAAGTCCCTGGCAGCAGAGGCAGCTGTCCATGTCCACTGTCAGCCCCAGGACCACCAACTCACAGCCACAAACTGGACTCCTACCCGGAAGGGGGGCACCCACCAGTACTGCCTGGATCTCTTGGGCTGCAAGGAGCAGGAAGGAATAGTTGCCAGCCCCAGGTAAGTGATACAGTATTGCAGGCTATGGGTTGGGAAGCCCTCTTGAAGGGGCTTTGGTTTGACTAGACTGCCAATATTATAGCATGCAACCAAGTCTGGCATCACTAAAGTGTCATATGTAGAGAGTCTGAACACACATCCCCAATCGGGGAGCTTAGTTTCAATCCCTTCCCAACCATCCTTCTTAGTCTTCCTTGCAAAAACTAAAGTTCCATTAACAGAGAATGTCTCTCCCCTTGAGAGGTTGAGCTTCCCAAATGAAGACTTGTAGTGTTTTCTCTTTCCTAGAGTAATTGAATTACCAGAAGCAGAGCTATTTACTCTTCTTCGTGATAAGGCTCACCTCCACACTTGACCTTGATTCTCTTTTTGCTGTGCTGAGGTGGTTAATGACTGTTCATCCCTGACCATGATGTGACTCTATGATGTAAAAACATCACTTTGAAACAACTTGTCCCCTTATATATACATACCAGATTCTCACAGTGGCCATAAACATGTTGCTGCATTTAGCCAGGCAATAATGGTCCTTGGTAACAGTATTTGAAAACAATTTCAAAAGCACCTACATAGGTGAACAGGCCTTTTGTTTGGAGTCAATGATTATTTAAAAATGTTCATTGGGGGTGATTATCCCAGTAGCCTACGTGCTTAGGATGAGTACTTCGTTGTTTTAGAGTTAGAAGGTAGGGTAAAATGAGAGTCAAGACATTTTTTCCTATATTTATTTTACTTATATTTTCAAGATGTTATCCAAATCTTTTATTTTCTGTTTCCTCAACTGAGTTTCTAAAGCAATTGCTGTTTTTAAAAAAAAGTTCTGTTCAAAGTGTTTTCCTAAATGTTAAGTTCTTTTTTTGTTTCCTTTTTTATAAGGTTATATATAGAATATATGTATATGTATGTATGGTCTATGTATATTCTTTCTATATTACGAAGATGTATTTAAGCCATTGTGAGCAGAAAGGTTACTTCATCAACTATTTTAACCAACTGATAACAGCAACTTTAATTACTTTGTCTTCATGTAAATCTATCTTTCAAAACTTCCAACAAAGTAGCAATGCATTTTTATTTTAAAAATAATCCCCTCTCTGGAAAAGGATCATCCCTTATTTTCAAGGTCACCTCCATTTATATTTTCATTAATTTCTAATAGCTTCTCCTAGCTCTCTAAGAACGCTAATGACAAGACCTCCAGATTATAATGTCTCATTCTGAGCGTGAGACATTATATAATCTTACTGTAAGAATTCCATCTGTCATCCGGTTTTTAAAAACGTATACTCAGCAAATGTTCTACTCTTGGAAGAAACCGTTTCTTCTTAAAAGAAAGATAAAAAGGATTAGAATATAGATACTTAATGAATAATCTCAATTTGTTTTCTGGTAGCTATTGATAGATATTATCTCAATTTGATTTTGGGTTCCATCCGACATAGTTGGTAACAGCAGTCAAGTACATATTTGTACAGCAAATGGGTTTATATTGACTTAACAAATAGGAATGTGACACCCTAGAACTTCATATTTTTGGGTATACCCAACCCATCTTTAAAAACAAGATACCAAGTACCTAATTCATTGTTCTAAAATATTCATTCCTTTCTCCCAAATATGAAATTATGTTCTACTTCCTAGTCTCTTTCTTTAACCAAAAGATTGGTGGAAAAAACATTATTGTATTTTTTTAATAGCCATCCTAGTTAATAATGTCACCCTGGAATTAGGAGTAAAGGAAATACTGTGACATTATTCTTTAATGTGAAACTGGCCAACAGGTACTTGTGAGGTCATTTATGATGAGCACATAATGGCCCAGGTAACAATGAGAAAAATTCTGGAAGTTTGAATTTGTGTACTGGCTAGCAACCACTTTCAACATTTCTGCAAAGCGAGAGAAGGTATCTTCTGATTTAAAATTTTGTTAAGAATTACGTATTGCGTAATACACTGTCAACAGGAGGTCAGTTTTAAAAGGAGATTACTACTGATAACCTGGACAACTCTGGAAAAGAGAGTTTTTTATTTTTCATTTTTCCTTATACACTGAGACTTCTTAAAATTACATTCCTGCAATTCTTATATAAGGACAGTGGAGTAGCAGCAAGAGAGCTGAAAATGACAAAAGTTGGGAATGACTGCTATTTCTTTTTTTATTCCACATGCATAAAGGTAAATATTGTACAGATTTACAGATGTTCACATCTCTTAGCTTTCTGGTAGAGTGAGGGAAGATGTAACAAATTTGCATGATCAAAACAACATTAACAAGTTTTCATTCTTGTTTTTTACTTACCCATATATTTATTATGGTAAAGTTGAATTTCTATAAGGAAATATAGAATGATTTGATATTTTTTAATTTTTTGGCCAAAACTACGTTCTACCGCGGTCATACTCAGAATGTGGCACTTAAGCCACATGTATTTCTTTAGAGTACAACCTGAAGTTTTTCCAGACTTTAAACTGCTAGTATTGGAATGCCATTTCATAGAAAACTCTACAGAGCGTGTGGCTGTTTGTGATTCATGGAGGTCGTAGGTGTGCTGCCAGGGTTACGTGTTCTACGCTCTCAGTTGAATGCCTTCAGATTCACTTTAATGAATCCAATTCATTTTCCATTTAATAATTAAGTAAAATTATTCCTGTGCTTTGCTATGTCATTTTAAAATAGTTCGTGATTTTATAGTTTTTGAAGCATCCAGCACAGTGCTCTGATCACAGTAGGCACTCAATAAATGTTTGTTGAATGAGTTAATAAATTTAGTGGCTTATCAAGAATAACCTTTAAAGGAAAAAAATAAAAGTAAATATGTTCAGGTTGGCAAAGTTACAATTTTCTTTAACTTAACTTAGCTCATTAAGTCAAATAGGAGTAACATTATTAATATAAGGTCACAGATAATAGATTTAAAACTAGGGGGGAAAAAAAACACCTGAGATCATTTAGTCCAATCCTGTCCCCTCCCACTTTATTTTTAGAGATGAGGAAATTAAGGCCTATAGGCCTTATATATAGTGATTTGCCCAAGGTCACATTCAAGTAGAAACAGCAGAGCTGAGATTTAAATCTAGATTTATCTGATTTCAAATCCAGTGCTTGCTCTACAATACCAGTTCATACAGGACACAAAGGATTTGAATTAATAGTGTCAATAGATTTAGAAGAAAAAAACGGTCTAAATGTATAACCTATGTAAAATCAGGGCAGAGGAAATACTTGCTGGGTCCTAATTCAACCATAATGGATCTAGGAATCCAAGGTCGTATAAATGAGATACCTAGAACTGTTAAGCCGGTTCTGCTGTGAGAATATCTACAAATTATAGCCACAGTAAAATCACAAAGAAAAGATTTCTGCAGGTGACATAGTAGAAATGTCACTGTTAGAGACATTTAAAAATGAAAAGACAGGAAGAGGAAGCCAAATATGGAGAATATAGTGAGGAATGTACTGGGACAATCACTTACTTGTCTGTCTATCCCTCTAACAGCAGGACATTGACCCCAAAGTTAAACAACACCTTTGCCATAAAATAACGAGGAGAAATAGAAAAACAAAGCAATTGGGGTTTCTACACTATGAAAAGAATGCAGAATTAATGACCTATGTGGTATTTTAACATGTTTCTACTTGGGTACTCCTGATTTTTAAAATACAAGGTACTTTAGAGCAAAAGAATAACAGTTGTTATAATTATAATGTAGTATAGCCCAGTTTTTTTTATGGGAAAAATGGAAAATATATAAATAGGAAAATAAAAATAGAAAGATATAAAATTTAAGATCTATTTACCATTTTCTTAGACACATACTGACCAGTAAAAAAAAAAATCCATAGCCACTGGTTTGAGAACAGAGATCTCAATTCATAAATAAGGATCTTCTATGTAAGCAGAATTAGTTTGTTGGGGCTTGAAAGCTTTTTTTCCCCCTGGAAATTTGATTTTTTCAGAATACTGTAGCATTCGTGCATATCCTATCCCTGGGCTGTGCATAGCCTGGGTTATCACTAACCATTTGTGTATCTTGAGCTACAGATAAAAAATATACAGCTCAGATTTTGCCAGTAACTTTTGGCACACAGTATTATCACATACCTCTCTACGTTATTTTGCAGTGTTCTTCAATTCTTCTTATATGACAGATTCACCTACTGATAAATTGAAATAAGCTGCCAGAGTTTTTTGGCAAGTAGGGTTACATTTCTGGTATTTATTTCGCTAATGGCTTTCTAAATTAGCTATAAGCATATTCATTTTAAAAATCATGAGAACAATAGGTAGGAGTAAGTGACCTACAGTTATTGTTGACCTCTAGCATCAATATATTGTGAGTTTTCTGCACTGTTTACTTTTTTCTCTTAGGGTTCCCAGTGCCGATTCCGACACTGTGAAGAAGCCCTTGGCAGTGACACTGTGTGCTCATTATGGAGAGAGGGAAAATGTTTAGATCCACTTTGCAGATTTAGACACATGGAAATGCAGGTAGAATTGCTCCTCCTCCTCCTCGTCGTCATTCTTTGTCAAAAATATAGCACGTTAGTAATCTTCTTGACCTACATGACAACATGACAGAGAGATGATGTTACTTCTGCCGGTGGCAAATAATGCAATTGATGATGGTAGCTTGCTAGTGAACTTAAAACCTTAGGCTAGTATGTAGGAATATGTCATAGGAACCTCTGCGACCTCAATTCAAATTTAAGGCTATGACAGCAGGACAAATCCCTATTGATTAAAAAGTAATCAATTTCATTTGGCATTTTTTTTGTTCCTTTTTTTTTCTCTTAAGAAATAATTGAGTTTGTTATGAATATGACCTCTGAAAACTCCATTTCTTCCCCTTTTTCTCTAGCAAAACTGCAGCATTTCATGCTTCTGGGAAACTCAGCCTCTTGGTTGTGTGAAGATCAGTTGTGTGTTTTATCATAGCAAACCCCGTAATATCAATGGACTTTTTTTGCCACCAAGTAGCAGTGAGTATATTTTTTTTAATAATATTCACATGACATCAGATTCAAATCTGAATGTAAACTTCTATAGCAGGAAACCATCTGTCTAGGAATAGGAGTATGGGACGCCAGACCAGTAAAAATATGATGAGGAAGAGTGATATGACTGTGACAGTGTCAAATGGAAGATTCTATCAAGAATCAGGAAATAGGGGCAGCTAGGTGGCACAGTGGATACAGCACTGGCCCTTAAGTCAGGAGGACCTGAGTTCAGATCTGACCTCAGATCAAACACTTGACACTTACTAGCTGTGTGAGCCTAGGCAAGTCATTTAACCCCAACTACCTAACCAAAAAAAAAGAATCATGAAATGAGGCTTGGAACAGGCTCTCAGACAACTTAATCCTGTGTCTGGTGATGTGATCAAAGGGGAGATGATATGCCTTGGGTCTAATAATGTGTATCCAAGGTGGCTTTTATTATTATTATTATTATTATTATTATTATTATTATTGTTATTATTATTATCATCAATTTAAAGAGTGTGAATAAGTCATTGAACCTATTGGATCTTTCTTAGAAGATTGAACCAGGGATAGCATTTCCTGTGTGGGTTATGGTCATATCTTGAATCACTTGTGACTGATTTTAGGAGCAAAGAAATGTCCATAACCCCAGTGAGCAGCCCACATGAATACTTAGCTCCTCAGCAGTTTTGCTACTGTACTTAGAAGCATGTAGGTGGTGGTGCACTGACTAGAACACTATATATGGAACCAGGATGACCTGAGTTCAAGTCCAGCCTCAGACACTTACTAGCTGTGTGAGCAAGTCACTTAATCTCTTGTTTGCCTCACCTTTCTCATCTGTAAACTGGGGGCGATAATAGCACTTACCCCCCAGGGTTGATGTGAAGATAAATGAGAAAAAAAATGTAAAGAATTTTGTAAACCTTAAAAGTGCTATTTAGATGTTCGCTGTCATCATTGTCATTGTCATCATCATCATCATCATCATCATCATGATGGAAGCTAGATGGCACAATGGATAGAGCACTGCGCCTGGAGTCAGGAAGACCTGAGTCAAATCTGGCCTCAGACTCTTACTAACTTTGTGACCCTGGACAAGTCACTTGACACTGTTTGCCTCAGTTGCTTCATCTGTAAAATGAGCTGGAAAAGAAAATGGCAAACCACTTTCATATCTTTGCCAAGAAAACCCAAATAGGGTCGCAAAGAGTCAGACGTGACTGAAACAACTGAATATTGTTATTAATATTATTGTTGTTATTATGTAAAATAAGTGACCAATACAGTTGGGTCCAGGGCCCTATTCCTTGGGCCTAATTGTGCTATGAAATATGGGGACCAGAAAAGCATTCAATGACACTAGTACACAATTAGGCAACTGGATGGTGAAAAACTTTTTTCATTAAAAACGTGACTGTTCAGGCCCCCATGATGCTTTTCCTATGGCTGTTTCTTCTGAGTACATTTCCCATTCTACAGAGTAGGCCCATAGCACCAGAAATTTTAAGGTAATTGAACAACCCATAGTCTCACATAGCTGAGAAAGTCAGTTTGGTGTCATGATATCCTTCCTGTATCTGTCTTGTTTGTCCATAGCTATTTGCATGTTTCCTCCCCTGTTAGCCTATGAGCTCCCTGAGGGTAGGGACAATCATTTTCGCCTTTCTTTGTTTATCCCCAGAACTTAACACAATAATTGATGCACAGTAGGTGCTTAATAAATGCTATTGACTAAATGAGAAGTGTTGTATAGTAATGATGAGATAATGTTTGCAATGGAAGAGAGATAGTAAAATTTGGGGATTTCAAAAAAACCTGACTTAAAGACCTGGCCAGCTCTTTCACAAAGTAGTTTTGTGGTCTGGGTCAAGAGGTTTTGGAGTGAGGCTCAGTGGAAAGGACATTTGATCTGGGGTCAGAGAACCTGGTTTTGAGTCTTAGCTCTGCTCTTGACTATCTCTTTGTCTCTGGGCAAGTCACTTCATTTCTCTGGGTCTCAAATTCTTTTTCTGTAAAAATGAAGGATTAGACCAGGGTGTTAGGGGTATGCTGGTAAATGTTTACAAACTTACTCTTCAAAGCATTTTCTTATCACTTTCCTAAGTCTAGGCAATTAACCAAACAAATTAAACCCTGAGGGTGGGTCTCAAGGACCTGTAGGAGCTGTCCAGCACATTATTGCCTATAAAGGTTGCTTCTAGCTCTAAGGCCCCATGGTTTTCATCTATAAGATGGAGTAAGGATAGATGAACTCTAAGGTCTATTTTAACTCTGGCATTTAAGCTAACTCCCAAATATCAAATGAAATAACACACAACACTTTGAAACTTTAAAATGTTATTAAAAAGCTATTGTTATTATTAATTGTGAATATTAATGATTACTCACAAATCACAAAGGGTAAACAGTAACTGATTATAATCAACTGAGATATCACATCTGCTTGCATTTTAGTTCAACAAATATTTATCAAACATCAGAACACTGTGCTAGGCTTTATGGAAATATAAAGATAACTAAGAAACAGGGATTATTCTCAGGAAAGTTATGATGTTGTATTAAAATGTGCAACTAACATAAATTAGAAGGTACAAGTGCCATTAAAGAGATATGCAAACAAGTGCAGGGATTCAGAGAAAGGAGAAATCATATCATCAGTTTGAAAGGGGACATCATGAAGGAGGTAGTATTTGGGCTTGATCTTGAAGAATGAATATGAAATTTGAAGGTGAAAAGAACATAATGAGCAAAAGAGACAGAGAAAACGTCAGTATGTGTTCAAGAATAGTGATTATAGAACATACAAAATACATGTGAGGAAAAAGTGGGAGATAAATTTAGAGAACAGCTAGATGGTACAGTGGATAGAACACTGGCCCTGAAGTCAGGAGGACTTACTAGCTGTTGTAACTGGGCGAGTCACTTAACCCTGATTGCCTCCAAAAACAACAGCCACAAAATGATTAAGGGAAAATAGGAAAAGAGATGAAGCCACAGGCTGAAGACACTAAAGCACCAAAAAGGGAAGATGAGCTTTTATAGAGGCCTAGGAGTTAGAGAAAAGGAGAAAGAGCCAGAAGAAATCAGAGTTGTGAAAACCAAGGGAGCAAAGTATTTGAAGAATGAGATCAGGAGGTGGTCAACAGGATCAGATACCACAGAGGAAGACTAGAGGGTTGAAAAAGGACTCTGGATTGGTGGTTATTAGAGCACTGATACCTTGAAGAGAGAGTAAATTTAGTCAGTGACAGCCGGTTCTACCAGAGGCCTTCAGAATTTCTCAAGCATTCTTTCAAATGCATAGATTACTAGATTATAAATTCCTGGAGGGTAAGAATCATGACCTATTCACCATTCTGCCTAATAGAGTGCCATATACATAATAGCTGCTTAATAAGTATACTTAATACAGTACAGTCTGGACTATGACACTGACCAGCAATGAAGTGGTATTAATTTTGGGAGCAATTAAGGCACAGAGGTTGGATTGTGTAAAACACATCTATCAGTTCATCTCTTCACCTGCCCTCTTCAATCAATAGTCCCACTTTTAACTGGGGGTTGGGACGTGCAGATGGAAAGAAAGCTATTTAAAGCTAGAAACCTAGGTTGAATCCTACCCCTTCCACTTATTTACCTGTGTGAGGTTGGCTAAGTTTACTTTAACTCTCTGGGTCTCAGTTTCCTCATCTGCATATTGAGGTAATTGGACTAGATGAAATCTTGAAGGTCCCTCTCAGCTACAAATCTCTTAAGCATATGATCATAAATAGTATATCATCTTTTATATAGTTTGCCTGGGGCATCACTTCAGAAGATGTTATCATCCTGAGTTGAAGTGCTTTAAAAGACCCATTCAGCATTTCTTTTTAAAAATCCATTACTTATTAAATCCCCAAATTACTTATTCATCCCAAAGTGGGGAGAATTTGTTCATTTTATAGATTTCATAATGAGAGTTCTAGAAATCCTGTGGGAGAAATAGTGCTTTGGGACACCATTCCCTCTGACATCTATCCAGCTGACCTGTTGTGATGAATAGACAACCCATTCCGTGGGGGATGTCTATGGACAGAGAGGAAGGTTTTCTGAAACAATATTTAACTTAATGAATTGCTATGCTTTTCTGAGCCTGAAGGGAAGAACTAGATTCTACTTCCACTTGGTTTGATTAAGCATAACGCTTTTCAGGTTATAATTACCTGAAAGGTACAAGCAAAAGGTAGTCTTAAAAACAAACTAACAAAAAACCAATTAGTTTTAAATTTGCACCCCAACCAATTGTATATATGGGGAATATCTTTGGAGACAAGATTCCATAGCTTCAAACATTTCTTTTAGGGTACCATGGGCGCAAAATCTATGTAGTAGAAAGAGGATTTGTTTTAAAAATTGACAAGGCAGAGAAAGGAGTACCTCCCACTGCAGTCATCTGTGGCTGATGTGACAATCTAGTCATATAAGAAGGATGAAACTTCTAACACCAAGAGCTCTATAAAGCATAGCTGACAAACCCAAATTGCACACAGCAGTGTGAAGCTGTGCTGGCGATGGAAAAATAAAGGTTTTGGAAACAATCGCCTACTTGTAGAAATTCATCAGAGACAAGCGTGTTCCCAACCAGTTCCTTAAAACACAAAGATAGTTGGTGTTTGGGGACTTATGGGAACAACATAACTAGAAATCAACATAGGTAACTCAACATATGTCAAGTCCTTGATGTACATCAATTCAACTACCTAATAAACCTGCTGCCCCAGGTTGGTTGCCTATCATATGCCCCCAAGCACTATTAAAAGCCCAATAGAATGATAGAGATAAAACAAATTGTTGAATTTCATGCTTGGGTGCAACCCAAATGCACTTCATTACAGGAGGTAATTGGAAGCAAATCACAGACCTTCTCAGGAAAATGTGACATCAGTATGTATTGTGAGCTCCCAGGGAGATAATGTCTGCCAATTTGTTTTGTATAGCATTTAGCACAGGGCCCCACACAGATAATAAGCCACATGCATTTGTTCTCTTGATGGTGATGATGACATTGACTTTGCAAAACAAGTTTTGTTGCTTGTTTTAGAAATGTCCTTATAGTTCGATGTAGAGTGGGGACTGATACCATTCAGAAACTAACACTTCAAATTGATGTTCATTATTTGAATTTTATCTTGTCTCCTTTTCACTAAGAAAGGAAAAGTATGAAATATTTTTTGTGATGTGGGAGAGGGAGGGAGGGAGATGCAAGAGGAGCTGCAGACATAGAAAACACAAAAAAATCAATCAAATTTGTTTTTAAAACGAAGGCAAAAAAAGGAGTTTAGTGAATGGATTGACTGGACAATTTATTCTGTGAAAGAATTAGTGTGAATGAATGAGTCCCTTGAAGGGGTTGCATTATTTGAATTCACACCACATATTTCCGTTGGGTTGGAACCAATTACCATCTTTTACATAATCATAACTTCAAATGGCACAAATTTGAATACATGTGACCACTGCAGGGAATTCATTATTCACACTAATCAAGATCTAGCTGTAAGACATAGGGTATGAAAGTGTGAAGGAATGGAGGAGGGGTTTGAGTGTTTAGGGGAAGAACTTGTGCTATTCTAATAGAATTTCTGATTTGGTTTCATGTAAAGGTTTAGTACCATGTATAGTAGAAAGAGTGTGGGATTTGGAGTCAGAGGACCTACGTTTGAATCCTGTCTTGGTTACAGATTGTCTGTGTACAAGTCGCAGCATCTCTGGGCCTTAGGTCCTCCTGGAAATCCTATGAAATATTAGTTGGATCTTGGTTTTTCCTTATGAGTGTTCTTTGCTAACAATTTCTAATTAATACACACTTTATAAGTAGTTCAGTAGGGGGCAGCTAGGTGGCGCAGTGGATAGAGCACCGGCCCTGAAGTCAGGAGGACCTGGGTTCAAATGTGACGTCAGACCAAACACTTGACACTTGCTAGCTGTGTGACCCTGGGCAAGTCACTTAACCCCAATTGCCCCCCAAAATAAAATAAAATAAAACTAGCTTGGTATACAGTAACATGAGTATATGCTTTTAAAGGAATCATTAGCCTTGGCAGCACACCATGTCTCTCTGCTCAGCAGGTGTTTGCTGGCAAAGGCAGTTTCTGGGCTTTTTTGGGCTATTTGTGTTGTTGACTCTTTTCCATTGGGTAAGCTTTGATAAAGAATAGTGACAAATCAATGTCTTTTTGGACAATCAATCTACACAAGAAAAACCAAGAGGATGATGAAAGCATTTTGTCCATATGGACAATTAAATAATAGAGATAGAGATTTTATATATACATATATATATATATATGCACATCTATCTATCTATGACACATACAGGAGACAGACAGTAAACTAGCCCCAAAATTGCATAGTAGAGATGAACAAGTTAGATTCCATTTAAAGTAAATACTCTGCATTGTGTTTGGTGATCTGGAGTTGCTACCTGACACACAAACCCATCTTTTCAACACTAATTTTCTCCTGGTGATGCAATATGACTCTGAATCATAGAACCCTAACATCTGAAGAATGAAAGTTTCAGGTGATCCCAAGAGCAATGACCAAATGCATGGCAGGCAGAAGGCTGTACTATAATATCAGTGGTGACCTCTACACAAGAAATAATATAAAATACATCATGAACATTACATGGCTTTAAAAGGAGAGGAATCAGTTGTGTAGACAAGAGGTAGACGAGACAGAGGGATACACTGGAAACTACGAAATATAAAAGAGCCAAAGGAAAATAGTATATGTGCTGGGTAGATCCTCTTTGGAGAATTTATAGAATGATAGCCAAGATATCATGGATAGGTTCCTCTTTGTATGAGTGAATGACGTACCCCCATTGAAGAGATCACCGTTCTATCAGCTGAGTAGATGTAAATACACAACAAAAAGTTTACTAATTCACACTTACTAGGGTAGGATGTCAGGATGAATAGTATAAGATCTAAATCATGGAAGAGTTTTTGAGAATACCATTATAATTTTAAAACAAATATTTTAATAATAGTTGGCAAGTGGGAATTCTGCTTGACTTGCTTTAATGAATGGTTAAATATCCTTTGTAACTGGCATATTAGAAATTTGAATGCAAATGAATGCAACTTCAAGCGATTGTAAGGATGTTCCAAAGCATTGTGTATTTAAGGTTAGCCAAGTATCCTTGCAATTTTCTTTATAACATTGTTTTAACAAACCTTTAGTAGTTAGTAGTTAGTAGCAAGGTAAAATTCAGATCACTTACCATTTAAATCAGAGGGGTTTTGATTAATCAGATTTTATTGAATTATTTGACTACAAAATGCCCATGAAATTCAATTGAGTTCTTATGCCAAATAAAAGTGTGTACTTGGATTGTTTCTGTTATGTTATTTTCCTAGCTAGATCTACCCATGCTATCATTTTCTCCTCCTATTTGTATTCTTTATTATTTAGGTAGGTTTTATTCTGAAAATACTAGCCAGTTGAATACAGAAGGGATCATTAGAGCAGAATTTCTTAATCTTTCCTGTGCCATGGCTATCTGGTGAAGTCTATGGACCCTTCTCAGAAGATGGAATTTTTTTAATCAAATGAGACAGTATTCGTAAGGCATTTAGCACAGTATCTGGCACATTGTAGATGCTATATAAATGCTTATTCCTTTCCTTTCCCCCTTTTAAATAAAATAATAATTGAATGAAATGCTAAATTCCAGTTATAGGTTTATGAAAAACAAAGATGTAATTTTTCCCAACCAAGTACCCAACCAGATACCTTTCCATGGGCCTCTTGGAGTCTGTGGATCTTCATTTTAAGGAACCCCTGCATAAGAGTGACTAGATTTGGTGTGTTTTACTGTTTTGTTTTGTTTTTTCATTCTCACCTGGCTGGGCAGTTCTTATAAGCTATATATCTAAACATAGGTAACTCTGGACGTTGCTGACATGGAAAGATTTCCCCACGTATGACTTGCTAGGATTTGCTCTGTGGCTCACCATGTGCTCACTGGGTAGATCCAGCTATGACAGCATTGGACCAGAGGCATCAAACTTGAATCCTGCAGCCTGCCAAAACTCCCAAGTGTGGCCTGAACCAGATTAAAATGTCATTTGGAAATGTTTAGCAAGATAAATAAAAATACAATTTGACAATGTTCATTTGTGCTTTTCTAAGTCAATATGTAGCCTGCAGGGATCCATTTGAGTTTGACACCACTGACTTAGACTATATCCTAATTCCTCATTGCCATAATGAGAATAGTACTGTCATCCCTACTTACCTGCCTCATAGGGATATCATAAGAATAAAATGATATTACTTTGAGTGCCTCAGAAGAAAAGGGCTATAAAAAGTCAAGGCAATAATCAGTGCTTTATAGGAAAAGCAGGAATGCTAATATTTGCTACTCCTCAAAAAGATGATAGATTTTTTTTTGACATTTGACTTGTGTTCTCCCCAAAAGGAAGAAATGAGACTTTTTTTTAACAAAGCATGCAATTAATTTAGGGCAATAAGGTGTGAAATAGCATTCAAACCATACTTTTTTATGATACTGTGAAAAAAGACTGGGCTTTTGTATCTTTTTTTAAATAGATGTCACACTACAAAAAGAAACCCAGGAAGGAATTCTGCCCCCTACCCAGAGTCAAGAACCTCTGAAACCTCAGGAGAATATTTCAAGACCCATTCATCCTCCACTGGTCATAACTATTAATTTTGAAGAAGAAGAGGAAGAAGAAGAGGAAGACGAAGACAACAAGGAGAACAGTTAGTATGATCTTCCTTAGATCTATGATGTATGTAAAGACCCTTACACTGTTCTCTATTCATTTGTCTTAATGTTTTGTAGGTTTGTAATACCTGTTTTTCTGATGGAAGGTAGTGCTGTTGAGAGAATTGCTTTAGTTTTCATAAGCGTCTTAATTCATTGTTCTAATTTAATAGTCTAAGGATGTCATCCTACTCATAAGTAAAGAGTAAATTATTTAATTGGGGGAGATATATTAACTTTCAAGACCACCTACTTATGTTGTCTTATTTTCTAATGTACCTGGAAGCTACTGGTAGTCAGATAAAGTTAATATGTCTCACATGCCATCATGGGAATTTGGAGATGAAATTTTCCATTGCAGATTGTGCAAGTGCAGCAAAACTCCATTATGAAGCATCTTGCTATTCCATAAATTCAGTTACACTACAGATAAAATGAAATCAACAAATTGAATCAATGTGTCTATTAAATACCTATTGTATGCTAGACCATGCTCTGTGGTTGTGGTCCCTTTATACATAAAGTTGTAAAGCACATTGTGTTCTCTCTCAAGCATGGGAAATTGGAAGTTAAAATGATTTCTTCATTCCCTAAAATCCATTATTATGAGGTTTTAGTGTGTTTTCTTTTCTTTGGACATTTAAAAAAGTAATTTATCAAAAATTTCACTTTTTCCTAAGTGCCTTTAAAATCTTTCTCTCAGGTATGTTCAAAGGCATACAGTAATTTAAATTTTCATTTTAACCAGTAGGCACAATTCTGCTCTTCACTTGTGGAAAGAATGTCAACAACTAGGACATTCTTTTGTACCTAAATCAGTTCCCTTTTCTCTCATGACCAGCTCACTGCATTGTCTGCTGAGAAGCTGTCTCCGTCTTCAGTATTTACCTTTTCGATCTGTCCATTGGCCATATCCTTTCCTTGATCAAACACTTTCACAGCTTATATATAGGATTGTAGATTTAAAAATAGAAGTGACCGACCTTTTAGATCAACTAGTCCACCCCCTTCGTTATGTAGATGAGGAAGATGAAGCCCAGAGAGGCCGTGACTTGCTTAGGGTTCCAGAAGTAATACATGACAGAACCCCATTGTTTTTGTTGTTCAGTTGTGTCCAACTCTTTGTGACCCCATTTGGGGTTTTCTTGGCAAAGATACTGGAGTGGTTTGCCAATTTCTTTCTCCAGTTCATGTGTACAGATGAGAAAACTGAGGAAAACAGGGTTAGGTGACTTGCCCAGGGTCACACAGTTAGTAAGTGTCTGAGCCCAGATTTGAACTCAGGGAAATGAGTCTTCCTAACTCCAAGCCTGGCGCTCTGTACACTATGGCGCCACCTAGCTGCCCTATCCATTGCTTACAGAATAAATTAATCAACAAGTATTTGCAAGCATTTATTAAGCACATAGTATGTGTCAGACACTATGTCAAGGACTGGGGGAATACAAAGAAAAAATAAAAGCCGTCCCTGTCCGAGCTTACATTCTCAAATTCTGAAGCCTGACATTCAGGTTTCTCCACAAACTGGTTCAAACCCACCTTTCCAAAGTTAATCTCTACTGCTTTTTGTGGTAAACCCTCCGTTTCAGCCAGACTGGGATAAATCTTCTCATTGTACCATGCATATAAACAGGGACGTGCTTGTCTGCTCATCTTTGTTTATGGTGCTTCCCCTACGTGGTTACATTCTTGGCCTCCTCTCTGAATCCTAAATCCTACTCATCAATCAGTGTCCCATTTTCACTGTGAAGTCTTCCATGACAATGCCAGTCTACAGCGGTAACACTTACCATTACATTAGTATTGTTCATTTAACACCTATGTGTGTGAGGCATGACTATACGATGGTAATGATATGTAACAGTACTTCAGGTTTGTAATAGTACCTTAGCTATGTGGAGCGGCGGTATGCTGTAGTGAATAGAGGTCCAGCTGGGGAACCTGGAATAGTCTTCACTGAAGGCCTGTCTCTGACACACTCTGGCTATGTGTCTCTGGGCAGATCATTTAAACTCTGTGTTGTAGGCAATTCTCTAAGACTATAATAACTTGCATCAAAAGTGGGGACCTGCTCAAGCAGAAAGAATTACCCCATTCAGGGATTTCCCTGTACCAATGAAATCACATATTCAATTCCCAGGCCCCAGTTATATAACAATGACAATATACCTGTTGTAGTACGCTGTTGGTTATCTTTGTGTGCGTGTGTGTGTGTGTTCATGATTCCCTACTGGATCGTAACCTCCTTAAATGCAAGGACTGGTCTTACTCTTCTTTGTGTCTCTACACTTTCTAGGGTACCTTGTACGTAGCAGCTCATTAAAGAATGATTGGTTGGGCATCTCCCTCTCCTCCCTTTCTTGTGCATTCCCCTCTTTTTGCATTTTAATGTGGAGCTTTCTGGTGACAATACTGTGACCCAAAGAAATGAATTGTAGTGGGAGTGGTGGTGAGGAATGCATGGCAGAAAGATGCTAATTTGGGGTAAGGGATGGGGGAGGTTCAGAGAGCTACAGCTAGAAGGGACCTTATCATTCATCATCCAATCCCCTCATTTTATACAGGGGAAACTGAGGACCAGATAAGTAACTTGCCTAAAATCACACAGGCGTTAAGTGACAGAGTAGGATTCCATCTTGGGTCCTGTGACTCCAAGTTCAGTTCAGTCTTTTTTTTTTTTTTTGCTGTACCATAGACTTTTAATTCTTTTAGAAAGCATTTACTAAATTTCTTGTGTATGGGGTAGGAACTGGAGAAGATGACAATAAATGTTTAGTTGATTGCAGCTCCTAGGGCTTATAGGTATGCTTGTTTGAATATTTGAGTGGACCTGTGCCCACCCACGTTGATATAGGTAACTCTTCAGTGGTGCCGATTGCAGTAAGTCCAAACTTTTTCAGTCTGTGTTTTTGACCATATATCCTTCCTATGAATTTGCCCAAAATGTGCCTGAGTCCTCCTCCTAGGTTTTTTTTTTCTCATTCCATCCATTTCAGTTCAGGAATATTCCTCATTATGATTATTGTGTTTTGTTCTTATGTATTTCCTGGATGTTTTCTGTTCCGTTTCCCCAAACATATAATGTTTCTAATGTGCTGTAAGCCTGCTCCCCACCTCCTCACCCCTTTTCTCTACCTTACCTTTTGGGTCACTCATAATTTTTATTCTATCTTAAAATAAAATGCTTTATTTTATAAGATGGTAATATCCTAGGTTTCATAGCATCTGGTTTGACAAACACACTCTTTTCCTTTGAACTCTGCACCAGGCATCCTCTATAGCAAGCAAAGAGCTTTGGGTCAGCAGGGAACTCTTGGTTTTTCTCCCTTACTTGAAATGGATAATTATGAAATATTGAACCAAATTATCACTGTAGTTTCATCTATCAAGGAATCTTGGTATGATCTTCATAAAGAAATGAGAAATACCTCATTGTTGAAGAGTTTTTAAGGCTACATTTTATTCTACAAAATTTAATTTTAAAATAATCAATAAATAAGAACTAGGAATTAGTATTCTTTATACTTTTCAGTCAGTTTTGTGATTGTGAAGACATGGCTTGTAAGAAATAATTTGTAGTAGCCTGTGTATTCCTTTCTTGTAAAATGTATATGTATGTGTATATATGCACATGTGTATATAGAAATATACACATGCATATGTATGTGTATATATGTATGTGTATATAAACATATGCTTGTGTTTATATACATATTTACATATGTATGCACACTATATATATATGTGTGTGTGTATATATGTTCTAGCTAAATCCAGAACAAATTAGCCCCTAGGAATAGAGAGTCACCAGGTCATCTAAGGCAGGGTTAACTGGCCCAGGCCAGAAAAATGAAGCCGGTTAAATGTTCCATGCCAGTCAGCCTTGAGATCAGGCCTATGAGTGACCATTATACTTTCAGCTTAGACAAGTTAGGAAAACAGGTATATATACGTGTGTGTGTGTGTGTGTGTGTGTATATGTGTGTGGATATATATATATAACATGTAATTAGCATATATGTACAAATATAAGGATATAAACACACATATGTACATGTACATGTATGTATAGGTATATATGTATATAGATGTGTGATATATATGCAAATATATACATATATTTACATACACATGCACTCATACGTGTGTGTGTGTGTGTGTGTGTGTGTGTGTGTGTGTGTATCTGCCTTTCTATCTTGTCCAAATTGGAAGTTCAATGAACACTCATAGGCCTGATCCCAGTGCTTTAACCAGCTTCATTTTTCTGATCTGGGCTGGTTTAACTCTCTTTACGTGGCCAGATAGCCCTATGCTCCCAAGGGCTAATCATTATTTGTTCAGACTTAGCTTTCCTGAAGCTCAGAACTCCCAAACTCAAGTGATCTGCCAGCCTCAGACTGTAGCAAGAATTTTAGGCGTGCTATATGTACCATGGCCAACAACCCTAGCTCATAATTTCCTCAAGAATGCCCTCAATAGATGTGCAAATCACTTCTACAAAGAATTTTTGAAGATGAGAAAGGAGACATAAATTGATAGTTACTGATGGACTTTTGATCACTTTTGTGCCTGTGAATTATTTTCTTAATTTTCATAATTTTCTGTTCATAATTTTTTCTTAGTTATTTGATATCTTTCTTCCAGATATCTTAAAATCCAGTTTCTTAATGTATTCAAAATTGTTTAGTCTTCAAAAGATTTCTCCTCATTACTTTGGCTTGTCTAACTGTTTCTTCCCTTCTTTTTTTCCCCTCTGTCCTTCCTTTTACTTCCCAATACAAGACACTAGTGACTAAAGTCTTAGAGTCCAAATATATTTTTTCCATTGTGACTGGTAATGAAAAGAATTTTGTGTAGAAATGATCTGTGTCATGCTTTATCTGTTTGTTATCTTCCTTCCCATTTCATTTCTAAATGTTATTGTAATAATCTGATTTAGTTGGGTTTCATATAAAGTTTTTTGCAAACTCATTTTTTTCCCATTGTACTTTCATTATTTTTGGAGGTGGTACTTTTTATAATCTTCCACCATACACTTGGATAATTTTTTTTTTGGGGGGGGCAGAATTGGGGTTAAGTGATTTGCCCAGGATCACACAGCTAAGAAGTGTCAAGTGTTTGGTCTAAAATCACATTTGAACTCAGGTCCTCCTGACTTCAGGGCTGGTGCTGTATCCACTGCGCCACCTAGCTGCCCCGATATAAGTTTTTTGAAAATGAGTTTATATGCTAAATCAGTATTACCCCTTGCTGTCAAGTACTGCTATTTGGGAAGATCAGGTGTTTGCTAGTATATATGATTTCTGGACTCTTTGGCCTCCCTATTTTAGAGACTGCTTTAGATAAATTAAACCTCTCTAGGAAATATTGGTTATATAACTTATTATATTTAGACACATGAATTATATCTACATGTATGTTTAATTTTATTTTAAAATATATTATAAAATATATATGTACATATAATTTTATTTATATGTTATAAAATATGTCAATATATATTTATATATACATATTTAAAGGGCATTATATGTGTACATGTTCCACACATATACCATATATAACATATATAAATACATGCGTACATGTATAATGCCCCTTAAATAATATCATAATAAAGGCTGTCTATGTGTTTATGCATAGAGACAGTTTTGTATAAGCCTTCTAAATGTCAAGAGGAAAAAATAAACAAAAGCCTCTCTTCTAACTCTTCCCCCCAGTCATTGGTTTATCCACCATTCTTCCCTATGTTAAATGGCAGTAAGGAGAAGAGGCGTACATTGTACATAGGGGGAACTAATGTTTCTTGTTAGGATCATACTAGGGCGTACAAACTAGTTGATCACTATAGGAGGGGATTCTAGCTTTACCACTACCTATGTTGGCTTATAAACTACATGTGAAACCATAGTGTTTATGTTTAGGGATATGTAGGATCATTCTCTACTTTTCCTACCTATCTCTTTCTTTTATCTATCTATCTATCTATCTATCTATCTATCTATCTATCTATCTATCTATCTATCTATCTATGCTTTTTGGTGAGGGTTAAAGTGACTTGCCCAGGGTCACACAGCTAGCAAGTGTTAAGTGTCTGAGGCTGGATTTGAACTCAGGTCCCCCTGACTCCAAGGCCAGAGCTCTATTCACTGTGCCACCTAGCTGCCCCTCACCCATCTCTTTTAAAAGAAAAACTGTGCAGGCTGGTTTGCCAGATAGATGGATGTAGAAAGTATTATGAAGTATTATAAAGGAATAGACATGGATGTGATCAAAAGAAAGCCCTCCTCCACCCTACAACGGGAAGCAGGAGAGGGAAGAATTGGGCTTAAAGCATACAATTGGTAATTTCTTTCTTCTGGATCATACTTTATTCTTCCTTCAGCATGGCAAATGTGAACATTTCTCCGTATGCAAATTTCACTGATTTTGTTTTACTCTGAAGTAATTTCTTTTAATTTTAAATTAGTTTAAAAATTAAAAGGAATCATCTCACAGTAAGAATAACAGCTGTGATTTTTTTTCTTTCTAATTTGTAATAGAATTTCTCATAAACTTTGTATATGGGAGACAATTTACCTTTGAAAAATATATCCTGCAGATGCTTCTAGTTTGTGGACAAGGACTCCAGAGGAAATCGAGGAAGAAAGGGTGATAAAGGAAATGTGCCATAAGTCTGGTAAGCATTTTGGTGATGGTGTGGGGTTTTTTCTACTTCTGTGCATGAGTACTCTACTAACCATTATTTTCCTTATGGGGAGATTAGGTGAATACTACCGATTTCACACTCCTCCAGATATTTCAGCAAAAAGCATAACTTCAGCAGTGGAAAAGAGTTAGCAAAACCCTTGGAAAATGGCAGTGAATTGCAAGAAGGTAAGCCATTAAATGACAGTACAAAGTGATGCTTAGGAGATACCTAGTGCAATGGCATGAATTACTTATTTAGTAAGATACACGCGAGGACAGTCTTTTTTGTTTGTTTGGTTAGCTGGTTTGGAGCTAGCTCTGTGATTTCATTTGTGCAGGTGAGGTCCAAAGCAGAAATTCCCTCCACTGATGCTGATATTTAGATTCTTAAGTTGTTTGGGACGCTGAAAGGTTAAATGATTTACCCACCATTTCACAGACTATAGTGTCGGAGGCAGGAATTCAAACCAAGTTCTCCTGACTGCAAGGCCAGTCCTCTATCTACCTAAATATTACTCTGCATCTCAGGTCAGAGTTTAAATGGGAAATAAATCCACTCAAAGTGGACAATGGTTTTATCCTATGTCCTAAATTTAATAAGAAAAGCTTTCGTGGAATGTAATTATGCCTTCCCAGGTGTGCAGAAGGAATAGATGAGGATTTCTACATACCTTATTTTACAATGATTTTGAAGATGTTTTGCTGTTAAAATTTTATCTTACAATAGCAGAGGTGAAAATAGGTGAAAATTTTTCTTATTGAATTGATAAGCTAATTGAAATCCAGCAAGGTTCAGTGACTTGTATAAAGTTACAGAAGGAGGTCAGTGGCTGAAGTCAGGATTGGGCTTTTGACTCCTGGGACTCACTCTCCTCCAATTCCTCCTCCTTTTCTTCTGTAATTAATGAACAGGACTAGAGTCTGCAGTTGGGAGGCTGGATGGGAATGTTCTTCTCTGTTTTTGAAAAGATGAAATGTATGTTTAACCTCAATGTGTATAGAATTGATTATGTTAGAGTTGTCTAATATATCAGGTAGAAACAGGAAAACACAGTGAAAGTCTATGGACTCAACGAAACTTCACATTCTCGCCCCTAGGATGAGTTTTAAAACCAGTTTTGCAGCAGTAGCAGGGATTTGTGTCAAACAGACCCAGCAGGGAAAGCCACCAGGGCCAAGGTGGGTAGGGGTAGGGAGTCGGCCCCCACGCATGTGGTTAATCCACAGAGCAGACGATCTGCCTGTCTCTTTATCAAGCCATAACTGTATCATTTGGTATACTCTATCTAGCCTTCTGGCACTAGATAGCTGCACCCTCAACACCCCATGGCAGGTGCAATACAAGTTCTTTTTTATTATTATTATTTTTATTTTTTGCCTTTTGGTTAGGCAATTAGGGTCAAGTGACTTGACCAGGGTCACACAGCTAGTAAGTGTCATATATCTGAGGCCGGATTTGAACTCAGGTCCTCCTGACTCCAGGGCTGGGGCTCTATCCACTGCACCACCTAGCTGCCCCTGCAGTATAAGTTCTGAGGCATTTAAAGTTCCCTTTGACCTATCTTCCTTGTACACAAAGTGACCTCTCAGTTACACGGGTCCATGAAGGATCTTTATGATACCATCAGGGTAGGCGAGTTCCTCATATGTGAACTCAGTCTACCAACAGAGATCACATCCTAGTGTTTGACTTAAGAGTTAAGTCCTAGGGAGTTGCCTGAGGTACAAAAAAGGTTTGGTGCCTTTTACCCCGTGTCACACAGAGTAAGAGGATGGAAAGCATACTGGCTTTGGAGCCAGTTTGACCTGGGTTTGAATCTTACCTCTGACACTACCTGTGTGATCTCTGATACTACCTGTGTGACCTTGGGCAAGTCACTTGACTTCCTTCAGTTTTATCTTCCTCCTCCCTATAAGGAGCTCCCTTCCAGTTCTGCATTTATAACCCTTAACCTCTCCACATAGCTAATAAGTATTCAGAGGTGGGATTTGAACCCAGGTACTCCTCATTCTAAACCAGGTACTCTATCTACTACATCATGCTGCCTCAGTCATGAAAGAGAAGAAAATGGTGGGAATAGGAGGGGGGGGGAGGTGATTATAAAAACCCTTTGGGTTGATTTATACTATGATTTTAACATGAATTTACTAAAGAATGAAATGCTACTAAGAAAATATATAAGAAAATGAGGCAGTCACTTCATTTCCACAAGAGCAGTCAATAATAATGTGTAACAACTTTTGCTAAATCTGATACTTCTGAATGGGTGTCAAACCAGGAAATACTAGTAAATGCCTTTAAAGAAATGATATTTTTTAAAAAAAGCACTCAAACACAATCAAAAGTAATTTCTATTTCATGTCCAGTGGAGAAGAAATAGTTTTAAAATGTCAAATTGCCAATTCATTTTTGAATTGATCAGATAAGAAAAGAGTCTCATTTTCCTCTTTGCTGATTTAATTGTGAAACTGCTTTAAAAAGTCATGTACTTTATTGTTCATGAAATCACTGTGCAAACAATACTTGTCTTAGATCATATCCCAGAATCTTGTTGTCTTCTCATAAAGCACCTCATAAATGTGACATTTCTATAACACAGTTCCTGCAGTGATCTGACCTTCAGAAATGTAGCTATTGATACGTCAACCTTCTTCCCACCCCTTTTGTGCCATTTTAGGGGATGGCCTTGCAGTTCCGACGAAGTTCAATGTATTTGAAAGACAAGGTGAGATAAAAGCATCATTGCATGGAGAACCAAGAACCGACCTTGCTGCTTTTGAAAATGGAGGTGATGTCATACAACTTTTGTGTGTGTGTGTGTGTGTGTGTGTGTGTTTACTACCAGTTATATTTGACATTCCACAGACCACCAGACTTCTTCCTCTGAGTGGACAAGTTAAACAGGTCTCATAATTATAAAATGACATTCTTTGATCAATCCTATGTTTTTTTTTATGTTCCTGTTCTCTTTAAAGAGAATGATTTCCATAAAAATAGAAAAGGTATTTTTTTAGATTAATGGTTGGTGAAGATGCTAGTTGCTGTGAAGAGGTGCATATATTTGGGCCTACACAAGACAAATGGCTTATTCGTGCATATTCTTAATCTTTATATTTGTCTTCAGCAATTGAATTGTTCATATTTAATTCAATGACAAACATTTTAACTTTACTAATATGCTAGATTTTTTAAAATTATGTCATCCCTGCCTTTAAGCACCTTACAGTCTAATAAGAGAGATTGGATATGTATAAATATAAGTAGGAGAGAAAGTGGGATGTGTCACAAGTGAAGGAGGGCTTCAGATCCAGTGCTCTAGGAAATACTTTTACCAGTAACACGATTGCTCCTACTCAGGTATTTTGAACTAGGTCCTTCCACAATGCGTCTGAAAGCAATACACTTTAGGTCACTAGTTTTAAAACTTTTGTTTAAACCAAAAGGACAAAGAAGAATGAGAAAGGGAGATATAAGGTGGAGGAAAAAGAGGAGAGAGAAGTAGAGAGAGGCAAAGCTGGTTTCCAGCCAAGGACTGAAAATAAAAACTGAGTATTTAGATACTGCGTCAGAAATACTTTTTCCACAGTGTTACTCCTTTATTTTCTCTTGGCCTTCTCTGTGTCTGGATACCTTCAAGTTCCAACCTAATTTATTTGCTCCTGCCTTTAATTTTTCCCCATGCCTTTGACAGAGAATTGAAAGTAGCAATCAGTGGCTGGTTATGCCTAGAGAGATGATACAAGCCGCGATCTCTCAGTCGTATATGGAACTCTGTGAAAATTCCTTTCAGAATGGATGCGGGCGGTGCAGCTAGGTAGATAGAGCACCGGCCCCGAAGTCAAGAGGACCTGAGTTCAAATCCGGCTTCAGACCAAACATTTGACACTTACTAGCTGTGGGACCCTGGGCAAGTCACTTAACCCCAATTGCCTAAAAAAAAAAAAAGAATAGATGAAGGAACTAGTGTTATTGTTTATAGCCTGGAGAGTAGAAGACTTGGGAAGGACATGTTATTTGTATCACATCTCCAAAGCACTGCCATGGGGAAGACGGATTTGATTTATTGTAATTTTAGGGGACAGATGTAGGACCACAAGGTAGAAGTTGGTGGTGAGGGTGAAGGGCTGGGAGTGAGAGCGATTTCAGCTCAATATAAGGAAAAGCTTCTTAATAATTCATGCAGTCTGAAAATGGAATGGGTTGACTTGTGAGGGAATAAATTCCTTAAACCTGCAAATATTTAAACAAAGTCCAGAAACATTTTGCTGGGGTCATCAAAGAAGTGATTGATATTTAGAAAAAAGATCGGAAGTAGTGACCTTTAAGGCCCTTGTCAACTCTATGATTCTTAGAGTGGGCCTTATCCATGTGACACAGTAGAGTATGGTGAATTGCTTTAAAGAATGTGGATTCTTATCCCAGTTCAGCCATTTTGCTTCCTTTGTGACTATAGGAGCAAATCATTTTACCTGTTGGGGCCTCAGTTTCTTCATCTGTAAAATGAAGAGATTGAGCCTGAGGACCTCTCATATCACTTCAAGTTCTAGATCTGTGATCCTGTGATCTGGCAATGAGAGGAACTGGAGAAATGCCTTTGCTTCAATAGCTTGTTTTGATCCTCTGAGAAGCCAGATGGTTACAAAGAACAAACCAGACCAACTCACCAAGCTGTAATATTGTCTTGCTGAGTCAGTCTGGTTTCTTAGTTATCAAAATCTATCAAGTAACTAAGGTTTATTAAGCACCTACTGCATGCTAAGCACTAGGGCGATAAAGGAAAAGGTGAAAGAGTCCCCCCCCCATAAAAAACCCCCCTTACATTCTGTGTTCTCTTAAATCCACCATGCTCTATTGTCTCATTCTACAGGGGGAGACATCCCAACCTACATCATAGGTGCATAGGTAGAAAACATACAAAATCAGCACATGCTTGATTTGGGGGCAGGAGGGGACACATCAGTAGCTGGTTGGGACCCAGAAAGGCCTCATACAGAAGGTGATAGTGCCTGAGCTTAATCATGAAGGAAACACACTAGGCATGGACGATAGTTAGTGTAAAGGCACAGAGATAGGAGCAGTTTGGCTGAAGCGTAGAGTGTGTGGAAGGGCATGATATGTAAGAAGGCTAAGAAGGCAGGATGGGACCAGATTGTGAAGAGCTTCAGTTGTCAGGCAGAAGTTTATTTTTTTTTCCTAGAAGACCATATGAAGTCAGAGTTTCTTGAACATTAATGGTGACAGGGTCAGATTTGTGATTGGGTGGCTCTGTGGAGGATGGATTGGAGTGGGGAGAGAAGAGCCAGCTAGGTCAATTAAAAATCCATTTCCAAAGTCCAGGTGAGAGGTGACAGAGGGCTTAAAATAGAATGATGGATGTGCAGAAGAGAACATATATATGAAATGTTATGAATAAAAAGAAACAAGAATTAGCAACTGATTGGAATATGTGGGCTGACTGAGAGTAAGGACTTGGAGATGTCACCAGAATTGCCTACCTGAATGACTGGAAAGGATGGTCGTGCCCTTGACAGAAACAGGAAAATTCAGAAGGTGGTAGCTTTGGAGAGACTGATGACTGTGAGCTTAGGGTGTTAGGGAAAGAATCATCAAAAAGGTTCAGAACTTTCAAAAGCCTGTGTACTCTAAGTGAACAGGTCCTTTCCTCTCAGAAATGTATGTTGGAGTATTGTTATGGGTGCTACATTTTAAAAGGAGCATTCACAACATGGAACATGCCCTGAGTTGGACAACTGAGGTCTGGAAATATGGGATATTTAGTTGGGAAAAGAGAAGACTTAAGGAAGACATGATGTTACTTTCATAGATTTAAAAGGCTGTCATATGAAAAGATTGATGAGAGTTATTCTATGTAGTTACAGAAGGCAGAAGTAGAAGTTGTTGTGGTAGAGTTTGTTTTAGTCATGTCTGACTCTTTGTGACCCCGTTTGAGGTTTTGTTGGCAAAGATACTGGAGTGGTTTGCCATTTCCTTCTCCAGATGAGTAAACTGAGGCAAACATGGTCTTAAGTGACTTGCCAGGGTCGCACAGCTAGTAAGTGTCTGAAGCCGGATTTGAACTCAGGAAGATGAGTCTTCCTGATTCCAATAACAGTGCTATATCCACTGCACCACCTAGTTGCCCCCCCCAATTGGAAGTAATAGGAAGTTGGAGGGATGCATATTTCACTTCAGTATAAGCAAAAATTTCTTAACAATCTGAGCTATTTTTTAAAAAATGGGCTGCCTTATGAAATTATAAGTGAATTTCCCATTTACTAGAAATGTCTATCAAGCAAAAGGCCAGATCACTTCAACTGGAGCTAATGTTGAGCGGATTTCTGAATTAGGTGGGAGGTTAGGGAAGATTACTTCTAAGATTCATCATCACTAAGATTTTGGGTTCCTCTAATGCAGGGGGTGACTGTTATGTACCGCAAAGGATCATATTTCTCGGAGTAGATGAAAGTGAAGCTTTAACTGAAGAGAATGAATTCATCATGTCAAAAAGTTTAAACAGTGGTAAAGGTAAGAAATCTTTGTGATGCTTATCATTAATTTGTTTCATTTATAATTGGTTTGGGCACATGTAATAAGAGCCTATTATCATATATTAGAGACTTTAATTGAATAACCCAACACAAATCCAAAGTCCAATTCCTTTTTTATTTCATTCACTAAAAGAAAAATCTAGTTTTATTTCCATGGAAAGTTCAGGTTGCAACTAGAGAGGTAGGATTGTGTTCTTGTCCCCTTTTAACCCTTTAATTAGAGAAATATAGTGTGGAATGATCAGGAACTCCGTTGAACGTTCTTTGTTATTTTGCTTTGACAGTCGTATTTGACTAAGAATCTTAAAAAGGGGTCCTTAAGTCTTTCCACCCCAGGCTGTAAGAAGCTACTGTAGTAGTCACTAGGAGAGATTTTTTTTCCCCCTCTTATCTCCCTGAATACTACCTAGTGACATCTACTTCTTTGTAATACCAGTGTTCTCAAATAGCTAGAGAATAATTGAAGAAACATTTCCTATTTGGGGTCAGAAAAAATGGAAATGGACTTATGGAAAAAACTTCATCATTCATATGAAAAGTAGAATTTCAATAAAAGATAAGGAAATTTTGAGAAAAATGTTGTAGTCTGTTAAGGGAAGTCTTGTAAGTATAGATGGAGAGAAGTAGACTGTTGGGTAGATATTCATTCAGTCAGACTAAAGACAGTCTCTATCCCACAAGGAGCTTACATTCTAACGTGAGAAGACTAAATTCTAAAGGGAGCTGAAGGGGGTGGTGGAGGGGTAAAAGAAAAAGTGGGATGCAAATGAAGGTACTAGAATGGAGGCATGGTGGACAAAATTCTGGGGAAATAAGACAGTAGAGCATTCTGGAGAGAATTGAAGACATAGTTGATCTGAGTTTCCTCCTCAAAATAGAGGCTCTGGGAAGAACCAGCCAATCAGAGGCAGAGGTTCCAGGGGCTGAGGGTACTTTGTTGGGAGAAGTAACACTCAACTATGGGTCAAGCCATTGTTGACCTTCTAGTTTCCTAATCTGTAAAATGAGTGAGTTTAAATGATTGCTAAGGTGCTTTAATTCTCTAAAATTACATGATTTGCATGAACCTGTACTGAGTACTATATTTAAAGTTTATTTGAGAATCATATAGATCTGGAAGGAACCTTTGAGGTCAATTAGTCTAACCTCCTCATTTTGTAGGTGAGGAAACAGACCCAGAGAGTTTATATGAGTTGGCCCAGGTCATATAGGTGGTGAGTGCAGAGCCAGAATACAAAGCCGGTTCTTTAATTCTCTTTCCATGGCACCATGCTGCTCCATTTTGGAGCACACCACTATTTGTGGGATTGATGAGCATCTTCATCTTTTTTTGTACATGTTCTTTCTTTTAAAATAGCATATCATTACTATGGAATTTAAAATTTCAAAAAAACTTCCTTGGCTCCAGACTGCTATTGTTGGGGAGCAGTAGTGACAAGGAGAACAGAGCATGTGATATTTAATGCATTACAAAAAATTTACAAGTATTTATTTTCTTTCCCTTCTGTTTCCCTCCCCTATTAGCAATTTTTAAAAATCCCTCCAAACAAATATGCATAGTCCAGCAAAGCACATTCCCACATTTACAAAAAACATTATGCCTTATTCTGTATTTTAAGTCCATCTCCTCTCTGGTAGGAGATGAGTAGAATGTTTCACCTTTGGTCCTTTGGACTCAGGGCTTGTCATTGCAATAATAAGAGTTTTTTAATAACTTTTCAAGTTATTTTTCCTCTATAATGTTGTTGTCCCTGTGCAAGTTATTCGGTTTCTGCTCTTTTCATTCTGAATTAGTTCATAAAAGGGCTTCCCAGTTTCCTCTGTAACAGCCCATTTTGTTATTCCTAATGGTGCAGTCATATTAAATTGCATTCACATGCCACAATTTGTTTAGTCATTCTTCAACCACTTAGTGCATTTAAAAATAGTATATAAAAAGATTGGAATTTTTTTTCATTAGTGGGATAATACCACAAGGGGAATTTTGAAATGTTAAACTCAAAAGATACTTTTGTTAATACTGATCTCCTTCTTTCTTCTTCTCTTCCAAAGACATCAAGGACAATCTTCATCCAAAGCATCCTGTAACTACAAGACCAGTACCTACAACACACGTGTTAAATGCTACTGAGAATATCAACACAAAATGCAAAGAGGATCCCTCTTCAAGTGAGATGTCCTTGGGTATATTTGAACTACATCCAATCAGTTCATGAAATAGACCATCAAAAATGATTGTAGCTCAGAATAAGGGGCAGGTCCTGAGAATGAAGGAAACAAGATTCTCTTGGTATCTCTGTGAAATATAATATGGTTTTGAAAATCTTTGTTGACTTCATGTCTGGAAAGTTGAGATATCATTAATAAGCTATCACCTAGGTTGTTTTCAGGATTAATGAACAAACTTCAAAAAAATTCATCTACAAATAAATACTATATAAATGCTTTTGATTACCCATATATTGTACACTTTGGGAATTATTTATAGTTAATCTCCCCTCTTTAAGGTTGGTTTCTCTTTCCAGTCCAATGTGCTGGATCCACTTCCTTTGACATATAGGGAGGCAAAAGGAGTTGGAGAAAAAACATACATAAGGTCATCCGCTGCTACACTGTAATCCTTTCACTCTCCACGGTCCATCGTAATGTGGCCATTCCAAGCCTTCTCTTCCCTTTTTCAAGACCCAGCTCAATATCCACAGTGTTTCTCTCATCAACAGATGAATTTGCCTGTTTGGTTGAGAAAACCAAGGCCATTCATGATATGGGCCCTTAACTCTGCTCTTCCATAACTCAAAAGCTTTTCTCCAGTGGAAGTTTACCCCTCTACTTCCTCTCCAGTGTCTTCTTGAGCTTGTTCTTTTGATCATTTCTTCAAGCTCATCTTAAACCGTTCCTCTTACTTGGCTCCTTTTTCTGGCTACAAACATATGTGGATCTCATTAACCTAAAATACATACATACAGGCATGCACACACTTCCCTTTACAATCCACCCCTCAAGCAATCTACCTATATTATTCTCCTTTTCAGTGTTAAACTTCTAGAAAGAGTAATAATTTCTTAGTGCCCAGTTACTACTGTTAACACCCTCTAATCTTGCTTTCACCCTCACACCATTACTAAAATGTCTCTTTCTAAAGCCATCAATGTTTTCTTAATTGCCTCTTAATTGTCTTTTTGCTGGTTATCATCCTTCTCACTTCCTTCCTTCCTTCCTTCCTTCCTTCCTTCCTTCCTTCCTTCCTTCCTTTCTTTCTTGCATTTTCTTTCTCAGCATTTACTAGTTCTGACCACTCCCTTCTACTTCCCTTGTACTGATCTGATTCTCTTCCTACCAGTCTAGCCTTTCTCATCACACCTTCTCTTAATAATTTCTTGGTGATTTTGTCATTCTCTTGACTTCAGTGGTCACCTTGGTACATATGACTCTCAAGCTCATATATCCAATTTCTTTGAGCTCCCGTCCCATGATTATGAAAACCTGCCAAACATTCAGTACAATAGCTCGAACTTAACATATCCAAAGCTGAATTTCTTTCCCAAACCTGCCCCTTCTCCCAATTATTATTATTTTTAGAATTTCTATTGGTGGTGCCACCATCCTTCTCATCCCAACTCAAAACCTTGGAGAGACATCTTTGGTTCCTTCCTTCCACAGTATCCAATCATTTGCCAGTTCTGTCAGTTCCGCTTCCCCTATATTTCTCAAATTTATCTCTTCTTCCACCCACCACTTAACATTTACACTGCTATCTCTCTAATTAAGGCCCTCACCATCTCTTCCTTGGGCTATTGCAGTAAAATCCCTTATGGTTTTCCCATCTCTAGTCTTTCTCCTATCTAAGCTATTACTTTAAAATTAATTCTTATTATGGTTTTATCAATCACCATCAACACAAATATAATTTTTTTAAAAGATTGTATGTGAAACTTTGAACCGTTACAATTTTATAATGTGTGTATACATACACACACACACACACATATACACACACACACACATACTCAATTTAAGAATATGGTAACAAAATTTTGCCCTATTTGCCCTTTTGAACCTATTTTCTTTGATGTATTTTTATGCCTTATTGGTAATCTTTATCTCATCTTCCAGTAATTCATTGCACTTCTCTCCCTTCCCTACTCAAGAAGTGCCATTCCTTAGAACAACTAAGTATAATCCAGCAAAACGAGACAGTAGAGAATAGAACTTTGAGGAATGACTATGGTTAAGGGTATGAAGAGGAAGACAGGGGAAAGCCTCAGAGAGGCTGAAGGAAAAGTGTCACAGAATCTACATCTGAATACTTAATTTTTTATTTGCTCATTTTGGTCCACAAAGATACAGCCAAACCCTCTGATAAAGAGTTCTAACAAAGTAAAGTAAGATTAGCTAAAAGTATTTTATATGATTGAGATTCTTGAGTATGTTTATTGGCCAAAATAATAAAGTATTGAAATGTTCAAAATACCAAGCCCATTGCTACTTAATAATATGTGCTAGTCAGTGAATTAGATTTGGCATATACTTTGTTTTCATTTACTGTAATTCACACATTGCTTTTGTGAAAGGTTTGGGGGTTTTGTTGTTTTTTTGTTGTTGTTTTTGCTGAAGAATGTCATTTGCTGAAAATTGTTTTACTGTTCACTGATTCCAAAATAGATTTCTGAGTACTTCAAAGAACTCCCTTTGTTCTAGAAAACATCAGAATAGAAATAGTATAGTTATTATTTCTTTTCCTCAACTCACTGAAGTGCAGATATAAAATTATTACCTATAGCAATATTTACATGAAAGCATCTCTTTAAAAAAACCAGCAACTTTAAAATAAACTCTTCTCTTCTTCAAGTGAATGATGCTCAGTCGGTGAGGAAACCTAACTTTAAAGGGGTGAAAAAAAAGAAATGGATTTATGAGGAACCAAAGAACCCCCCAGGCACAGGGACAAGGAAAGGTAAAGTATTAAAACTGGTTTACTACTATTGAGAAAAGAGATTAAAAAAAAAGAAATAAAACAACTCAAGTAGGATATCCTACCAGAAAAATGCAAGGGATCATATTTTTCTTTAGATCCAATTGTGGTTACTTAATGAGACTTCATTTTTATAACTTACTCTTCTGATGGTCATGTTTTGTATCCACTTGATCTCTGCTTTCCCTTGACAGCAGCACAGGCTCCAAACCCCAAAAATAAAATGAGCTACCAACGAAATGATAAAAACAGGAATGTGGAGAATACATCCTATGTTCACGTTCAAAGAGAAACTGTAAGGAGTGTTTCATTGAATTCACCAGCACGTAGCAGGCCAACAAATGGGACTTATACCAAAGTCAGTGTTAACAAGGACCCCAAACTCAACCTGTGTCCAGGTGAGGCTCTTTAATCGGCCTTATCAACTATGACTACCATTTTGAATTCCTTTAGTTTGATTATGATCATCACTGTTATCCAGTGTCTACTCATTTTGCAAGCATATCACCAATCTCATTTCTGTGAGTGGGAAAAAGTCTCATTTCTGTCTCAAGGATTTGAAATTTTAAAAGGAATCTTGAGAGTTGTTTGTCCACCAGGATGAATGCCAAAAGAACGCAGCCAACACTTGGGATATGGTCAAGCAAACCTTGGAGTACTTTCTTGGTCTCTACTGGCTGGCAGAAAACGAGTTCTTAAAATTAATTGAGAATAGACATGCCCTTTTTCTGTAGGTCCTAGTTTTTATAGTTACATTCTTTCTTGTAGAGTTATGCTCTTTTCTCCCTCACTGTCTTTTAATTCCCAATATAACTCTGAGAAAACCCAGCCCCAAAACATTATCAATATCTCCTTGGCTTCTTTCATTAAGTTCTAGAGTTCCAGTGTTTTCCTTTCATGGCAACAAGAGTTGCAGAAGGGGCCTTAAAAACAGAGACCATTTAGAGCAAGTTGAGAATAGTACAGTCAGTTTCCCCTGTGAAATGGGCCTGTGGCCATCCTGGTTCAGATTCTGTTTCATTTCAGACAGGGAAATTAACGAAGAGACAGACTGTAGGGGCATCTCCATGTGTCTCATGTCACATAGAGAAGTTTTGACATTGCATACCCTGGAGTTTGACTTCAAAGACTATTTCCCCCCTGCTTTATTTCACCCTCGTGGATTGTTTGTAAGTGGCTGACATTTTCTTGCTCTAGTAATGTGTAGTGCAATTATCGCCCTCAGTCCAGTGTCTTGGCCCTTCTGCAAGCCTTCATGATTACTTTCTGAAAGGGTTAGTTTGAGGGTTAACTGCAATCTTTTTGACAATGTCTCACCTCCTGTACCATGCACAGATGGCTAGCTATCACATGTTGCATGTAAATCATTTGATCATGTAATGTGATAAAATCATTGTACTGTGTCAGCGACACAAGGCCTTGGTGAGGGAAAAGTCAGTCTTTTCCTCCTTCTTCTTGATGAATTTTGCCCTTTTGAAGGCTGGGTTACAATTCTCTGAACTTGACAAAATGTCACTCAAGTCTATTAAATTTCGTATTGGCTTTACTCCTGCTGTGAGACTGGTTGGTGGAATTCTGAGAATTGGATATTCTTGAAATTGTTAAGATAAACTAACGTGTAATTTCTTTCACTGCAAGGCTTCCTCTTATCCTTTAGGTATATGGGGAGGGGGAACCCAATGTGCCAATTAGGCCTTTCCCCATTCTTCATATGTGATAAGCTCAGCTCCTTTTCTGGTAGTACATGTGTGCAATAATATCTCTTAGACTTGTTCTCATGTGCAAGTCATCCTTGGTAATAATGCTTATGACTTTCACTGATTGCCTTTTGAGTTACTTGTAATTTTAATTCTTCTAAGATGCACTGTTCTATCCGTGCTCTTCTAGAGCTCTGTTCTGTCAATGACTAATAATGAAAAAAATCTCATAATTATTAAGCGCTTGCTATATGTAAGGTACAGTACTAAGCTCTGAGGAAACAAAAACAAGCAAAGCGGACGTGCCTCCCTTCAAGGAGTTTGCATTCTAATAGGGAGGTGTAGCTAGGGAGTGTGTTTTGGATAGGGAATAATTAATGCATGGAAGAGATTGTAGATTACATTTTGCTCATTGATGAAGCTGCCAGTTTGCATTTATAAATGGTCAGACTTACTTTCTCCCCTATTTTATAGAAGACAAATGATACATCCTATCATCACAGGTTGACTTTGGCTTTTTTTTTTATTCCTATTCTCAGTATAGCTTACATTTAGCTTGAAATAAAGTGCCTGGTTCACTGCCTGCTTTTCTAAAATGCTCCTTTTTTCCTGTCTACCTCCATTACTACAGCCCTCAGGTGTCCCTTTGTTCCAAGTATGTAAATTGGACTTTCCCATTGGTCAGTGGAGAGTTCTGTGGGAGAATATTCAAGATCAGTTCTAGCTTACCCCCTCTCCCTGCTTCCTTTTTTCACTGTGCCTTTCTTTTCCCAACCCCCATCTCATGTAAATGATTCCATTACTTACTCAAGAAGTATTGTGGGAGACCAAAAAAGGCATCATAGAAAGATGGCAGATGGGTTACCATTTTTTTTTTCCTGCAAAGCTGTTTCATCCATTTTTCATTGATGTCCATTTTTCTTTTTGGCCTACTTATCTCTAGTACTACATTTTCAAGTTCTACTTTCTATTTTTTAAATAATTAAAGCATTATTCTTGGCACAGCAGTGCCTCTGAGATGGTAGGAGGGAACAGACAGCATAGTGAGAGTTGGGGTGGAGGAGTAGGACAGTGATGGGAGCTGGGTTCGGTATTTCTGGGTTTCTCTCCCACTCCTGACCACAAAGAAAGGAGGTGCTACAACTGATTCAAAAGGCTTTTCTCTCCCCCAGTCAATCCTGGAGGGGGATCAGGGAAAGGGGAGAGGGGCCCATCCAGAGTTGAGTGTGAGGCAGAGCTTTGCAACCTATAATTGTTAACTGTTCAATGTGAGCATTTACACTTCAGAATAGGCAAATGACACAAATCAGGGTTTGGTTTATTGTTTTGTTGATTGTGTAGATGTAAGAAAGTGAAAAATAAGATGTTAATAATGCAGATTAAACTTGATTGTTAAACATTTACTATCACACCTTTGGTGTGTGAAGTGATAACCAACAGTGCGGTAAGGAAGGAGAAGAACAGTGTTTACCCATGGGTAGCTGAAACTGTAATAACAAAGATTGGGTGGTTGGTCAGAATTTTGCTCAGAAATGGACAATGAAATAATGATTTCCTTGAAAAAATAATTTCCTTGCTCCATTTCTGTATCATTTTTATTATTATATTTTTCTGCATAGTCTGCTTTTCTTTAATACTTTATCACATCTATCCGTTTTCCTTTCTCTCTCTTCTATGGATATTCACAACTTGTTTCCATATTTGTCATTGTCTAGTATTTGTCTAGACTGACCTTGCTCAGTAGATTTATAATGCTTGCCACCATGCCTGGCATATTTCCATCTTCCAAGTACATTGCTAATATAACCATTTATACTCAATATATGATTTCAGCCAACTATTAATTTCTTGTATCCCATTTTCTTATTATGGCTCTTCTGCTGCACCATATTTAGCTTTATGTGCACATGAAAACTTGGCAGCATCTTTCTTTTATCATCAGTATGCTTTCTACACTTCTCTTGAGACATTGGTATAACACAAAAGCTTTTCTGCATTAACCCCAGTTTGAATTTAAAAACCTGCATTTAAGTCCCCTTCACAAAGCTTCTGGCTCACACTTTGTTTTCCAGCCTTATTTCACATTACTCCCTTCCACATCCTGTGTTCCTGCCAAATTGGAGTAAAAGATGCTCTCTGAGTTGTAACTGCCACCTCTTACCTTCTAGACTGAAATTCAGGAGAGCCATCCCCCATGTCTAGAACTTAATCCCTCTTGACGTCTTTCCCCACCGATGCTTTTCCTTTCCTTCAGAGCTCAGTTTAGGTGCCTCTTACTTCATAAAGCCTTCCCTGATCCCTTCAGCTGAAAGTTTTCCCTTCTTTCACTAGTTTTCCTGGAACACTTGCTCTGAATCTCTTCTTCATTCCCCCCACTCTCCCACATATGAGTGACTTTGTGCATCATTCTTTTCATCCTGCCCAGAATACGTATCAGTTCTTTGAAGTCAGGGTCTATGTAATATATTTCTTTTTATCCAAAGCATCTAGTATAATGCCTTGAAAACGGTAGGTATATAATAAATACTTTAGTGCCATTAGCATTTGATTACAAATGTATTCATTGACCAGAGAGATTTTTGTTGAGGTAGCTGCTAACGAAATAGCAAAACAAGCTTCTTGTACGTAAATATGGTAATAAAATTGGTTGGTCCAGTATTTTCTTGTATGTGAAGCTGGAAGGACTCAGACTTCCTTCATTAAATTAGGATTTAGTGAATGCCTACTCTTTGAGAGGCAGTGTGATGTAGCGGCTAGGGAGCTGGCTTTGGAATTAGGAAGACTAGCTATGTGATCCTAGAAAAAATCATTAAAGTCATTGATCTTCTCAGTGGCCCAGGCAACCTCTTTGCAGACCTCTTTGTACAATAGCAGATGAGCAATAGGGTCAGTGGAGGGAGTTCCCTAATCAGTTCTTTAGACCAGTGAAATCATAGGTCTACTCTAAAACTCTATCGTAGTTATATCTTGCATTATAGTTTGTGAGCCCAAACCATACAGGTTTACAAATTCTAATGCAAAAATACTTCGAAAAGATTATTATGGTTTGTTGGAAGGATGAGAGCTATATAGTGTACCTATATGAGATGAAACCATTTCTGTTAGTTCCCAACGCAATGTAACAGGCATTTTAATAAGTACCAACTAAAAATGTTGGAGGTACTGTGTAAGGGTATGAGGGTATGAAGACAAAACCAAGAAAATCTAGGTGTCCTGTCCATAAGAAACTCACAAAGCCAGTGTCGTCACTTTACGGAAAGGATATATAAAGAGTTAAGCAACAGCAAAAACAAGTCTGACAGAGGATAAAATGTGTGGTTATGTGACCCATGGATGGTGGTAGAAGCAATAAGTATTGTGATTGCTAGAGAGCCACTGGAGTAGTTGGAGAAGTCCTTGTGAAAGAAGTCAACATTGAACTGGACCTTGTAGGTATCTCTGGATTTGCAGAAATGGAAGGAACAGGACCCATAGAAGCTCAGCCAATCCGATAAATTGACCTTTTTGATCTTGTCCTACAGGAAGCACTTATTTCTATTATAGTCGTAAACCTATTACAATCTCAACGCATGCAAGATCAGATTGTTGTTCTGGGGGCTGGGTAGCCAGTAAGGACACTTGTTCCCAGGTCCACGGACTTGAATGATCTTGACCAACAACTTTACTGGCTGTAAAATGAGCGTTGGAATGAATCTCTGCATGGGGAAGTGTTCAGTGTTGAGAGTATCCTTCCAACTCTTTGGGCTATCTGCAGGAAATGGTTCTTTTTCTACAAATTATGTGATTGATTGCCTCATTGTTTTTCTTTAGACAAATATACCACAACATCCTATAATGCTTCAACATGGAGAAAAAGGATTCCTTTTTCAAAAACTGAAAAGATATATTCAGGTAACTCACTCTACTGACTTAGAAATTTTAGAGTGAACAATAAGTATGGAATTTAAACATCTAAAATAGTTTGGGACACTGGAGAGAAATGAAGCATGAATTTTGAAATTGGTCTTTGTTCATTTACTCACTTCTGAGAGAGTAAGGGGCTTTGTCTACTGGCTGTGATTCTCAAGGTGTAGGTGTCCATGAAGTCAAAACTATTTTCATAAGAATACTAAGATGTTTTAATTTCTAATGTAGTAAGTATCAATGGAGATAAGCCACATAAACAGAATCTCTTTGAGAGTCCTCAATAATTTTTAAGAGTGTAAAGGCATCCTTAAGACCCAAAAGTTTGAAAACTGCCAGTCTACTGTAAAGATTTTGTCCATTTTTCTTGTAGGATCACTTCTTGATTATCAAATTATTCTTAGGAAATACTGAAAAATATTTTGATATTTTTCTTCTCTATAAGTTGCATAATGATTACAGTGACTTTTACAATTTATTAAGATGCAATATTTACTAGAAGGTTTCCAGTGTCATTGATAAAATGGCATTTTTGCAATTATATACATAAAGTCTAATGTGGAGGGGGCCCTAACCATTGATAACAAAATACCAATAGAGGGGCAGCTAGGTGGTGCAGTGGATAGAGCACCGGCCCTGGAGTCAGGAGGTCCTGAGTTCAAATTTGGCCTCAGACATATAACACTTATTAGCTGTGTGACCCTGGGCAAGTCACTTAACCCCATTGCCTACCCAAAGAACAAAAAACCAAAAAACCGAAAACAAAACAAAATACCAATAGACACAGATTAACAGTGGACTTCTCAGGCCTAGGGAGTATCTTGGTACTCACTGGGACCTCTTCTGGATGTGAATATTCCATGGAATAGATTCATGAAACCTGCTATGATTCTCTACTTTCGTTTCCTTCTTACAGCCTAAGCCTGATCTGGGACACTATTGGGGAATCGTCTTGGTTCCCTCTCGGTGATTTTGAACCTTTCTAAGCAAGTCCTACTTAGATAGGAGCCCAGTTGATTTAAGAGCCCAGAACTCACGCTACAGCCTCTAATTCTTGTTACCCTGAGCTTTAACATTCCCAGAAAATCCCTAGGACAAGTTCAGGCTGAAGAACTTCCCCTTGATCTATCGCAACTGCTGTTCCCTTGAGGCCAGCTGATCTAGAATTGCCCTCCTGAGACACTGGACACTCTTAGAAACCCTTTGGGATCCTGGGTTGCAGGCAGGGAAGCTCTAAAGAGGTTAAAGACTTCTGAGGCCATTTAGCCTCACCCACTTTCTGAACAGGATCCCCTTCTATAATTTACCTAACAAGGGGCCATTAAGTCTCTGCCTGAAGACTTCCAATGGCAGAGAACTCACTCTTTCTCAAGGTGGTCCATTCCAATTTTAAATAGCTAATTGTTGAGCTTTTCTTTTTTTTCTGACATGAAGCCGTGTTTTCATTCTGGGGCTCCACAATGCCTTGAAGGGAGCCAGCCACCCCAGAGTTGACCTATCAAGCTTCAGAGAAGTAGTAGTTGGTAATATTTCTTTCCTTCTTTCTCTCCTCTGTCTTTTTCTTTTCTTTTTCTCCTTTCTCTCCTCAAACACAGCTCGCACACGTACACAGTCTTCAGAGTACTCATTAATCCATAGCATCTTAGAGATAAAAGGGACCTTAGAGGTCCATTCCCAGTCTAATCCCCGTCCTACTCCATAATGCCATCCCCCACCTCCACTTTTTTAGACTAAGTAACTTGGTTTTCAGTTAGCGTTGCCTTTAGAGTTATGAAGTGAAAAAAAATGAGAGAAACCCAGCTTCGGCAAGAGTTGGATGGCCGACTTCTGTTGATGGGAGAGGAGAAATTCTTAGTCATTGGTGAATTAGATGATCACTAAGATGCCTTCTGAGTCTAAGATGCGGTGATAATAAACTTGGGACCCAAAGAATATGAAACCACTTAAGAAAAGTTATTGGAAGAAATAATTTTTCTGTGTGTATTTTGTTATTAGAGCCAAGACGAAATGGAAGCAAGTAAAACAGGAGGTTGAGAGAAGAAAAGGAGAAAAGAGAAAAGTGCTGGACATCCTATGACTTACAATCAAAAATGATAAAAATGCAAATTCAAAGAATGAGATATTCAAGTACTTCATACTATATACTGGATAGCCAAAGATGATAAAATTCAAATTCTGTACTGTTTCAAAAATGATAAAAATGCAAATTACAAACAGATAAGCTGCATGTGTATTTATACAGGTCTGGAATTCATTCAATGCATTTGTCATAAAAGTTTAATAAAATCCAGAAGTTTAACAATTAAAGTCATTCTTTAATTGTAAACCAAGTTATATTGACCGCAGATTGAAGGGTAAAATTGTGTCTTTGATCTGTGTTACTACAAATATTCCTTATGAAAAACCCTCTCCTTTTCTTTTATCTAGATTTCAAAATTGGGCCCTCAGAGGTGACATCTGATGAAGTTAAAAACTAATTGAATGAAGGTCTCAGGGCTACAGTTTGACTGTGATGGGTTATTTCAGATGAATTCCAATGTAAACACCAGACTTTGACGTGTTCTAGACAGAGGCAAAGGTTTGTTAAATATACAGGACATTTGTACAATGTATTATAATGGGTGCCCCTGGTGCAGAGTCAATGAGGAGTGTCACCTTCAAAACTGGATAGAATTAATTGAGATGAAAATTCCATATAATGGAAATGAAAATAGAAGTTATTCAAAATGGGACAAACCTGAGAAGAAACCTGGAATCTAGGGGAATTAATATTTCTATTTGCATCCATCTCTGGTTATTGTTCAGTTTTTATTGGGGGAAATCAGGGTTTTTTAGGTTTTTGGTTTTTTTTTACTCTTTTGTAAGGATGTGATTCCAGTTTTTGTGGAAGAGACAGGGCCTGCCATCTGTGGATTTTTAGTGGCATACTGTCTAAAGCACTCACCAAAACCTGGGGAGAGTCAATTGTTTAAAAAGCAGAATTGAATGGGATTAAGAATTGAGTCAATGGGACCAGCGTGTGATGCTTTAAGCCTGTGAAGGGGAATCAGGTGACAAGCTGTTCACTGGGCAGTTGATGAGATGACGTATATCCCCGTTTAATAAACGGCTCTGCGCTTCTGTAACTTCAACTAGCGATGAAGTAGGAAGTATTCCGAGATAAAAGGTCCTCCTCTAAATGTGGTACAGCCCCAACATGTATGTTTGCTTTGTGAATGAATGAATCTATACTCTTCAGCCCAATGCTGAAGAGTAGACGAGGTATGAGAGAGAACCTCTCAGAAAGGCTTGGCCATAATCATTCTGAGTATTTACTTGTATTGTTCCTGAATAAGAGGAAATTGTGATGGTACTAAGCTCTGTTTCTGAGAACCAGTAAACAATGACTCTGAAAACCAGTTCTGTCTTTGTGTGTCATTCAGGGATGAGACTGATGAGGGGATGAATTGTGAACCAGGAAGCAGGAACTTGAAAGCAAGGCCCAAAGAAGAGGAGGAGGGGGAGGCCAACGAATGAGATAGGAAAATAACCGAGGATGCGGGGAAATGAAAGAAAATAGAAATAAAGGGGAAAGCAGGGCTTCTTAGAAGAACAAATTTAGGCTATTGAGAACCAGCCCTTAATTATTCATCTAAAGAACGAATTTCTGGGAAAGGAACTGGGTTTAAATCAAAAGGTCTGGGGACAGATTTAGGAAAAAAAGTACTCATAGGATAGTGAAGCCCTTTCAAAATACACTGTAGAGCCTGGATAGAAAAACCCTGAATATGATTCTGTACGGGATCTTAAATTAATTTACATGCATCTCTTTTTATGAGGATAATACCTTATCTATCCAAGGTTTTGCAGTTTTTCAAAATACTTTCACATTTTTTAAGTCACTTGAGTCTCATGACAACCTTGGCAAGACCCCAGTCTCCTTCGCCAGTCCAGGCTCTTTACCAGGGACTAATTTGGACAACAGGGACGGAGGCAGGGACAGTAAGTGGAGAGGGGTTCACACTGCTGTCACCTTACCTTCCTTGAGGTCATCTAGAGCAGGAGGGAGTTTTCAGAATGGGACTTTGGGACACTTTTCCTGTTTTTTTTTCTTTCTTAGTGATTTGTTAACTAATTCATGTCAGTCCATAAGTATTAAGCACCTCCCACAATGCAAGCAGTATGGTATATGATGGGAATACCATACAAAAAATGAAAGAACTGCTACTCACACTGAAGCTTAAATTATAATGAGGGAGACAAGTACATGACAAGAATATGTAAAGTTAATAAATACACACGTGAACTTAAAATGCAGAATGTCCCAAAATTCTCAGTTCAGTTTTAAGCTCACATGGCATTAAGATGTTTATAACATCCTGTATGTAAAAAATATACACACATACGTATATGTGTGTGTGTGTGTGTGTGTGTGTGTGTGTGTGTGTATATATATATATATACATGTATATATATATGTTGTGTATATATATATATATGTATATTTACATAAAGTAGTTATATAGAAGGTAGTTTGGGAAGGAGGGCAGTGGTGGAGGGCGGTCAAGAAAGGCTTCATTGAGCCATGGATAAGAGTACCAGCCTTGGAGTCAGGAAGACCTCAGTTCAAAACCAGCCTCAGACACTTGATACTTACTAGCTGTGTGACCCTGGGCAAGTCACTTAACCCCATTGCCTAGCCAAAGCGAACAAACAAAAAAACCCCCAAAAGATATATGATGCAAAAGAAATACTTGTATTCTAGGGGCAGCTGGGTGGTGCAGTGGATAGAGCACCAGCCCTGGATTCAGGAGGTCCTAAGTTCAAATGCAGCCTCACACACATAAGGCTTACTAGCTGTGTGACCCTGGGCAAGTCACTTAACCCCATTGCCAAGCTAAAAAAAAAAAAGCTTCATTCAGAAGACAGTACTTGAAATAAGTCTCAAAGGAAGAGAGGGACCCCTATGAGGGCAGGAAATGGAGAGGGGAGAGCATTATAGGGAGGAGGGACAACTGCAAAGATTCCTATCTATATACACGTAAACAAATTTCCATGAATAAGGTACCCTAAGTTTTCAGTTGCTCCACCTTAAGTCTCTACCAGATTCTTTGTTTATTCGTTCTCATTCACTTCTCTCTTATGTGACCACAGTCTTATAGTCTGGTTCTGCTTTTTTTCACTTCTTAAAAAAAAAATTGAGAATCATATTTGATGAAGAGCCTCCTAAAATTCACATCCTTGCTTTGTTAAATAGCACATAACCTCTTAAGGTGTCTTCCAGCTCTAAATGTATGTGCTTACATTGGACATAATTTAACAGATAGCTGATAAGAGTGCTGGACCTGGAGTCGGGAAGCCCTGAGTTCAAATTCTTTCTCACCTGCCTTGTAAACCTGGGCAAATCACTTAAACTCTCTCAGTCTCAGTTTTCTCATGTGTACCTCCCTGATAGGGTTGTTGTGAAGATCAAATGAGTTAACATATGGAGCATTTTGCAAATTTTAAAGCATTTTAAAATAAGCAATTCAGTTTAATATTAAACACCAATACAAATTAAATTTGCTTTGTGACTTTATCCTCCAATTTCTTGTGATATGTATATATATGCATATATATACACACATATGTACATACATATGTACATACACACACACACACACACACACACACACACACACACACATATATATATATATTGCCACTCCTGTTAAACTTGACATCAGGATTGCTTATTTCTCCATTCATTCTCTTCGACTTTTCCTCTGGTCTTGGTTACTTTTGTAATCTTTTCTTATTGGCTGTTTTCCTTTTGCATTATTTCAGGTCTTTCTAGATTTCCTTTTATTTTGCACAGTTGTCTGTCTTGATAGCATTATTTCATATCGTTCCATCGTTATACCTCTTTTTAACTATCCATTCCCCTATTGTTAGCTATTTAGGTTGCTCCCAGTTTTTCATTATTACACATAATGCTACCAATGAAAATCTTTGAACAGAAGACTTTTTTGGTTTTATTTCTGATATCCTGTTGAGGACATATTCCCAGTGATGGAGTCATGGGGTAAAAGGCAAATGCTCAAGGCAAAAGATGAAAATACGTTATTTTCAGAACACAAATCAATAGTTTGAATTGAGTAATAATACATGCAGGCAGCTTATAAAACTAAATGCAATCAGAAAAACAATGTATTAAAGAAATCAGAAGAAAAATAATAGTTCATTGAAAAGACAATGATCCCACCTATCAAAATAAGTGGGATACAGTCTAAGAAGTTACTCTTGGAGACATTTATCTCAGCAAGTGCCCATGTTCTGGAGAGAGACAGATCTGTGATTTCACTAGTATTGAGACATCCAAAGGGAGGAAGCTCTCTCTACCAATGCAGATCAGCAACTTCTCTGCAGTTTATAGTTAAGAGGCCTACAGCAGGTATCAGAGGTGCAGTGATTTGCCAGGGGCCATACGGTATGTGTCAAGAGACTGAATATAGATCCAGATCTTCCTGGCTTTGAGGCCAGATCTCTAGACAATGTATCACAGGTTCTTCACCAAGTATTCACATTCATGAGGGGAAAAAAATAGGAAAAATGCAAGAACTAAACTTATTCCTAAAGGCATAGAAAAGGATCATGCCAATAATGCAAAGTTGAAGTTGAAAGAAAATAAAGTTAAAAGAAATAAATGGAATGGAATGTGCTTTTGAGCATGCCCCAAAAGGCAGTGATTCAAGTCTCATGGGGGAAGGCTCAGTGTCCCTTAGCATTGGTGACTGACCTTGACTCTCCAACTGGCTCCATCTACCTTCTAGACTTGGGTGATCGAGAAGGCAGAGAGAAGAGGGAGGAATTTGGAATTACTGGAGGAGCAAATGGAAGGTCACTAGCAGCTGGATGGTTTGATTGAAACACTTACAACCATAGACAACCTCTGTCTCTATGTCTCTGTGTGTCTCTATCTCTCTCTGGAGGGCACTTGTATGTTTAAAATTTGCTTTGTTTTTTAAGCTGGCAAATGTGATAAAACCGTAGATCAGCCCAGTTGCTAAACTATGCTGTTGTTTGAGTGCAGCTTTGAGGGGGAGTCATTAGAAACATCCTCGGGATAGGGAGGGAGGGAGAGGAAAGCAAAGCTGTTCTGCCTGGAAGCTCAGTGTCAAAGGAGCGAGTTATTGATTTATTACAATCACTTCACAGGACAGAGAGTACATTCACTGCAGTTTCTCAGGGCATCAAATCAAGTCAGCAACGTGGGAAGCTGACAAGCTGGCTGAGTCAGGCATCCATCATTACCCCAACCCTCCTTTGAAAGGTGACCATTCCTTCTTGTTGTGTGTTGAAAGAAGGCCAAGGGAGTGGTCAGAGAGAAAGCCACCGCCCAGAGGAGGAGTAACCTGGCCCACAAAAAGGTGGGTGGAATAAAATAACTACCTGCTAGTTTTGCTAGCTCACATCCTCCCGTAAGCAAACACTACTATTACAGGAGTAAAATATGAAAAAAAATTCATAAAAACAGGAATGACTCTGGATCTTTATTTTGTCTAAATTACTCCTCAAAACTTATGTCTTTACCTTTTTCTTGCCACAGATGTAAAACCTTAAAGCTTCTGGTGCCCCTTTCAGCCATGATCAGTCTTTCTTTCTGATTCACAGATATAGAGGGCAAGGCAGTCGAGTCAGGGGGCAGGTAAATGGGGTAAAGAATTTGAGGTGAATGGGTGTAATGGAAGACTGGAGGAAGAGGGTTGAAGCAAATAGATGTGTAAACTTGAGAAAGATAATCGTCTTGTGGAATTAACTGAGTTTGTGAGTAATGAAAGGGAGGTAGGAACCTTTGCATAAACCTCCAGAAGGAGTGGTGATGGGTTTAGTTTGATTCTCCAGCATGGTTTCTGGCTTTGTTTAAGACGGTGGGTAGGAGCGCGGAAGATCAAATTCTTACCTCTGAAATCCAAGGAGCTAAGGTGAATGGGAAAACATCATGGCCAGAGATACCGGCCAGGAAATCTGTGTCAAATCAGAAAGCAAGACAGCAGCCGGAGCCCAGGGAGCTAACCGTCGACTCCACCTGATCTCTGGAAGCGTCAGTATTTTAATGCAACTATTTATTTTCTTTGTCTGCACTGACCACTTGGAGGAGGAGTCCGTTACACAAGCATTCTCCTCACTCAGCCACAGTTGAGAAAGAAAGCATGTACAAATAATAGCTACTAAGGAATAACTAGCATACAGTGCTTTTAGATTTCAAAAGTGCTTTGCCCATATTCACTCAATTGATTCCCACAGCAGCCCTGTGAGGTAAGTGCTTTTATTACCCCCATTTTTATAGATGGGAAAACTGAGGCTGAGAAGTTGAGTCACTTGTCCACGGTTATGCA